CTGCCTAATGGTTGGGCTGGGGCATCTCCTCTAACATCTGTGGCCGCAGGATGGGACTCCTAAACTTGATTCATCTGCCACTATGATTGGTGCAAGTACAGTGGGACCTTGGTTCTTGAACTTAATCCGTTCCAGGTGTCTGTTCGACTCCCAAAACCGTTCGAAATCCTAGGTGTGGCTTCCAATTGGCTGCAGGAGCTTCCTGCACCCAAGTGGAAGCCACGTCGGATATTCGGCTTCCAAAAAACGTTTGCAAACCGGAATACTTACTTCTGGGTTTGTGGCACCTGGGAGCCAATTTGTTCAGGAGCCAAGCCATTCGAGAACGAAGATACCACTGTACGCTCATCATTTGCGAGCATTTGGATTGTCTCCTTAGCAAAGCCACAGCAGTTAGTGTCATCAGGCAAATGATGATAACAATTAAAGCCACTAATGAGATTAAAAAAAATAAATCAGTTTGTAAGTAGACCAGGAAAAGAAAACCCCAATAGAACAAGAATGATTTCCTGTGTTGTAGCATTTTTGGCTAGCGTTCAACTGGATCTCATTTCAAGCCTGGTTCCTATTGTCACAAATGCACTGAAAAGCCATTGCACAAACCAGAGTAAAATGACCCTGAGAACTAGACCGTACAGAGAATTGAGTTTCCTGGCATCACCTTCCCACCACGAGGCAAGGAATAGGCACAAAATAGCCCTGCTCAGAAAGCACTGATCATCATCCAGGAAGAGAGATACAGTATTGCAAGTGAGCAATATGTGTCTCAATGAACCGCAGGGGAAGGTGAACGTAGCACTTTGCTGTGTCTGGCTGAAGCTGAGCTCAGAATCTTATTATATACTGCATGGAAAGCATTATACTCTTCTTCATTCTACTTGTTCGCCAGTGAAGCTGAAATGTGCCTATCCCAATTATTCCCCAGATGCAAACCCCCTAGATTTACTAATGTAAAGAAATCATACAGAACCCCACAATCATGCCCTCCTCCCTCCTTTTCCATTTAGCCTGTTTCATTTATTAGTTAGTTGGAAGTTCTTAGCAGGGGGCAGCTTGGTTGGAGTAAAATATTGATGCTCACTTGGCACCAGCCAACAGCCCACTATTGCTAATGAAGTCTCTGTAGGTAGACTTGCTTTGTTACTAAACCTCATAGGTAAAGCTAAAGGGGCCATTAGGTCCAGTCGTGGCCGACTCTGGGGTTGCGGCGCTCATCTCGCTTTATTGGCCGAGGGAGCCGGTGTACAGCTTCCGGGTCATGTGGCCAGCATGACTAAGCCGCTTCTGGCGAACCAGAGCAGTGCACGGAAACACCGTTTACCTTCCCGCCGGAGCTATACCTATTTATCTACTTGCACTTTGACGTGCTTTTGAACTGCTAGGTTGGCAGGAGCAGGGACCAAGCAACGGGAGCTCACCCTGTCGCAGGGATTCGAACCGCTGACCTTCTGATTGGCAAGTCCTAGGCTCTGTGGTTTAACTCACAGCGCCACCCGCGCCCCACTAAGCCTCATGAACGTCTTTAAAAAATAAATAAACAAACTGTGTTGTTATTTGCTCATGAACTTCTTAAACATGTCAGGAAATAGTTGGGCTTTATTATTATTATTATTATTATTATTATTATTATGAAACCCCAGCAAATTGATAAGATTTCTTTTTCTTTTTTATGACCGCTATGTTTTAGCATCTCTGGAACACTTGTCTGCGCTGCAAGTTAGCTCACACCTTTTTCATTTGAGATAGGCTTCTTTCACTTATCATCATCCTTTTTTATTTGTATACCGTCTTTCTATCTTACAATACCCAAGGCAGTTTACAAGCTGAAGAATCAAAGAATGTACACCTTATAACAATCTAATTCAATACAAAAATGTGACAATAAAACATAACTTTAAAATAAACAACTTATAACATATAAAATAATAGTCATAGAATATTAAATATCAACATCTAAAAATTAAACAGAAATCCACTCTTAACAACAATAATACAGTCATACCTCGGGTTAAAGTCGCTTCAGGTTGAGCGTTTTCAGGTTACACTCCGCGGTGACCCGGAAGTAACAGAACAAAATGACATCACGCGCATGCGCAGAAGTGGCAAATCGCGACCCGCGCACGTGCAGACGCGGGTTGCGTTCTGCTCAGGATGTGAACGGGGCTCCGGAACGGATCCCGTTCGCATCCAGAGGTACCACTGTAAATAAATTCTAAACTATAATCAATAAAACGGCAAGTCACAGTGCATAAAATAATAGAATATAAACTGAGAAGCAGAGACTGGAGAGTGGGGCAAGGCAGATGGAAGAAGGCCTTGCCTGATGAAATCTCTCCCCTCCCCTTTCACTTACTAAACATTAGCACAATCTCCATTTCTTTTTTTAAAAAGAGAGCTTTCCTAGTCCTCATGGAACAAGAAAAACTCCAAAAGGAGGAAATGCAATAATGATGTTGCTGTTCTCTGTAGTAGGGCTAAAACTACCCTTTCCTTGTTTGTTTGCTATAATATACTTTGCTATTTCAGTGTCCCATTAATCCCAGATTTATGCCTGCAGTCTAGATTTTTTAAATAAATAAAGTAAAAGGAGTCAGCTCCATCATTTGGAGCAATTACAGAAGGTGGTTATAGAACTATTTATGATGTCTGTGCCTTTCTTAAAGTGACATTAGGTTACAGCTTTTGTTTGGGGCAGGGCTCCCCTGTGCCTTTAAAAACAACGAGACAGCTAGAAATCCAGTCTGCTTCCCTATCACAGCATCTTCACGCTTACAATAAATAAATGAATAATTCTTCCTAGGCGCACTCTTGCAGACTGTGCCACTGCTAAAAGCACAGGACCACTCCCAGGAGAAACGGTGGCAACCTAATGGAAATGAATTAGCGACCGGCTTTCAAGAACCGCTAAAAGAAAATGATCTGCTTATAGATCCGAAACCGCGGAATACCAAGCTGTACGGTTGAAGTTTGGGGCAGAGGAAAACGCATCGTCCACGCTCAGGAAACCCAGTCATTGATCTGAGGGCCAGCTAGCAAGTGTGCATTAAAATTTGTCTCCATAGGAGCTACTGCTTATTCCATCAAAATATTTATTGTCAGAAGGAAGCTATATCTGGGGAGGCGAGGTGGGGAGCTGGTTGCTGGTCAGTGTCAGGGACTCAGGGCTGCCAGTCAAAGGTTTCAATCAAACGGGTATGGTTCTGAAATAAAGGAAGATCTGGGCATCCGCTGGAGAGGTCGAGGGGGCGCAATCCAACCAGCTTTTTTTTGGTGGGGGAAGCACATTTATATAACATAGAAAATGCGTAAAAGATGCGGGATCTTGGCGTGAAGAGGGCGAGGAGATACAACGTGGGTTTTCAGCTTTCTGGTTGCGGGGGGGGGGGGGCTGCCTGGCTGTCTGCCTTCGACTCCACCTGCAAGCAGCTGTCTCTCTCTCTCATATCCGCGCGCCCTTCCCCGCCACCCGCCGTCTATCTTGCCAGACGAGCAAGGGAGGAGGGCGGGGATGGACGAGAAGCGGCTGAAGAGCCGGGAAAGATCGTTAACTGCGAGCCCTTGTCAGGCATGATCCGGATCGACGGAGAATGCGACGGTTTCTCCTCCCTCCCCCGCGCCCCCTCCCCGTCGCTTCTTCCCCAGACAAAAAGCCACACCCAGCCTTGGGGCGTTGGAACAAATGCTCCGAGGGCCTTCCCTACGGGAGGGCGCGCACACCCACCCGCCTTCCTTCGCCCTTCTTGGCTGCAGAAAGGAAGCTGGGAGCGGTTTGCTGGAAGCAGGAGTTGGAGAGGCGGAAGGCGGCACTTTTATTGCGCTTAAGGCTTTGCCGTCTGACCTAGGCGCCCCTGCTTAAGCTCTGGGTTTCGCTCTCCTTCCTTTCCCATTTACAAAAAAAATCCCAGTTTATCATTTTTTGTGCCCACCGGGCCCAACCTCAGCCCCTTTCTTTTCAAGCTCTGGGTTCAGATTTTCCCCTCCACCGCATCCCCTTGCTAAGAAAAAAACCTCCATCCCGGAAGCCGCCTGCGGCGCTTTCTCCTTGGCGAGGGCTCCCCCACCACCCACGCGCGTCTCGCTCTTGCGTAGACTGGGAGGAACAGGGACCCGATCCCAGACTTATTTCCACGTCAGCCGCAGATTCCCATTGGGCGCTGCGTCCCTCTCGCCAGCTCGCTGCGCAATTTGCCCAGGGCATCTGTGCGACAGGGCAGGTTTGCAACCAAAGACGCTTTTACAGCAGGTCTGCAGAGTAAGGCATCAGCCGAATGCACAATTGGGCGTAGAGAGCCCTCTTCTGCAGCTTTTTCCTTGAATGCATAATTCTGCTGACCCCTAACATTTTTGCCTGCTCGTCAGCACCGCTGTGGCCCTACTAAGTCCCAAGTTTCCTCCATCTTAATTATATCTAATAAAAGATTTTTAAAAATATATTAAATCTTCTGTGCTCATCAAATGAAAGCAATCGCCAGTTGCCCAGACCTCTCTTTCAAAATAATAATAATAATAATAAAAAATACAGTACTTTTCCCCCCAAATTATGGGAATCTCAGCCCAGCGACCTGCTGTTGTTGCCCTTGATTTTGCAGAAATGCGCATCCCGTGGCAACATTATTACTTTGCATGTTAATGCACGATTGACATTTTGGGCTGCACCGTCCCGAGCGGGGAGAGGGCTGTACTTAAATGTTTAAAATCATGCAAAATTCAGATGCTCCTCTGGTACTGCTCCCCCCCCCCGCGCCCCGCCCCGCCTCGCGCGCTATGGCGCATGGAAGAGAGTAACTGTTCTTCTGTTTGGTCTCTTTGTCTGGAGGATGCGAGGCGACTTTGGATGCTGAGGAGAGGCGGGGTGTGGGGAGAGATTACCTCATCCTATGCGCCCTGAGCCAATGGCTTTTCTCCTCCCCTGGTTTCTCCAGGCAGATTGGGGGTGTCTCGACCAACCGCAAAAAGCCTTCGCCCGTCCCCATGGTGACGAGGTTGTATATAGGGAGCCGCGTTGCCCTGTGTGCTACAGGTTCTCTTACATCGACCTCCTAAGAGTCGCGCTGTAAGAAAGCAAAAACCCTCCTCGGCTCCCGTTTGATTTCTCGAAGCTCGGCAACCAAGAGGCAGATATGGTAAGCGCCAGCGCCTCTCGGCTGCGGGGGGGTTTCGGAGGAGGAGGGGGTGGGACAAAGCACAGGCAATCCTGGCAGCATTTCTCCTGGCCCGCCCCAAACCAATTCTGCTTTCTTCTCCATCTTTCTCTTGGCTCTTCTGAGCATGCTTTGTCCCTGCACCTCTGCGGGGGCTCATTTTCTTCCATCGGCTCGCTGCTGCTGCTGCCGAGCTGTGGAAATGCAGAGAGTCTTCCTGAGGCTTCTGGTTCCTCCTTCTCCCTTCCCCTCTGTAAAAAAAGAAAGAAAAAGGACGAGTTGTTCTCCAAGGCGGCGGCAGCAGCAGCAGTGCATCTTCGAAGCCTGACGCAATGGCTTCCCCTTGGCTGGGAAAGGCGAGGCAAGGGTGGCTTGCTGCCTGCGTAGCGCTGCTGGCTGCGGGCTTGCGTCTCCATCTCCAGCCCTTCCCAGCTGCGGATGCGCATAGGAAGGAGGAGGAGGCAGTGTCAGCGGGGAAGCAGCGGTACCAGCCCCAAGCAAGCCTGTGCTTTAACCCGAATGCAGGGGCGCAAATGGAGCCATCTGCAATTCAAAGCTGCTCTCCTGACTCGGAAGGAAGTGGGGTGGAAGTCGAGGGGGGGTGTTATTTCACAGGATGTAAACCTGATTAGACTGGGGGTTATCAGTGATTATAAAATTAAAACCCCTTTTTAAAAAAAGAATCCAAACAAACAAGGCGTACTAAATGCAGCGGCGTAGCACGGGTTGCAGGCGCTCGGGGTAGGGCAAGTGTTGCGCCCCCTGGTGGACTGGGCAGCTGAGGTGGGTGGGAGGGCGCGCCTGCCCACTAGACCAACCCGCCTGCCGCCACGCCTCAGCTGCCTTGCGGGGGCACCTGATTGCGCCCCTTCAAAAATGTGGGGCCACGGACCACCACCACCCTGCCCGCCCACGCTACGCCTCTGCCAATGTTATGGGGTTGAAGCTTCAGGATTCCACACACCCCCTTGGAAGTAAACGTGTTTCATTTGCAAACAAAAGCAATAGGTTTCCGTGTGAAACAAAATACTCAGTATGATTGATTTCTGCGCCACTAGCGATTCCGCAAGGGGACAAAAGTTAGCACCAGTGCAGCAGTCGTGGGTCCTGGGGGGCGGCTTATACCGAAGCTTTCTTGTCTTCTGCTGCAATCCTGCGCTCTAGGAAGAAATGCTAGAGGCAGGGGAGCTTGCTTCTGAGCAGAGAAGCATGCATAGGCTGGGGTGGGGGGGTGGGGATCGCCACCAGTTCAGGAGTTGTCAGCTCTGCCGATTTCTTGTGCGCAGAGGGGATCATCTTGGCAGAAGCCACGCCTTTGCATCGCTCCAAGAGATTCCGCATAAAGAGCAGCATTGTTAAGCGAGGAATCTGTGTTAAGGATGGGGAGCAGCCGGGAAGAGGGGGTGGGGGAGGGCAGGGCTGGGGACCCACCGAGAATCACGTCGGTTTAAGTGGCAGCTCCTTCCCTCTCCCCCCTCCCCCTCCCAGCCCACAGATTGGTCTGAAGGCAGAAGGCGATGGCTGAGACAGCAGACAAAGAGCGTGGCTCCTCTGGCAGATGTGACCAGAATAATTATTGAGAGACAATAATGTTGCAAGGCGGCTTAACTGCACTGGTTGCCGAAAAGCACCCTCGCCTTTGTGGTGTTGCAGATAGCTTCCGTCTATACATTTCCTGCTCTGGAACGACTCTTTAGCTGCCCCTGAAACTTTCCCAATATAATAAAAAGATACTGGGACTTAAAAAAAAACAACCACGCATCCTCAGTTTTCATGGCAAGAACAGACAGCAACATGCCCTCCTTGGCAAGAGATAGGAGGTTTGTCTTCTGGTCCAGACACCCCCATTGATTGATTTCATTCCCAAGCATGTTCTCAGCCGAGGTCAGAGAAGGGAAAATTGGCAAAACGGTATAATGAGATCATGCTGGAAATAGACTCGGCTGTGTTAATCCATCACAGAACGCAGGCTCCAGCAGTCAGCGTGGGCGTAGTCAGCAAAAATAATTGACTAGAATGGGTGTACCTAACGCGGAAGAATACCCGGTATTCCTGGACAGGGTGTGGCATTTCTTGGTGTTCCCTATGGGCTAAGGAATATATCTTCTCAAATGACTCAATGTCCCTGAAAGCAATGGAGACAATACCTGGGATTCAGCACATTGTGCTTGCAAAGTGGAGGTGAGGAAAAGACTGACCATAAGCCCAAGGGTTCAAAGGACTTGGGTCTTCTGAAAATTCAGGCATTTGCTATGTGCCATATAAGGTTGAGCATTCTTGGATAATACGTCTCCAAATCTCCATGAGCAACAGAGTTGGATAGTGAATTCACTGAGATTCATAGTATCCAAGGAACAATAGGCTGGGTGTGGCACCCTTGCCTCATTAACAGGTATGCTACTAGAGCGTTTAAATTTCACTGGATTATCTTCAAGGGGCTTAAGGTGGCTCTCTCCCACTGTTTTTTAGTTCCCATTTGAACAAGTGTTTTTGAACAATGGGCTAGCACCTGCTGCACAATTTTTGGCTTTTGTATATATAAATAACTTTTATTAAATTTTCTGCTCTACACTTTAAAATACTCATTTAAACATCCTTAAAATATCAGTGACTTCCCTTCTTCTCTTCCCATGGTTCATTTTGCATATCAAAAACCCCTGCATATTTTACAAAAACTAAACCATTCAGTATTCCATCATTGCATCCATCAAAACTTATTTACACTGTTGAATTTATCTTAATTCTTCCAGTGTTTTCAAATGCACACAATTTCCCCCCATGTATTCAATAAACATTTTCCAATCTTCTCTAAACGTGTGTTCTTCTTGTTCTCTTTATCTGTATGTTAAGACTGCAAGCTGCCCATACTCTTGTCAGCTGAAGTTGCCATTCTTCTTTATCACAATTATTGGCTTTGTCATTCGCTGACCTTTGCTTTTCACCTTGTACGCATCTCCCACAAAACTGGTTGCCTGCGTTTCTTCTATCGATGTCCAGTTGACAGGACTGAGGTAGCGAATACAGGTGTAGCTTACGAGCAGAATCCTATATAGCAGGATTATTAAAAGAGCACCCAAAAGCAAATCCCAATTAATACATATATGTGCTTCTTCTTCACCTTTAGCGTGAGTGCATCTCCATCCATGTTGGCCAAGCTGGAGTCCAGATTGGCAATGCCTGCTGGGAGCTCTACTGTCTTGAGCATGGCATCCAGCCTGATGGGCAGATGCCCAGTGACAAGACCATTGGGGGAGGAGACGACTCCTTCAACACTTTCTTCAGTGAGACGGGAGCTGGCAAGCACGTGCCCAGGGCAGTCTTTGTGGACTTGGAACCAACTGTGATTGGTGAGCAAACAAGGCACTTCTAATAGCTTTCTAGCTATGTTTGTGTCTACAGGAGGGATGCCAGAGGTCTTGATGCTTCCACTTGCTTCTCTCCGCAGATGAGGTGCGCACTGGCACCTACCGCCAGCTATTCCACCCTGAGCAGCTCATCACTGGCAAGGAGGATGCTGCCAACAATTATGCCAGGGGCCACTACACCATTGGCAAGGAGATCATTGACCTGGTCCTCGACAGGATACGCAAGCTGGTAAACATGTTTTGTCTGATGGAAGATTTGTGAAGGATAGAAAACGGTGCAACATGATCATATGTTGCTGTTTTGTTTACAGCCATATAACAAATGTCAGTAGTTAAAGGAAGAACATTGTTGATATTAGCTACTAGGTTAGTATTGAAATTGCAGATATACATTAATTATAGACCTTATTCTAATGTTAGGGATTACAAAGTTAGCTTGACATTGGAGTTACATTGAAGATCAAGCTAACCTACTTGAAGAGAATATGTATACCGTAAATCATCCTAATAAGTTTATGGGAAAATGGATGTTTCTTGTAATGCTTTTGAACAGGAACCAAACTATTATTATTTTTAAATTCCATTTTGCAAAATTCTAAATATGCTCACTGGCCCAAAAATCTTGGTGACACAGAATGTCATGAACTAGATTGATACACGTTCACTTTAAGAAGCTACATAAGTAGACAGTCCTTTCTCATCTAAACAGAATGGAGAGAGAATTTTTTTTTTTATTTACATTAGCATCAATTTATCCCAACAGGCCGACCAATGCACAGGTCTCCAGGGCTTCCTGGTCTTCCACAGCTTTGGTGGGGGCACCGGTTCTGGGTTCACCTCCTTGCTGATGGAGCGCCTGTCCGTTGACTATGGCAAGAAGTCCAAGCTGGAGTTCTCCATCTACCCAGCTCCCCAAGTCTCCACAGCTGTCGTCGAGCCCTACAACTCCATCCTGACCACCCACACCACCCTGGAGCACTCCGACTGCGCCTTCATGGTAGACAACGAGGCCATCTATGACATTTGCCGCAGGAATCTTGACATTGAGCGCCCCACTTACACCAACCTGAACAGGTTGATAGGTCAGATTGTGTCCTCCATCACAGCCTCCCTGCGATTTGATGGTGCCCTGAATGTAGATCTGACAGAATTCCAGACCAATCTGGTGCCCTATCCCCGAATCCACTTCCCCCTGGCCACCTACGCCCCAGTCATCTCAGCTGAGAAAGCTTACCATGAACAGCTTTCTGTAGCCGAGATCACCAACGCTTGCTTTGAGCCGGCCAACCAGATGGTGAAATGTGACCCTCGTCACGGTAAATACATGGCCTGCTGCCTGTTGTACCGTGGGGACGTTGTTCCCAAAGACGTCAACGCTGCTATTGCCACCATCAAGACCAAACGTACCATCCAGTTTGTGGACTGGTGCCCCACCGGTTTCAAAGTTGGCATCAACTACCAGCCCCCCACGGTGGTCCCCGGGGGCGACCTGGCCAAAGTGCAGCGTGCCGTCTGCATGCTGAGCAACACCACAGCCATTGCTGAGGCCTGGGCTCGCCTGGACCACAAGTTTGACCTGATGTATGCCAAGCGTGCCTTTGTCCACTGGTACGTTGGGGAAGGGATGGAGGAAGGTGAGTTCTCGGAGGCCCGGGAGGACATGGCTGCCCTAGAGAAGGATTACGAAGAAGTGGGTGTGGATTCTGTCGAAGGGGAGGGTGAAGAGGAAGGAGAGGAATACTAAAGCAAAATGTCACAATGGTGCTGCTCTTACAGGGAAATTAAAGCTATTTAACAACATTCAAGTTTTGGTCTGATCAGTTAATTTATGTAGCCGTGTTCAGAAACCTTTGTTTGCCCTACAATAACTGATCTGTGCCCTAAAACATGAAGGTTTTTATTACAAGCCCTAATCATTGAATGTTGTGGGTTTGTGAATAAAAGGCATTCCCTGTCCTAGAAGATTTGTGTCTTTGTCTTTATTCTTAACACATGCAATATTTATTTTTTGAAAAATATATTATATTGGGCATTGATTGGGGGCACATTCCTATCCAGTGGTACCTCGGTTTTCAAATGTAATCCGTTCTGGAAGACCATTCGAATTCTGAAATGTTCAAAAACCAAAGCTTTTACTTGTGGAAAACTCAATACGGAAGCCACGTGGCACGTTCGACTTCCGAAAAGTGTTCGAAAACCGAAGCAGTTACTTCTGGGTTTTCGGCGTTCTAAAAACCAAAACGTTCAACTTCTGAGACTTTTGAAAACCGAGGTACCACTGTATTTGCAATATACTAGCCCTGGGTTTACTCTACAATTACGCTGGCTTAAAGGCTGCCTTGTCCAATGAATGATGAGCCCGGGAGCAGAGAGGGAGAGACCCGCGGTTTGAAACCACCAGAATTGTACACAGGAAAAGCAAACTTGCCTTAGTCCTTGTCACTTCAAACAACACAGCTTTCTAGCTTTGCTTCTTCACTGCCTCACCCCCTGCCTGTTTCTGCCACACTTGTATCGAGGGTCTCCAATATGGTGCTCACTGCATATATTACCAATTACAATTCCCATAAACCAGGGTCTCCAGCTGTTTTTGGACTACACATCCCATCATCCCTGACCACGGGCCCTGCTAGCTAGAGATATAATGGGAGTTGCAGTCCAACAACAGCTGGATACCCAAGTTTGCGAAGCCCTGCTGTAAGCCTTGATCATTGGTTATTCTGGCTGGGACTGATGGGAGTCAAACAATAGCTGGCAAGCTGGGACGCGGGTGGCGCTGTGGGTTAAACCACAGAGCCTAGGACTTGCCGATCAGAAGGTCGGCGGTTCGAATCCCCGCAATGGGGTGAGCTCCCGTTGCTCGGTCCCTGCTCCTGCCAACCTAGCAGTTGGAAAGCACGTCAAAGTGCAAGTAGATAAATAAGTACCGCTCTGGCGGGAAGGTAAATTGCGTTTCCATGTGCTGCTCTGGTTCGCCAGAAGCGGCTTAGTCATGCTGGCCACATGACCCAGAAGCTGTACGCTGGCTCCCTTGGCCAATAAAGCGAGATGAGTGCCGCAACCCCAGAGTCGGCCACGACTGGACCTAATGGTCAGGGGTCCCTTTACCCTTTACCTTACTATGTTCGCTACCCCTGAATAGCAGCTTCTGCAACTTGGATATACTACAGCAGTATGTAAAGTCAGGGGATCAGAAGAACCCCCATATTCCACCAGCAGCCCATAATTTGAGCACTGCTAGTGAGGGAACGATCCAAAGTTTTTCTTACAGCCAAAGCTTAGCTTAATTTATTTTATTAAAATGTGTCTAGGATGCCTTTCATCCTACTAACATTCAGGGTACTCAACCTCAGAAGGCTACCGCAAAGCACTTGCAGTTTATCTCCCATGTAGTCACAGATGCAAACACAGACGATTCCTATCTGCTGGCGTTTTACTTTTAAAGGTTATTTGCCTAGCTACAATTCTGGAAAACGCTCACCATGGTGTGTAATTCCCATTGAATTCAGTGGGCCTTCCTTCTGAATGGACATGTATGGGATTGTAATGTATTTTGCATTTTAAAACAAGCAAACAAACAAACAAACCCTACCATTTCTGCTCCTCTGACACAGAAGGGAACAAATGTTTTAAATAAATAATGAAAAGGAAGTAAGAAGCGGAGTGAAATTGGAGATGGGGAAAGCTGAGAAGAATGAGCATGCCATGAGAGAATAAACTCACATGTGCTGTGAAAAGGTCCAGCCCAAAGATCTATACCAAGTCAACACGCCTCAAATAAAAAGAGATGTCAAAAAGAGGAAAACTGTTTTCAGTATAATAATAATAATAATAATAATAATAACCCACCCATCGCCCATCTGGCTGGGTTTCCCCAACCATTCTGGGCAGCTCCCAACAGAATATTTAAAAACACGATAAAACATCAAACATTAAAAACTTCCCTAAACAGGACTGCCTTTTATTTCTTTTTCAAAAACAATAATTGCAAGAGAGTATTTTTTTATATATATAAAAAAGGACGTGGGTGGCGCTGTGGGTTAAACCACAGAGCCTGGGACTTGCCAATCAGAACATCGGCGGTTCAAATCCCCGCGACGGGGTGAGCTCCCGTTGCTCAGTCCCTGCTCCTGCCAACCTAGCAGTTTGAAAGCATGTCAAAGTGCAAGTAGATAAATAGGTACCACTCTGGCGGGAAGGTAAACGGCGTTTCTGTGCGCTGCTCTGGTTGGCCAGAAGCGGCTTAGTCATGCTGGCCACATGACCCAGAAGCTGTACGCCGGCTCCCTCGGCCAATAAAGCGAGATGAGCTCTGCAACCCCAGAGTCAGCCACGACTGGACCTAATGGTCAGGGATCCCTTTACCTTATTTAAAAACAACAACATGTTATAAGTCAAAGTTAGGGATAATATATGATTCTTCCATATAGCAAACTTACCCCCATTAGCTTTGGTGATACGGTTTTATTTGTGGCAGATAAATACTTCATTATTTGCTCTCAGGCGTGTGTAGATTCCTAGCATGTTTCCCAAAAAGTATTGTAAAACGATGCTAGTATAGACTGCTATTGCTACACATTTCAACAAATTTATTCACGTATAGATGTCTTTAAATGCAATGCCATGCTTAGGGACATACGAAGCTGCCTAACACCAAGTCATATTACCCACACTGGCTGGCAGGAACTTCTCCAGGGTTTCAGACAGGAGGTTTCCCAGCCCTACCTGCAGATGGTGGGACACGGGTGGCGCTGTGGGTTAAACCACAGAGCCTAGGACTTGCCGATCAGAAGGTTGGCGGTTTGAATCCCCGTGAGGGGGTGAGCTCCTGTTGCTCGGTCCCGGCTGCTGCCAACCTAGCAGTTCGAAGCATGTCGAAGTGCAAGTAGATAAATAGGTACCGCTCCGGCGGGAAGGTAAACGGTGTTTCTGTGCGCTGCTCTGGTTTGCCAGAAGTGACTTAATCATGCTGGCCACATGACCCAGAAGCTGTACGCCGGCTCCCTCGGCCAGTAAAGCGAGATGAGCGCCGCAACCCCAGAGTCGGCCACGACTAGACCTAATGGTCAGGGGTCCCTTTACCTTTACCTTACCTGCAGATGGTGGGATTTGAACCTGGGACCTTTAGCATGTAAGGCATGTGTTCTGCCCTGAAGCTACGGCCCTTCCCAACCCCACATGTCCCAAGCAGACTGGGATAATGGGGTTGTGCTAAAAATCCTTGAGCTTATGTGGAACTGTCAGAGCTGCTTCCAGATCCTAGCTCACAGAGGATCACGCTAGCCAGCGATCATTAAACAAAAGTCTTTATTGAGTTACAGTTTCCATTCTCAAACTGCTGCGTGCAACTCTACGTCTCATGGTTAGACCGGCGAAGCTCCGTCTGAGTCTCCGCCCCTTGTACACCAACTTAATATCCTAGCCCTGCTCCACCTTTTCCGCCTGACTGTTCTTCTCTGGGTCCCTCTGCCCCCTGGGGTCTCTTCTTTCCGGGATTCCTCTGACGCTGACCCCCCTGACTCTTCTCCCTCCTTTCGGCGGGCTTTAGGACCTGGCTCCCTTTCCGGGCTGCCTACTGTGCCACCTTCCTGTGCATTTGAACTTGGTGCGCGCGCCCAACCTTCCACCTTCCGTCTGACCGTTTCTTCGCTCCCCGATGGAGGTGTGGCCACTCCTGACTCGTGCCCTCCCCCCTGTTGTGAGCTGCCAGCGCTTGATCCCTGGCTCCCTTCCTCTTCCCTGCTCTCTGGCGGTGACGCTGGTCCCGATTTCCAACTGCTCCCCTCTGAGTCCCCTCTGGCTCTATCTTCCTGGGGCGTCCCCTAGGCTCCCCCTTGCCCTGGCCACTGGTGCTCCTTTCTGTGAATCTTCTGATTCACTGGAAAGACTCGGAGATCTCGGGTCGTCGTCATCACTCATCTTTTCTTCTGCCTCCTCCCCCTCGCTCTCTGTTTCCTCCCTTGCCCTTGCCTCTGCTCCTGAACCCCTGACAGGAACGTTTTTAAACAATGATGTGACCATGCTCGTTATTGCTATTAACATTGGTTGATGAAGCAAAGTCACTCACTGGAGATGACCATATGACTTTTGCATGGGTAAATACAAATATTGCCCCCAAACTAGTATCGAATCACACTATTTTTTCTTTGGGAGGGAGGATTGCTAATTCTTTGTGAACAGATGGGCACGATGTAAATAAATATAATAATACTGGCCTGCCCTTACAGTGATGTTGCAATGATATATATGAAGTGCTTTGAGCATTCGAGAGAAAAGACAATATAAATGAGTATATTGGGGGATGCCATCCAATTCTCAGAAGACTTGTGTTTAGCAATGCAGTGGTACCTCTGGTTACGTACTTCATTCGTTCCGGAGGTCCGTACTTAACCTGAAACTGTTCTTAACCTGACGCACCACTTTAGCTAATGGGGCCTCCTGCTGCTGCTGCGCCGCCGGAGCACGATTTCTGTTCTCATCCTGAAGCAAAGTTCTTAACCTGAGGTACTATTTCTGGGTTAGCGGAGTCTGTAACCTGAAGCGTATGTAACCCAAGGTACCACTGTATATGGAAACATGGCTGCTGGGACTGCGGTGTTGAATCGGTGGAGACAGCGAACAGGGAAAAAGCTCAGCATGTTGGCGAGAAAGGCTTTTATGTATCTAACAAGCCATGCTGTGGCATCCATTCAGGAGCAGAGGACTACAAGTGTTTAATAAAGGGACTATTGTTACGTTATATATACAGTATATGCTTATTTTTTTTTAAATGATATTTATTAAAGTTTCAAAAAAGTACAAAAAAATACAGAATACAAAAAGGAAAAAAAAATAAAGTTTTTTTTAAAAAATATAACCAAAGAAGTAAAAAATAAAAGAAAACATACCAGATAAAACAATTAAAAGGACATTAAATTTCCGTAACCTATCTTCCTTATACTTATTTCCTTGGTCCTCCTCATACCTCCCTTTTTTGTATTCCAGTTCCATTTGTTGATTCAGCAAATCCTTACCATTAAAATTACCCAGTTGCAAACCTTTTTTCATATCTCTTAAAGCATTACAGCTAAAAAAACCCTTAGTTTCTATCCAACATCCTTCTAAGATTCCTTAATTTTACAATATTTCTGTAAATAGTCTTTAAATTTCTTCCAGTCTTCTTTCACCATCTCTTCTCTCTGGTCTCGGATTCTGCCAGTCATTTCAGTATATGCTTATTTTACAGGACCACATTCTTTCTTTGTTTATATGCATGTATATATCCAAAGCAGCATAGACTTGGCCTCTCAAGTGCCCAAGTCTGTCCTCTTTGGTGCAAATCAGTTTCCCATACACACTATTTTATTTGGACCCTGATTCAGTGATGTGGAAAGCAACCAAATTAGGCTTGGACCATTGTGGAGGCTGCTTGCTTCACCACAGAACTAAATCAGAACCTCATTTGGGGGGAAGAACCTGAATTTTCTTGTCTTGCTGTTCACTGTTATGGGGAAATTTAAAACTGGCTGCAACTCCTTTACCTTTTGATAGGACTGGATGAAATTTGCAAACTCTTGTGCAGATAAAGCCCACTCAGTTTAAAACAAATAGGTTCGAGTTTTGGGGCGTCTTTAACATTTTTATTTACCATATTGGCCTGAATATAAGCCACACCCGAATATAAGCCTCACCTTTAAAATTGGAGGGGGGGGAATACTTGAATATAAGCCGCTCCATTCCTCTTGCCACGGTCATGGTGCTGTTTGCCGCGTGCTCCTGGCTGTATACCATAAGGTCACAAATATAAGTCACACTTTAACTTTTCATGATCAGAATTTGGGGGAAAGCGAGGCTTATATTCAGGCCAATACGGTATTTATTTTAGAGGGAATGTCTATAACAGAAGCCGATAATATTTGCAAGCATGAATGAACAGTGGAGGGAGTAATGCTGTCAGCAAGTCCTGGTAAGCAAATCTTGGTAAGGATCTAGATAAGATTTTAGTCTGATCTGGAAGGGTTCTACTTATGCCCTTGGAACTATCACAAAGGGCAAATAAACAAAGCAAAGGTACCATTTTCCTGCAGCATGTCTTGCTACTAGATTCTGAAATGGACACAAACTCCAGACTCTAACAGTGAGTCATACAGCCTTAACTGAATCTTCCTAGTCCCTCTCAAGAACCAGAGAAACTTATGTTTGAGGTGATAGTGTTACCAACAACATGTGATGATGCTAATATTTATTTGGCATTTCATTAGACTGGGAACATCTGGAGAGGAGAAAGGAACCATCTTCAAATCCAAAGCACTCCAGTTCTTTGCCTTCATTACAGATTTGGCATCACAGGTCAGGATGAGTAATCCTAGTTTCTTCCTTCTCTTTAGGAAGATTTCTTTCCTACCTAAAGACAGTGCTAGCATGCACAGTAAGCACCCAAAACATGCAGAATTTGTGAGAAGTGTGCAGGCTGCAGGCAGGAAGTAGAAAAAATGAGAATCATCTCCTGCCTTCTTTGTGCCTGTAATTTGCACCAATTCCCACTACTGACATTTTTAATGGAGGTTCAGCACAAAGGAATAGCCGAATGCAAAATCCAGTTGGGTTGGAGGACAGAATTCCTCTCCTACTGTAGATATTAATATTGCACAGCATGAAGCAATTGGATGCATAAAAACCATCTCCTTTGGAAATAAAAATTGTCCAGACCCATAAATATTATTCAAAGCCTTTCTAACCAGAATGTCTTCGAAACAGGTACAAAACAATCAATGATACATCCAGAAAGTTGTATAAAGCATATGCATATAGGTGGTTCATATAACATAATTACAAGTAGAGTAAAAATTCAAAGGTCTGTCTCTTCCATAGCTTGCATTAGCCTGCATTCAGCCTAAAGCTATGCAGCTCCTGGAGAGACTCATTTATCACATCTTTCTCTCACTGTGCCTGGGAACAAATGGCCCAGAGGCAACACCCTTCAAGATGGAGATTTGCAATTGAATACCTTTCACATGATCTAAAGTTAAACATCCATGTGAAAGCTAGCAGAGAACACCAACAGCTAATTATCAGCTCAATTAGAAGCTTAGAGAGCTTCAGTATGCTGCAATGGAATTTTCCAATGTTAAACCCTGTCGGCAATACACATGCAGGCATTCTCCATTTCCGGTGCAATTAAACAATTATACATAACATGCCCTCCCCACTCCACCGTAGGAGCCAACTTCTAGGGGCTGAGGTCCCTTCGCCTCCCCCAATAAATTGAGCCCCCCCCCCCGTTAATGAGCAATGCGGTTCAAATGATGTGTGCGTGCTGCATCATGTGATCATGTGGGGTGGGGCTTACCTGGGCCTCCTCAACATTTTATTCAAGTTGGGATCCCTGGACCCCAGCTAAGGGAGACTGGGGGAAGCTATAAAATGTTTAGTATGTGAGAATTGTCCCAGGCAAGCAAGCAGAGGGCAGGAATAGAGAAAATGAGATTAAAAGGGACACCCTCATTAAAGACCGCAATTGTACTTAATAAGGTGAGGTTGCAGTAGTAGGTTGGACAGTGGTACCTCTGGTTGCGAACAGGATCCGTTCCGGAGGCCCGTTCGCAACATGAAAAGAGTGCAACCCACAGTGGTGCGTCTGCGCATGCACAGCTTGCGATTCGCCGCTTCTGTGCATGAGCGTAACGTCATTTTGCACACATGCACGAGTGGCAAAACCCGGAAGTAACCCTTTCCAGTACTTCCGGGTCGCCGCAGGACGTAACCTGAAAGAACGTAACATGAAGCGGACGTAACATGAGGTATGACTGTATGGGCAATGTATCCGGAAGATAAATTGTATATCGAGGAGTTTATGATCTAACACGGTTGCCCTTCCTGCCTCTGTTCCTTCCTCTTCTTATCTCTTGTTAAGTTCTTTGATGGCATGAGAACAGCATTTAATGCCCTAATCAGTTGGGAGGAAGTGATGGTGCTAGGCAGTAGCGGAGAAAGGTGGGGGTGGTCCGCCCCTTGTGTCATCCCTGAGGGGGGGTGACATCACCCTGGGATGCACGCCGCTGCTGGCGCACCCCTCTAGGACGCTCCCCACTGCTGGCACACACCCCTGGGACACGTGTCCCCCGCCGGCACACCCCTGAGGTGACTAGCCCTGCCCCTGTAGGCTGCTTCGGGTGCTGTAGCAGCTAGCTCCGCCTCTGGTGCTAGGTATCTTCTTTGATGTTGGGCACTGTTTTAAGAAAGTGAAGCATTGGGAGGTGGTGGCTAATGAATAATCTGCACATAGCCAGTCGGGCAAGCCACACAGGCTAGTTATCTATAAATCGGATGGTTTTGGGCAGAGTTTTTAGGACAGGCTCGTGCATGGGCTGGCGGTCACAGGGCCGTGCACACTGAGGCTACCTGGGGGAGTCACTTCGCCGCTTCTTGAGGGTTTCCAAGTGGCAGATCAAAGTGCTTGCTTGGTGTGTATATAGTGCTTGCTGCTTAGAATAAAATCCTTATTAATATAAATCATGTGACGTGGATAGAGTGCAAATAAGAATCTGTAAGAGAGGATGTTAATTGTGAAAGCCGATGTAGGGAAGGAAGGAAGTCCGGGCGCGATAACGCGCACGGTAAATAAGTAGGCACCAAAATGTTGAATGTAAGAGTATATGCTTTATTTATTTTTTGTTTTGGAAAATCAATAAAAAGCATTTTTTTAAAAAAAGAATAAAATCTTTAATCTTCTCACTCACTTGCGTTTTGTATTACTTGCGAATCTCATTTCAAAAGAACCACCTTGCATTTGGCAAGACAGAGGTGGGGATGTTTCACAGAGCAGAAAGGCGTCGGATCTGCATTGCGCAGGGGAGTGCAGTGAACAGGGGCAGAAATGCCACGTGGGTGCTGGGTGGGAAGACAGGTCTCTTCCATTCTGCCTGCACACACAGACCGTGGAGCCGGCAAAACGAGTGCACGCAAGGCAAAACATGGCGTTGCAAGGAGGTTCGCCTTGTTTCCCGCCCAACCTTCTTTCCCCGCCCTCCCCGATTTTACAAAAATGTAAATCCAGCTTCATACAATTGACATCCAGGACCCACAGCCGGGAGACCAATCTTTGAAACTTCCCTTCATTCAGTCCCTTCTCCATCCTTATACAGGGCAGCAGAGGAGCCTTTGCTTGGCAGTCGTGCGTATTTGCATCTTCGCAGCCTTTGCTGCTTCTGCCCAAGGGCAGGAGAGCAAAGCCAGTCCCAGTGTCTCGCGGTCTGCAGCAAACTCCAGAGATATTAATATCGTCGTGGCTGCCGCAGTTTTCCTCTGCAGCGCACCGCTCAGCGTCAGCTCCCCCCCCCCCCGCTCTGCAGTTCTGTCTTATTATTTATGGCATCCGGGACATTCCTCACTCATGCTTTGCATTTGGCTCCCCGTCCTCTTGTTGTTCCAGCGCCCTTTTAATCCCCTTGCACATGGCCGTGTTGTTTTTGCTTTTCCAAACGATCATCTCTATCTAGGACAAAGACTGGGGCTGAGTCTTTCTGATTCTTTTTTCATTAAGGAAGGCTTATCGACCTATGATGATGCTATAACAGGTTGGGCTAAGGTCAGAATAAAATCAAAATGCAACTGTGCTGGCCTTCCTTGAATTCCAGGCCTGTCTTATAAATCACTCAGCAGATACAAGGGGGATGGGGGAAGATACGCATATTGTATCTCAGCCAGAAAGCATGCGAGTTATTTGACCACCAAATATGCTGAGAAGCCCCTGCAGCTGTCGCCCATTTGTCTTCTAGACCCACCCACCCAATTCCAGCAGGATAGAGATCATTCTGAAGTCCGTTTTTCGTTTTAACGCCACAAGCGATATTTTGCACCGTGCATTTCAATGCTATTTTAAACAATGCAACGATGGAATTGTCCTAAAGAATATAAGCCCTGGGTTAAAAACAGAGACTTACTGGGGAAACTGTGATTTGGGGAAGGTTTGCTGAAGATAATGGCAAAATGCAGCCCCATTTCTCTGCTTCGATTTTCGAGGGGGGAGGGAGCTGTGTACAGCTTTTATGAATGCACGTGTCTGCGCACACGATTCTACCGGAGGCCTGCAACTGTTGTGTCCCAGACAGACGGCTTAGATAACACATTATAATCCAAAAGCGCCACTGTATCCCTATGGGGACAATAGGATGTGAATAAAAGGGACAGCGGCGCCATTCGAGTAGCTTCATGTCCCCCGCCCCTGCATTTCCTCTTACAGAATGACCCTTTGATCCTCTCCAAATGCAAAGATAATTGCCCTGTTGAAGGATCAGAGCTCTCTTATCTCCCTAGAGGAGGGGGGGGGGAAAGAAGGACTGTTTTATTACATCTCTCTATGAACAGTTGTTGTTTTTAAATAAATAAATAAAATACCCTGTGATCGGGAAGTCGCATCAAGAGTTTTCGATGCAAGGAATTCAGCTGGGTGCTATCAAAGAAGCCTCAGGCCTGTCCCCTAAAAAAATGAAGGATTCGCCCTCGAACAGGAGAACAGGAAGAGTGGATCCACGCAGCCCACACACCTCGCCGCCTCCCTCTCTTCCCCCAAAACCCATCTTCCCAGCGAAAAGGGGGACATTGGTTTCAGCCAATCATGGATTGTGAGCTCACAGACGGACGTGCCCGGCTGCCCAATGGCAACCGCGCAAGCGGAAGGATTATCCTAAATGCATAGCCAGCCCAGCTTCTCCCGCCCAGCCCTGGGAGGGAGATGTGAGATAAAAGCAGCCGGGCGGCCCCTCCATCTCCCATTCGGTTACTTACATCGACTCTTAGCTTGTCGGGAGAAGTAACATCCCTGCTTTCTGTCCCTTCTTTCCTTCTCCTGCTTCCTGAAGCCCTTCCTCGTCGACATCATGGTGAGTGAGGCGAGGCAGGAGGAGGAGGAGAAGGAAGCCGGAGTGGGGTTTTTTTTTGGGGGGGGGAGAGAAGGGGATGCTTATTTTTTTTTGCAAAGGAGTAGATCCCAGGGTGGGGCGCCCCTCCGATGTCCAGGGAAGCGTGGGGCGAAGGGATCGGGGCGGGAGGGAGGGGAATCCGGAGGCCGGACTAGATTCCCCACTAGGAAAGCCACCGGCGATGATGGCTGGAGCGCGCGCGCAAGGATTACGGGATCCACCGCTTGGAGGGTCGGGTGGGGGCTGGGGAGGAGGTTTTACCTTAAGGAACACAAGCATCGAGAAACTGGAGGAGCCCAAGGGGCAGGCAGCTCGCCCATAGTGGCTCGGGAGAGGATGTGATGTGTCTCCCGGCGGAGAAATCGATTTGGATCTCGGAAAGGGCGCATCTGAAATAATAACAAAAACGCGAGGCGCTCGGTAAAGAGGGGGCTGGAAAAGGATCGTGGCCAGTCCTTGATCTCGGGAGGGAAGGTGGTGAGGTTTTCTTGTTGGGGGGGGGGGGGGGGCGCTGGAGAGCCAGGGTGGGGCGGAGAGAAGGTTCTAGACTGGGTGGCCAGGAGCTGGTGGTGGGCTTGGAGGAGGGCGATGATGGAGAAGGGGGGATGGGGTCTCAAAAGACGGAGGTGCTAATTGGGGGGGGGCTTTATTTCTTGCATTTTCTGCCGTGCCCTGTACGGTTCCCCCCTCCCTCTATTTCACCCTCCAGTCAGGTGGGTTCAGCTGAGTTGACGGAGACACGCGATGCAAAGCCGGGTCAAATCCTCGGCTCTGATCCGACCCGTTCACTACCGCCTCCGGATTAATGGCAGGATTGGAAGAGAGTGTGTGTGTGTGTGATCGTAGTATTTAGGTCGGAGGCAGCCCTGCTGCTGAATTGCAATTGCGGGAGAGGAGAATGCATCAGGTCGGCACCGACTAGATGGGCCATGGGGCGAATCCAGGAAGGGCTTTTCCTCTGTCTGGAGGTGGGAATGCAAAAGGGCTCCCTCCCCCCCCCACTGCAAAATAGATGCCAACTTCTTAATAGGATCTGAAGGCTCTGCATGGATATCCTAAAAGCCCTTAACATATAGTCCCCGTTATCCACTGGAATAGACATTCTTGCTGATGCCACTGGGGAAAAACTCCTGGGGCCAAGGCTTGCCTCCCAATAATTATTATTATTATTATTTGGAATTGCAAGCCTTGTCATCCGAGATGCGTGGGAGGGATTTTGCTAATTTCAGTGGGTTATTCGGATTATTATTATTATTTCTTCTACGCTGATTGCGATGGGGAGAGGTTGAAAAGGCGCATGGAGCCCCCCTGGGCTCCTCCCCCACCCCGCGCGCCTGCCCTTAACATTTTCCCGCGCTGCGAGGCTGGAGGAGGGGGCTGTTTGCCTTTGGCGCGCGGAAGGGGCGCTGAGCCCGCGCCACGAGGTCTGCTTCCGCTGCAGCAACAGCAAAGATGCAGCAGCTGCATATGCTTCCCTTCCCCCATCCGCGAAGCAGCGCACACATCACATATTCTGTTTCGGCACAAGGGGAGGGGGAAAGCTCGCCAGGTTTTCCTGAAAGTAGCCCAAGAATTTTGGGGTCTTGAAGTTCAACAACTTTTGGAGTGTCCTGGTTTTTACTTTTTGGTGTGAAATATGGCAACCCTGTCCCCTGCTTGCTTCTGCAAATCTGCCTCCCCCCCAACCTTTTGGAAACGTTGCAGAATATTAGTATCCAGAGCTCTATCTTTGCTATATTACACCCCCCCCTTTTTATTATTATTTTTGCAAGATTTCAGGAGTGGACATAACAAAATCCCTAGTAATAAGGTGCAGTGTGAGTTGGAAAGGAGACCTATAGAAAGGTCAGTTAAATATTCCTCCTTACAAAACTTCTTGTAGTCCTACGAGCGTAATTTGTTGGTTACAATTGCTTGTAGTTCATATACTTCTTCCAATCTTCTGTAAATCTCTGGTCCGCAGGTTTCAAAGTGCTACAAAGTACAGTAGATAAAGAATAGAGATACAGTGGTACCTCAGGTTACATACGCTTCAGGTTACAGACTCCGCTAACCCAGAAATAGTGCTTCAGGTTAAGAACTTTGCTTCAGGATGAGAACAGAAATTTTGTGGCAGCAGCAGGAGGCCCCATTAGCTAAAGTGGTGCTTCGGGTTAAGAACAATTTCAGGTTAAGAACGGACCTTTGGAACGAATTAAGTACTTAACCTGAGGTACCACTGTATTGGTTATGAGTTTTAAATGTAACAGGGAAAATAAGAAACGTATACTAAGAGATTAGATTGGAAAATTTTCAGACAGGACTGATGGAAGTCAAAAAAATTGAATAAGATGTAAAAATATGTTTAATTACTGCTGAAAATGGTATGTTAAAAAACTTATATAGGTCAATTAAATAGGTAACTAGGTGGCTGGAGTTCTGCTTTTCCTCAGTAACACATATCCAGGATGGTAGGTCCTAGAGTTGGAAGGGGACCCCAAGGGTCATCTAGCCCAACCCCCTACTATACAGGAATCTCAGCTAAAGCATCCGTGGCAAGTGGCCGTCCAAACTCTGCTTTAAGACTTCCAAGGAAAGGGAGTCTTACTGAGCCCTGGGATGCTTGAGGAAAGCCGTGGCCAAGGCAGGCCACCGAAACCAGGGGTTAGCACAATGCAAGGGGCTGTCCTGAATAATGGGGGTTAAACTTGGGGTTCCTGGGGCATGCTCTGCTACTGCCTAATTTGCCCTGCTTGGAGTGTAAAGGTAAAGGGACCCCTGACCATTAGGTCCAGTCGCGAACGACTCTGGGGTTGCAGCGCTCATCTCACTTTATTGGCCGAGGGAGCCGGCGTACAGCTTCTGGGTCATGTGGCCAGCATGACTAAGCCGCTTCTGGCGAACCAGAGCAGCGCACGGAAACGCCATTTACCTTCCCGCCGGAGTGGTACCTATTTATCTACTTGCACTGGTGTGCTTTTGAACTGCTAGGTTGGCAGGAGCAGGGACCGAGTAACGGGAGCGCACCCCTTCACGGGGATTCGAACCGCCGACCTTCTGATCGGCAAGCCCAAGAGGCTCAGTGGTTTAACCCACATCGCCACATCCCTGCTTAGAATGACTAATGTCCGAAATGCTCAAGAGCCTGATGGCCTCTCAAGTGCCATCTGTTGGGAGGAAGATTTGAAAGGCATGTTTCAAAGCAAGTGACACCCTGTGCCTGATGAGCACAAGTGGATTCCAGAAGGCATCTGACAGGAATCTAGATCTAGGCTTGAAATAATCCTCGCAACAGGCCGCCAGCAGGTGCTGCAGAGTAAATTGACTCTCAAAGGGTGGGGCTAGCGGTTTCCGGTCTCTGCTTTACACATGGGGGAAGAAGCCGATTCCATCGGCTTTTTGCCTTCCGAGTCAGCTGACGGCAAGTGGCGTGACCTGCTGGTTGCTGACTGCAGAGAGTACAGTCACAGCTTTGTGCTGAACAGCTTATTCATGCTGTTTTTTTTATAGACAGCAGAATTCCCCTCTGTGATTAAGTCTGTCTTAGTGCAGGAACTTCATTAGGCCTGCAGATGAAAGCTAATGTTTTTTTAAAAATGCCTTTTTCGATACGGTGAGCTAGGCCTTGCCAGCTGAACTGTAAATGTGCCTCGCTAGCAGTCTTAACTGGAGCACGACATTGCTCCCGTTACCAGTAAATTTGTGCAAATTCTTTTTGATCCATTATATAAAGCACAAGGTTTCCTGCACAAAAGTCTGAGGGAGGGGCCGCACGGTGTTTGAAATTCCCATTGATTTGGGCGTGTTTTGCGACAGCGAATTTTGTTAGCGTGAGCGGCTTCTGAGCTCTGGGCGCAGTACTGCGGTACTGCGCCTGAGATTTCAGATTAAAACTGCAGAGTGGAAGGAAAGAAGGACCTTTTTCTGTTTCCAGCTGCTCTCTGAAGACTGGAGAAAATACCCTCTTAAGAATATTAGAGGGGATGGGCAGGGGAAGGACTAGACCAGGCACGTCCTACAGGTAGATAGTGATCTACTGGTAGATCACTGGACGTCTGTGGTAGATCACTGGCTCCCCCCAAAAAGCTCAACAAGTTTGGCTCCCCCAAAAAGTTTTTTTTTTAAAATTAACATTTAAAAACATTTAAATTGCCCTGCACCCCCAAAAGCCAGGGCTTTCATCCTCTCTAAAAAGCTCAGCAACTTTGACCTGAACCCCCAAAAAGGGGGTATATCACTGCCAGTCTTTAACTCTGTGAGTAGATCACAGTGTCTCGGGAGTTGGCCACCCCTGGACTAGACCACATGAAAAATAAACTTAAGATTTTAGCTGCATTTTCAGCTTTGTATTCTTGTTATAAAAAAAAGCATGCCCAGACATTCCGTTGTTGCACCCATAATAATAATAAAAAATAAATAATACTTTATTATTTATACCCTGCCCATCTGGCTGGGTTTTCCCAACCGCTCTGGGTGGCTTCCAATCTAGGTTTAAGATGCCATTTTGCTCCTAGCTTTCCTGTCTCAGTTTCTAACACTGGGACCACATAATCTTTAATGCAAAGAAAAATACGAAAGCAATATGGACACCCACTCAATGCATACAGTCCCCAATGTGGTTCAATAAACTGTATGTGAAGGGAAATGCAAAATGGGTCATGATTTAGGACTGCTTGGAACATTTCTTCTAATATGAATCATCAAAACTTTATTCCATTTCTCACAAGTTACTCTCAAAACTAGTTGGGAACTGTATCTGTTGTACAGCTGATCCTGATACATTGTGTTAATACAATGAAAGAACTGCACCCAGCAAGGGCTTTTTCAATGCAAAGGACATTTAGGGTGGGGCCTCCTTGTATGGGGAACTCCTGACACAGGTGTGTCTGGCCTCTACTTTGAGGTGGTTGGTTCAGACGCATCTTTCTTTGGCAGATATTTGTGGAAAGGAGAGACCTGATCGCTGCTGCTATTAGCAACATTGTTTTGAATGTGTTTGAATGTGTTTTTATTTTATAATGTATCTTACCTAGTGTCCGCTCTGAGATCTTCGGGTGAAGGGTGGTATAGAAACTCAGTCAATTACAGTGGTGCCCCGCAAGACGAATGCCTCGCAAGACGGAAAAACCGCTAGACGAAAGGGTTTTCCGTTTTGAAGTTGCTTCGCAGGACGAATTCCCCTATGGGCTTGCTTCGCAAGACGAAAATATCTTGCGAGTCTTGAGATTTTTTTTTCGCTTCCCCCTTTATCTAATCTGCTAAGCCTTTAATAGCCTTTAATAGCCTTTTAGCAGCTAATCCCCTAAGCCTTTAAGCCTTTAATAGCCGCTAAACCGCTAATAGCGCTAATCCGTCAATGGGCTTGCTTCGCAAGACGAAAAAACCGCTAGACGAAGACTCTCGTGGAACGGATTAATTTCGTCTTGCGAGGCACCACTGTATCTGCTTAGCTTGTGCAAAGGGTTGTATATAGATCTGTGCAAAGGGTTGTATATAAATAACAAACAAAACAAACCTGCTAAATTTGTTCATCAACCATTCCTCTCTCTCCTTGTTGCAGCGTGAGTGCATCTCCATCCACGTTGGCCAAGCCGGAGTCCAGATTGGCAATGCCTGCTGGGAGCTCTACTGTCTTGAGCATGGCATCCAGCCTGATGGGCAGATGCCCAGTGACAAGACCATTGGGGGAGGAGACGACTCCTTCAACACTTTCTTCAGTGAGACGGGAGCTGGCAAGCACGTGCCCAGGGCAGTCTTTGTGGACTTGGAACCAACTGTGATTGGTGAGCAAACAAGGCACTTCTAATAGCTTTCTAGCTATGTTTGTGTCTACAGGAGGGATGCCAGAGGTCTTAATGTTTCCAATTGCTTCTCTCCGCAGATGAGGTGCGCACTGGCACCTACCGCCAGCTATTCCACCCCGAGCAGCTCATCACTGGCAAGGAGGATGCTGCCAACAATTATGCCAGGGGCCACTACACCATTGGCAAGGAGATCATTGACTTGGTCCTCGACAGGATCAGGAAGCTGGTAAATAACTTGCAGACAGGTTTTAATGAGGACCCGGGTGAGCTTAGTAGGATAAAGCATTTAAAGGCACCAGTGGAATGATCTCAGGCAGGCAAGCAAGCCCCGATAAGAATTAACGAGTCTCCGGCAGTTTTATGGTATGTTTACTTACAATTAACATCCAGAGCACGGCTCTGAATCTCCTCTCCTTTCCCAGCACGAAGGGTGCCAAAGTCCAGCCCTTCCTCTCTTGTACTTCCGTTGCATTTTAGCCCTTTCAGCTCTTATGGTTTGGGGAGAAGGTGGGTAAACTCCCCCCTCCCTGCTATCAAACAAAAATCCTTCTAAGTGCTGCCTACCTCCTGGTTGCATAGCAACCCCCTCAATGTCATCTATCTCCTCCCCTCCCTCTGCCTGCGAGCTCTCTGAGACGGCTGCTCTATCTGAGTCTGGGAACTCTTGGTGAAGGGGTGCCGAACTAACCCACTCTTGCTCTGTGGTTGCAATCCCTCGTCTCCAGAGCCAGACTCTGGCTCCCTCTGTACTGACATTCATCCATCTCCAGTGTCAGGCTTTTTGCAGGTGTTCGATTCAGCCACATCCCTGAGAACCAGTATGGTGAGACGAACCCTTTCTGGGTGTGGTTTTAGAAGCTGATTATCTCCAGATTTGAGGATATGCAAGGGGAAGGGAATTGTGTGGTCTGAAAGCAGTGATGAAAGGCCATGGACGAGTGGATGGTTCAGCACTAAAGGGTCGGGTTCCCCTAACAAACCCCATTGGTGGATGTCCTCTGCAAGGTTTCCCACTTGTGGAAAGGGGGTTCCCTGCTCTCCTCAATCCTTGCAACCACCGAAATCAACTCGTGTGAGGTTAGGAGAACTCCCAGAACATTGCATGGTTAAAGGTAAAGGACCCCTGGATGGTTAGGTCCAGTCAAAGGCGACTATGGGGATGTAGTTCTCATCTCGCTTTTCAGGCTGAAGGAGCTGGTGTTTGTCCACGGACGGCTTTCCAGGTCATGTGGCCAGCGTATGGAAATGCCGTTTACCTTCCCATCACAGCAGTACCTATTTATCTACTTGCACTGGTGTGCTTTTGAACTACTAGGTAGCAAGAAGCTGGAACAGAGCAACAGGAGCTCGCCCCTTTGCGCAGATTCGAACCACTGACCTTTCTGATCGGCAAGCCCAAGAGGCTCAGTGGTTTCGAACTGCCGACCTTTCTGATCGGCAAGCCCAAGAGGCTCAGTGGGTCCTTTACCTTTTACCTTTACCTCCTTCCCTTGCTTACCTGGCTTTGCAAAGGTAGTGCAAGGGCTGGGGGGGGGGGCAATGTTGCCAAGGGCTGCCAAAAAAGGCATTGAAGCAATGTGTTGGACCCCCCTTCAGAGAACAAGGAGTGAGCCTTTTCTCATACCCAAATTCAGCTACAGATTGGGATTTGTTTTGGATTCACATAACCACAGTGCTTTTTCCTGGGGGGGATGCAGGGTACACATATCCCTAAGCATTTTGTGAATCTCATTACTTTTGTTCATTTACTGTATTTGGTATGACTTGGATTTGTGAAGGCTTAGAAGTGTGGAGCCATAACAAGCTTCTGCCCATCTTAGCTACCCAAACGCCCAGATCCATCCTGGTTGTTCTGCCTATGTAAACACTAGCCTCTGCCCTTTGGTGAGGGCAAGCGTATTTAAACACAAATCACCATGTGAACGATGAAAGGGATAAAACGGGGGGAGGGGGTTGGAATCCTCAGATGAACCGCAATCGGTATGAGACATCTGGGGAAATCTGATCATGAAAAGCAGCCAAGACTTAACTGCAAATGCATGAGGGAGTTTTGAGCAGATAAATGCATGGTTTAGTCTGAGGGTTGCCAGTGAAATGGTATTGATGTGAAGAAGTCCTTGAAGGCTGTGCTAGTAACTTTGACAGTGGTACCTTGGGTTACAGACGCTTCAGGTTACAGACTCCGCTAACACAGAAATAGTACCTCGGGTTAAGAACTTTGCTTCAGGATGAGAACAGAAATCGCATCGCAGCCGCGGTCGGAGGCCCCATTAGCTAAAGTGGTGCTTCAGGTTAAGAACAGTTTCAGGTTAAGAACGGACCTCCAGAACAAATTAAATACGTAACCAGAGGTACCACTGTATTTAAAACCAGCATCCTTTCAAAACTGCTGCTTCCGCTGTGGCATAACATGCCTAGAAAAGCACAGCTGGAGTTTGGTGTTAATATTGGGATCCAAAACAGTCTTGAAGAGATCAGTATATGAGGCTGTTAATTTGTTAAGTAGGGCCAGGAGTCAATTTAGTTGCTGAATGTTTATCCTGCCTGTTAAATTCTGTGATAGGGTTTTTCAGCAAAAGTGTGGAAAGCCTTGCAATAGACAAGAGTGTTCAGAATCTTTTAAAAATCAGCACTAAATATTGTGTGGTTATTTCTAACAGGCTGACCAATGCACAGGTCTCCAGGGCTTCCTGGTCTTCCACAGCTTTGGTGGGGGCACCGGTTCTGGGTTCACCTCCTTGCTGATGGAGCGCCTGTCCGTTGACTACGGCAAGAAGTCCAAGCTGGAGTTCTCCATCTACCCAGCTCCCCAAGTCTCCACAGCTGTCGTCGAGCCCTACAACTCCATCCTGACCACCCACACCACCCTGGAGCACTCCGACTGCGCCTTCATGGTAGACAACGAGGCCATCTATGACATTTGCCGCAGGAACCTGGACATTGAGCGCCCCACTTACACCAACCTCAACCGCCTTATCAGCCAGATTGTGTCCTCCATCACGGCCTCCCTGCGATTTGACGGTGCCCTGAATGTAGACCTCACAGAATTCCAGACCAATCTGGTGCCCTATCCCCGAATCCACTTCCCCCTGGCCACCTACGCCCCGGTCATCTCAGCTGAGAAAGCTTACCATGAACAGCTTTCTGTAGCCGAGATCACCAACGCTTGCTTTGAGCCGGCCAACCAGATGGTGAAATGTGACCCTCGTCACGGTAAATACATGGCCTGCTGCCTGTTGTACCGTGGAGACGTCGTCCCCAAAGACGTCAACGCTGCTATTGCCACCATCAAGACCAAACGTAGCATCCAGTTTGTGGACTGGTGCCCCACCGGTTTCAAGGTTGGTATCAACTACCAGCCCCCCACGGTGGTCCCCGGGGGCGACCTGGCCAAAGTGCAGCGTGCCGTCTGCATGCTGAGCAACACCACAGCCATTGCTGAGGCCTGGGCTCGCCTGGACCACAAGTTTGACCTGATGTATGCCAAGCGTGCCTTTGTCCACTGGTACGTTGGGGAAGGGATGGAGGAAGGCGAGTTCTCGGAGGCCCGGGAGGACATGGCTGCCCTAGAGAAGGATTACGAAGAAGTGGGTGTGGATTCCATTGAAGGAGAAGGGGAGGAGGAAGGAGAGGAATATTAAGCCTGTTCTCCATCACTTCTGCTGCATGGCTCATCTCCACGGTTTTTTCAGCTTAACACACTTAGCATACCTGTTAACTGGGGGAGTGTTGTCTATGAAAATGTGCAGCAGTCTTCACTAGGTTATCTCTCCATTCCACTATGTGATTATGTCAATTTTCCATGTCTTTTAAAGTATCATCATGTCTGTGAAATAAATGCTTTAAAAGGATCTGGGTATTCATCATTGTATTATTAGCATTCTCTTAACACCCAGGGTTATTGCGCATGGACTGAAAGTGCTGGAAATGCAAGTTTTGATGTCAATAGCCATTAATATATAAGCTAATATTCAAACTTGTACAATATATAGCTTATTTATTGTTCCTTTGATGTCTGGACTTTTAAGTACAAGTACACAATATCATCATCATTTATTAGACTTCTTAGTTTTTACAAACAGATCATTAAGTAACTTGCACCGTATTTATAAACAAAAGAACATAGCGACACATTAACAGAAAAATACGTGCAATTCATGAAAAACGTTGGAAGCAAAAAGCAGCTGCACAAAGCTTTGGCAGCACACGAACTGCAAAACCATCATAGTCCATTAAAAGCCTGCAGATGCTTGCCTATAACTTTGCAGCTGTGTGGTTTTTTTTAAAAAAAAAACATCTGTCCCAATTTGATTTACTAAAACTGGCTTGAGAAAAGGAGAGAAAGAAACACAGTGCTAATTGGCTGGTAAATGTCTGTTCAGAAATAAGTCCCATTAAGTTAAATGAGGGTAAGTCCCAAGTAAATGGGTATAAGGCAGGGGTCAGCAACCTTTTCCAGCCGTGGGCCGGTCCACCATCCCTCAGACCATGTGGTGGGCCGGACTATATTTTTTTTGGGGGGGGGAAGGAATGAATTCCTATGCCCCACAAGTAACCCAGAGATGCATTTTAAATAAAAGGACACATTCTACTCGTGTAAAAACACAGGCAGGCCTCACAAATAACCCAGAGATGTATTTTAAATGAAAGGACACATTCCACTCATGTAAAAACATGCTGATTCGCAGGCCGGATTTAGAAGGCAATTGGGCCGGATCCGGCCCCCGGGCCTTAGGTTGCCTACCCCTGGGTATAAGGATTGCAGCCATAGGATGAGTAAGTGCAAATATGCCATCACAACCTCCCACTGAAAGCAGGAGGAGGAGTGTGGCCACCTTTTCTGTTGTAGCTAAGCGATAACTAGCAGTTTTGTACCTGGAAACACTTGGGCATTCTAAGCATCCAAAAAAATTGCAGTTTTTAAATCTAGTTAAAATTGGTGAAGGATGTAGTCCGCCATCTTGATTAAAAATGGCGTCCAATTGTATACAAACGCAGACAAAAAACCTACTCCTTGATCATGCAAAATTTGTTATGATTTCCGAGTGCATAGCAAACAGATAATTACACACCCCCCCGCCAAAAAAAAATATAGTAGACACATAACACCAGTCTTGAAAGACCTACATTGGCTCCCAGTACATGTCCGAGCACAATTCAAAGTGTTGGTGCTGACCTTTAAAACCTAAACTGCCTCAGCCCAGTATACCTGAAGGAGCGTCTCCACCCCCATCGTTCAGCCCAGACACTGAGGTCCAGCTCCAAGGGCCTTCTGGTGGTTCCCTCACTGTGAGAAGCAAAGTTACAGGGAACCTTCTTGGTAGTGGCACCCGCCCTGTGGAATGCCCTCCCATCAGATACCAAGGAAAAAAACCACTATCTGACTTTTTGAAGGCAACCCTGTATTGGGAAGTTTTTAACATCTGATGTTTTATTGTATTTTTTATATTTTGTTGGAAGCTGCCCAGAGTGGCTGGGGAAACCCAGCCAGATGAGTGGGGTATAAATAACAATAATAATAATGACCAATAATGTCCTGGTGACCGATAATGCCACTTTTAAAAAATGATAATCTTGGTTGTATTGCTGGAGATTTATTAAAGCATGGCGGCCCACACAGCCTGATTCTTCTTTGTCCGCTGATACTCTCAACCTGTGCTGCTTTACTTTTACATCAGCTAGAGGTGTAGAGGTGCAGTGTAAATACTAGATGGGGATGATTATGATGGTGCACTGGGCTGATTGATGGGGTCTTGCACGCTGCTCTTTTGGAGCTGGCGCAACGGGGCTCTGGCGACATAGCAGTCAGCGCACATTACAGTTGATGCAACAAAGCTCCTTTGTGCATTCAGGGGATAAAAAATTAATCTGGCCACCTGACAGAGCAATCAGATTACTATTTTATTGAATGCCCAGCTGTAATGTGCATGAAACTTGCCCCATGGCCGGGCTCAGTTTTCACTAGTGTACTCTTCCCTTGTGATAAATGACAGAGAACTATTGTGGAAGGCTTTTTTGATCATTAGCTGTCTTAAAGGCAGCCTGTCTCTCGTCTGATTGTACAGTGGTACCTTGGGTTAAGAACTTAATTCGTTCTGGAGGTCCGTTCTTAACCTGAAACTGTTCTTAACCTGAGGCACCACTTTAGGCAATGGGGCCTCCTACTGCTGCCGTCGCGCGATTTCTGTTCTCATCCTGAAGCAAAGTTCTTAACCTGAGGTACTATTTCTGGGTTAGCTGAGTCTGTAACCTGAAGCGTCTTTAACCCAAGGTACCACTGTACTGCCCTCCATTTCCAGTTAGTTGCATTAGGATGGGTTTTTGCAAGTACTCTGAGTACCATGGTTTCAGCTATGCCTCTCAGGTCACCTTCCATTTTGTGCTACGCATAGTGGTGCCTAGGCAGATGTACTAAAACCTACAGTAAAGGTAAAGGGACCCCTGAATATTATGTTCAGTTGCAGATGACTGGGGTTGCGGTGCTCATCTCGCTTTATTGGCCGAGGGAGCCGGCGTACAGCTTCCGGGTCATGTGGCCAGCATGACTAAGCTGCTTCTGGCAAACCAGAGCAGCGCACGGAAACAGTAGCACACAAATAATATTTTACTACTAATACATTCTGCGACAGTGAGCACATAAACATTTTACTGCCGAACTGCATAATCTCGGCGAAGTGTTAATTGCATACATGCGATTGGAGATTGCACATTTTCCTCTGTATTGTGGGAGCGGATATGGCTCAGACACTCTGTCAGCACCTGGTACCCTCCGACAGTGGGTAGCGCTGTGGTCTAAACTGAGCCTCTTGGGCTTGCCGATCAGGTCGGTGGTTCAAATCCCTGTGACGGGGTGAGCTCCTGTTGCTCTGTCCCAGCTTCTGTCAACCTAGCAGTTTGAAAGCACACCAGCGCAAGTAGATAAATAGGTACCACTGTAGCGGGAAGTAAACAGCATTTCCATGTGCTCTGGTTTCCGTCACGGTGTTCCGTTGTGCCAGAAGCGGTTTAGTCCTGCTGGCCACATGACCCAGAAAGCTGTCTGTGGACAAATGTCAGCTCCCTCGGCCTGAAAGCGAGATGAGTGCCGGATCCCCACAGTCGCCTTTGACTGGACTTAACTGTCCAGGGATTCTTTACCTTTTACCTTACATACCGACAGTTGCCAGGGCTCAGCAGTCCTGCTGGATCCCATTGGGCACTAACATCTATCCTCATCCCAAGCTGTGGACCTCATGTGCCCCAGAGGTATGCTGGTGTGGGGCACCTCACATCACTGTGGGAAATGGAAGTCCACCAGCGGGCACTTGGCTGAGGAGCTACTCAAACCTGAAGCTGGCCCAAATGCGTCTCTCATGAATAACGGGGAAACTTATGGATGCCCTGCCTGCCCCTGTACCTCTGCCACTGCCTCAAGTGGCAAAATGGGACTTGCTAGCCCAGGCATTGAGGGGAAGACTGGCAGACTGCTGGACACACAAAGATGTTGAAAGAGATTGAGGAAGATGTGTGTTTGCCTAGGTAGGAGAGCTGGCACTGGAAGGGATAAATAATAATAATAATAATAATAATACAGTGGTACCTCGGGTTAAGAACATAATTCGTTCTGGAGGTCCATTCTTAACCTGAAACTGTTCTTAACCTGAAGCACCACTTTAGCTAATGGGGCCTCCTACTGCTGCCGCGCCGCCACCACATGATTTCTGTTCTCATCCTGAAGCAAAGTTCTTAACCCGAGGTACTATTTCTGGGTTAGCGGAGTCTGTAACCTGAAGCGTCTGTAACCCGAGATACAGTATTATATTATAATAATATATTGTATTATAATAATAATTTATTATTTCTACCCCGCCCATCTGGCTGGGTTTCCCCAGCCACTCTGGGCAGCTCCCAACAGAATATTAAAAACACAATATAACATCAAACATTAAAACTTCCCTAAACAGGGCTGCCTTCAGACATCTTCTAAAAGTCATATAGTTGTTTATTTCCTTGACATCTGACGGGAGGGCCTTCCACAGGGCGGGCGCCACTACCGAGAAGGCCCTCTGTCTGGTGCCCTATAACCTCACTTCTCACAGGGAGGGAACCGTAAGAAGACCCTTGGAGCTGGACCTCAATGTCCAGGCTGAACAATGGGGGTGGAGACGCTCCTTCAGGTATACTGGACCGAGGCCATTTAGGGATTTAAAGGTCAGCACCAACACTTTGAATTGTGCTCGGAAACGTACTAGGAGCCAATATAGGTCTTTCAGGACCGGTGTTATGTGGTCTCGGCGGCCACTCCCAGTCACCAGCCTAGCTGCCGCATTCTGGATTAATTGGCAGTAAAGGACCTACAAGCCAGCTCTGGGAGAGGTATGGAACTTAATGAACAGAAGAACAGAAGAAGAAGAAATTGCTGAAAGCGGGACATGAGCACACAAGCACTCGATTCCTATTTTTCCCCATGAAGAGGTATTGTTAAGCCGCTCTGAGAATTGTAGCTTTGTGAGGTCAATAGGAGCCTCCCTAACAATGCTCAGCACTCTTAACAAACTGCAGCTCTCATAATTATAGGGCATTTGTGTGCCATGGCTGTTTAGAGTGGTACCGTTCTGCTTCAGATTGTTGTTGTTGTTTAGTCGTGTCCGACTCTTCGTGACCCCATGGACCAGAGCACGCCAGGCACTCCTGTCTTCCACTGCCTCCCGCAGTTTGGTCAAACTCATGCTGGTAGCTTCAAGAACACTGTCCAACCATCTCGTCCTCTGTCGTCCCCTTCTCCTTGTGCCCTCCATCTTTCCCAACATCAGGGTCTTTTCCAGGGAGTCTTCTCTTCTCATGAGGTGGCCAAAGTATTGGAGCCTCAGCTTCAGGATCTGTCCTTCCAGTGAGCACTCAGGGCTGATTTCCTTCAGAATGGAGAGGTTTGATCTTCTTGCAGTCCATGGGACTCTCAAGAGTCTCCTTGTCTTTGTCCATGGAGTTTTCTTGGCAAGGATACTGGAGTGGCTTGCCGGTTCCTCCTCCAGGTGGATCACGTTTGGTCAAAACTCTCCACTATGACCTGTCCATCTTGGGTGCCCTGCTCGGCATAGTTCATAGATTCTCTGAGTTATTCAAGCCCCTTCACCACGGCAAGGCAGTGATCCATGAAGGGGTCTGCTTCAGATAGATGGTGCCAATGTGGGCTAGAAGTCTTTTGAGAGGGATACCATTTTCTAACGTTGTGCACCTTCTCAGAAGATAACCTCCCTGGTTGTTTTTCTAATTCTTGCAAGGCCTCTAGATGGCACTATCTGCATATGGTTATTTCCGGGGTGCGCATGAGAGCAGGCCTGAACTTAATGCATGGTAAAATTGGTAAATTGGTCACAATGAGTAGCTGTCTTGAGAACAATAAACCAGGATGCTGTATGTTTTTATAGGTCACGCTGGGCAGTGAACCCTCGACAGTGTAATAAAGCACAGAATCTTAATTGTGATGCAAACCCTTATTTAGTGGTTTTGATTATATGGTGTGGCGTCTCAGGCTAAGCGCATGGCAGTGAGTCAGGTGCCTCAATTACTCTGTGCAGAGACACATAAGGCTTGTCTCATCCACTGTTGGGTCCAGGTTTTGCGGGGGGCCCTGAGCAAGAACCCCTTAGTAGGCTCTTCTCTTCCTCATTGCATATTGTGAACGGAGAAATCTGAGGGCTCCCTTGGACAAAAAACAAGGACACCAGCCAGGAATACCAGAGTAAAACAGCAGCCAGTAGGCTTGGTCTTTATTGAAGACTGTTGCGACAGGACTCCCACCTGCCACAAGGTGGAACAAGATGGAAGCCCCGAACAAAAGAGCCCCCAAACTTTTATTATCTGCTAATCCCCATGTTACACCCCACCCCAAACTACATCACTCATGCATCACGGTTACATCATGAAAGGGGAGGTCTGGTGGCAGTAATCTGAGCATCCTGGACCCTGCCCCATGGTTCTCCTTGCCCTCCTTGCCTTCCACCAAACACCCATCAAGTGTAACAAAAGAGATATTTACATTTCCCTATTTCCCAGCCAAGTTAATCACACCGTTTTGTCTTCATCTGGGTTTGTTATTTCTGGAATGGCTACCTGTCTGGCACTCAGGTATCAGGATGCCAGGGATTATCACTCGGGGAGAGAGGCTGCTGAGTAGCTGAGCTCACATGAATTTCTGAAGTTTTCCCTGTGAGCCAGTACATAGATACATTTATCAGTGAATATCAGTGAGCCCTTTGAATAGATAGGAAGAAACCGCGACAAATCACAAAAGTCACAAAAGCGATTTGTGCTGATTTTGGTAGTGGGCTGCATGTGCATGATATCTGCTGGAGGGGTAACCCCCCCAACTTATACATAAATTCCTGCAACACTGTCAACCCAATGTTTACAACTGACTGGCGGGAGAACGCAAGGCAAGTGAAAGAGTCTCCTCACTCTTGTTACTGCTTGTATTTTCAGAGGACATCGAGGGAAGGCCATGGCTCTGGAGTTGGCAGCCCCATGGATCCCCATGAGCCCAAAATGCCAACCTTGGATGCTTATCCTGACTCTGCCACATGGCAAGGTGCTACAACCAGCTGTCCACACTGTGAAACGCACCATAGGGAGGCATTGAGAGTTTAATGGCACTTCCAGATGTCTTTTATTGCATAATCACAATTGTGCACGATCCCACTTCAAATATTTCAATCTTTATATGTGGTTTTGAGATTTTCAGATTAAAAAAAAAAAATGCTTGACATTTTCAGTGGGAGGGCTGCTGTGCCCCAAGTAGGACATCGTCACACCATCTGCACCAACCAGCAAGAAAGCAAACATGTCTCTCTGGTATCAGTCTCTATAGCCACAACAGGCGCTGTAACTCTCCAATGGTTTGACTTCCCTCCCAATGGCACACTGTTCCATTGTCAACGAAGGGGTTGGACTAGGTGACTCTCAGGGTCCCTTCCAACTCTACAATTCTGTGAGTCTAAGTTATGTTGGACATTTTATGCCCTTTAAGAACAAACGTAGGGAGGGGTGTGTGTGTTCATGTTGTGTGTTTGTGCATGTGTATGTGTAAACATGTGTGGGGTGCGTGCATCTCCACCCCCATCGTTCATCCCAGACACTGAGATCCAGCGCCAAGGGCCTTCTGGTGGTTCCCTCCCTGCGAGAAGTGAGGTTACAGGGAACCAGGCAAAGGGCCTTCTCGGTAGTGGTGCCCGCCCTGTGGAACGCCCTCCCATCAGATGTCAAGGAAATAAACAACTGTCTGACTTTTAGAAGATGTCTGAAGGCAGTCCTGTTTAAGGAAGTTTTTAATGTTTGATGTTTTATCGTGTTTTTAATACTGTATTCTGTTGGGAGCCACTCAGAGTGGCTGGGGAAACTCTGCCAGATGGGTGGCGTATAATAAATTGTTGTTGTTGTTGTTATGTGTGTGCACCAAACTGTGTCTTGTTACTCTAGTTCTCGGACAGGGAGAGTCACACCGAGAACAGAACTGTACGAGCTGCATGGGATAACATTTAGTGCTTTTCCAACCAGCAGTTCAACAGCTCCAGAGAGCACAAATAAACTTTATCGAGCGAACTGACCCAGATATTTAGCAGATGGACTAAATGCTCCAGATTAAATCTAGCAGCTGCAGCAGTCTGAGCTCCCAGCAGATTTTGGGTACAGCGCGGTAAAGATAACGCCAAAGGTTGCAGGTTCAATCCCCATATGGGAGAGCTACATATTCCTGCAGTGCAGGGGTTTGAACTAGATGATCCTTTATATATATATATATATATATATATATATATAATTTTTCTATTTTAAAATACTCATTTTACATCCTTAAGATATCAGTGACTTCCCTTCTTCTCCTTCTATGGTTCATTTCACGTATCATAAATCCCATCACATTTTACAAAAACCAAACCATTATTGCATCCATCATAACTTGTTTACACTGTTGAATTTATCTTAATGCTGCCAGCGTTTTCAGCTGTATACAGTTATTTCCCACAGATGATCCTCAGGGTCTATGATCTTCTAGAAACTTTCCCTCGAACCCCCTGTCTCAACGAGGGTGCCGCACCCGGGCAGAGAAAGGAAGAGATAAATGTAAAGCTAAAGGGACCCCTGACCTTTAGGTCCAGTCGCGGACGACTCTGGCGTTGCGTCGCTCACAGGCGGGGGTGGGCGTGTCTACCTGCGGAATAATGGACGCTCCGCTCGGCCTACCAGGTTGAGCCGCGGTCTGCGGAGGCAGCCAATGAAAACGAGCCCTTCTCCAGCCAATCGGCGCGTTTCCGTCGAAGGGGAGCTGGCGTCGTCAGGCTGCCTCTTTCCTTTGCTGCGAGAGTGGCGTCGCTGGCTGGCGGGTGGGGGGCCGTGTCTCTTTAAGAATGGAACGCGGAGCTCCGTGGGCTGCGGCCGAGGGCACATTGTGACGTCGCCGCGCCATTGTGACGTCGAAAGGGACCCCCCCACCCCCCAAATAAGAGGCGCCTGCGTAGCCGGAGGAGGAGGAGGAGGAAAGCGGACGGAGCTGTCTCTCTTCTCCATTGTGGCTCCCGCCCTGGGGCGCCTCTGGGATTCCCGCGCGCTGCTTCCCCCGGCTCCCGAGCCAGCCCTTCTCGCCTTCAGCCATGCTGACCAGAGCATGGACTCCGCGGAAGGCGATGTGCTGTCGACGCGGGAGCAGCTCTTCCACGAGCGGGTCCGGGAGTGCCTCGTGAGTAGACGGCCGGCGGTGCGGGGATGTTCCCGGGACGGCAATGGGGTGGGGGGAGTTGGCTTTGGGTCACAGAAGAGGAAGCGACTTGCCCCCCCCCGACCCCCCGTTCTCGGGTGGCCGCGCGTCCGGAATTTCCCGGACACATACATGTCCGGGGGAATCCGGACGCGTGGCCACCGACGTCGGCGGTGCCGATTTCCGCTTAACATAGCTAGAACTTTGGCGTAAATAAATAGCTCGACAACTTTCCCGTCCACCGATTTTCAGCCTTTGAAATATGGGAAGCCTAGACCTAGGGGGTGGGGGGGTCAGCAGCGCTTACTTCCCGTGTAGACCCGGTTGGGATGGTACCGTAGGCTGCCTGACACACAGGCTGTGAAGGGGGCATTGGCTGGCAAGGCGGAAAAGCCCACGATTTTCAAGTAGGAGAGAGCAACAAGTCCCGTCAGGCCGCCTCTGCGGTGAAACGTCTCTCCAACACAGAGGATTGTGCTGTCATAACCTGGTAGTTGAGAAGGCGGGTTGAGAAATTGAGGTCGAGCATGTCACTTGCAGAGTTTTGCTCGCTTAGAGAATAAGCAGTGAGTCAACTTATTTACGGCAGCTGAGACAGCCGGAATCTTCTTTTTCCCCTGTTTGTTTTTATCTCTGTTTCTCGTGGAGTTCTTAACTTCGCAATGACATAATCTGTAATTATGCAGTAATTAAAAGACAAACTTAATGTCATTGCACAAAGTTGTTCTTTTTATTTGAGTGACTTATTTGTGTGTGCCCCCTCCCATTTATAGTTGTTGTTGTTTAGTCGTTTAGTCGTGTCCGACTCTTCGTGACCCCATGGACCAGAGCACGCCAGGCACTCCTGTCTTCCACAGCCTCCCGCAGTTTGGTCAAACTCATGCTGGTAGCTTCGCGAACACTGTCCAGCCATCTTGTCCTCTGTCGTCCCCTTCTCCTTGTGTCCTCAATCTTTCCCAACATCAGGGTCTTTTCCAGGGAGTCTTCTCTTCTCATGAGGTGGCCAAAGTATTGGAGCCTCAGCTTCAGGACCTGTCCTTCCAGTGAGCACTCAGGGCTGATTTCCTTCAGAATGGAGAGGTTTGATTTTCTTGCAGTCCACGGGACTCTCAAGAGTCTCCTCCAGCACCATAATTCAAAAGCATCCATTCTTCGGCGATCAGCCTTCTTTATGGTCCAGCTCTCACTTCCATACATCACTCTGGGAAAACCATAGCTTTAACTATACGGACCCATTTATAGAGCTGCCCTCATAACAGGAGTTCTTGGGACAACTTCTATATATAGAATAACAGAATTGTGGAGTTGAAAGGGACCACAAGGGTGATCTAGGTCAGCCCCCTGCAATGCAAAAATATTTTGCCCATTCTCTACTGATTGAGTCTGCTGAAGCCCACTGGGTGACCTTGGCCCAGTCACTACCTCTCATCCTAACCTACCTCACAGGGTTGTTGTGAGGATAAAAAGGAGAGAGGGAGATGCGTTGTATACCACCTTTTGCTGCTTGGAGGAAAGATGGGATATAAATATAACAATGGCTAATCATTAAATACTGACCTGACCTGACCAAGGCAACCCAGCGAACGTCACAACCCAGTGGATATTGGAGCCCTAGTCTTCTTGCCCAGGTCCCATATAATATTTCTCTAGAACCATTGGTGTACATTGTGCTTTTCTGGTGAGCAAAAGCCGGCTGGTCTCTGCTTTGAGAAGCCTAGAGTCTAGCTCATGGGTAGGCAAACTAAGGCTCTGGGGCCGAATCCGGCCCACTCGCTTTCTAAATCCGGCCCGGGGACAGTCCGGGAATCAGCGTATTTTTAAATGAGTAGAATGTGTCCTTTTATTTAAAATGCATCTCTGGGTTATTTGTGGGACCGCCTGGTGTTTTTACATGAGTAGAATGTGTCCTTTTATTTAAAATGCATCTCTGGGTTATTTGTGGGGCATAATAATTCGTTCATTATTTTTTTCAAAAAATAGTCCAGCCCCCCACAAGGTCTGAGGGCTGGTGGACCGGCCCCCTGCTGAAAAAGTTTGCTGACCCCTGGTCTAGCTGCTGACTGCTTTTGTTTTGCATTCTCCAACAGCATGTTTGGCACTGGTGAGTTGTGGGGTGTATGTATGTGCCTAGATAGCTGAAATAAGAAGCATTCGTGGCTGTGAGTCTTCCTGACCAAGAGAAGTCTGGTGTCATGGGCTGGCTGAGTCAGGGCTGGGCAGGCCAGACCATCTGTAATGTTCAAATACTTATTCCAAGCTGGTTCATGAAAGCAGAAGGTTGCATGTTTGTGTTAATTTCTGGAGGATTTGTGTGTGTGCGCATTTGATTTGCCCTTGGTGATGATACAGCAGGTGGTCTAGTGCAGGAATAAGGGAACTATTCCTATTCCAATCAGCCCAACCAGCGACGATGGGAGCTGTAGTTCCATAAAATGAAAGGCTGTTGTTTCCCCATCTCTGGGCTTGAGGTTTCAAAATTTTATCAACTGCTTGTGCCTCCATTTTCAAACGGCATCTTCTCTGACTGGGTAACCTTGAGGCATCTTAGTCCCACCTTCAAGCTTTTCTGGAAATTGGAATAATCGTGGCTTGCTTCACAATAGAGTATGTGACAGCAAACATCTTGCCTGTGTTTTCCTTTGGTGAACTGGTCGCTTGGCCTTTGTGCAAATAAAGTTGGCATTTCCAGATCGCAGGCTGAGTACTTCTCACTGTACCTTTTAAAAACAGAATTGGGAGAGGTAACAGCCATGTTTTTGTGTCTCCCCACTTCCCCTCCTAATGCCTGTCTTCCTCTTCCACATACTGTTTGACCTCCTTAGAGTGTTTCCTAACAGGGGAGGAAGGAGGAAGAGAGAGGAGAAACTGTCTTTAACATAATGTCCCAATTCAGATACCATTGTGGGAGAAACTCTAGGGTGTGACCTGGCCAGGATGCCAACCTCTAAGAAATGCATGCAGATGGCTATCTGTGTCTGTGAAGGACTGGCATACGTGTCCCTGTTTTGCTGTTAAGTTGTATGTTTGGGAGGCAAAAGTTGCTTAGACAAACAAGCCTCAAAGGTGTTCATAACTGTTCTCAGCCATACTGACACTTGCTTTCAGGATCTTTCTCTTTTCTGTGAGCTGTACATTCGAATGAGCGTTTGTTGTCTTGGTGTATTTCTGAAGTTCAGAAGATCATGATCTGAATGAAAGACCATTTGGAAACGCCATGCACACTACTTTCAGTGTCTAGAAGGAAGGGCAAGATACAGCTGTAAAAAACCTGCCAACGGATTAGTAATTTGACAGTGTTCTTTCACATAAACTCTGTATATGTCCCATTCTCTGATAAATTTTTTTTCATCTGCAACGTCTCTTAACCTGATAGTCTCACCAGTTCAGCGTATTCCCTTAATTGGTTTTGCCAATCTAGTTTAGATGGTATATCCTATCCTTCCCCGTCTTTTGCAATTAAAATTCTGGCTGCCACAGTGGCATACATAAAGATTCTCCTGAGCTTTTTTGAAATTTCATGACCCATAATTCCTAGCAGGAAGGCTTCAGGTTTTTTTCGGGAAAGAGCATTTAAACATTTTCTTAAGCTTGTTGTAAATCATTTCCTGAAACTGTCTAATCTTTTTACAGTTCCACCACGTGTGAATCCATGTGCCTTCAGCCTTCCTGCATTTCTAACATACGCTTGTCCTGGATCTAAATATTTTAGCTAACTTAACCGGTGTCAAATGCCACCTCTAAAGCATTTTCATGCAATTCTCTTTTAAACTGTAAAGGTAAAGGGACCCCTGACCATTAGGTCCAGTCGTGGCTGACTCTGGGGTTGCAGCACTCATCTTGCTTTATTGGCTGAGGGAGCTTCCAGGGTCATGTGGCCAGCATGACTAAGCCGCTTCTGGTGAACCAGAGCAGCACACGGAAACGCCGTTTACCTTCCCGCTGGAGCGCTACCTGTTTATCTACTTGCACTTTGACGTGCTTTTGAACTGCTAGGTTGGCAGGAGCAGGGACAGCAACGGGAGCTCAACCCGTCGCGGGGATTCAAACCGCCAACCTTCTGGTCGGCTAGTCCTAGGCTCTGTGCTTTAACCCACAGCGCCACCCGGGTCCCTCTTTTAAATTGTAGCATGCTGTAAATTTGATGTCTTCCCTCCAGAGTCATGATACACACCTCTTATCATGCCTTCCCCGCTTTACTTAGAAGCTGCCAGTCTTGCAAGCCTTCCTCATAGGAGACTTGCACCAACCCCTTCAACTTGTGGATTCCCCTTTCCTGAATCTTTTCTAGCTCTACAATGAGCAGAACTTTCCCTAAAGCTATGCTGCTTTCACCATGGGGGAGTAGCCTGTGTTAGACCTCCATTAGAAACTCTCCTGGACTTTCTCTCTCTCTCTTTAAATTATTTATTTGGTTTTCAAATTAAAATTTTTACAATCACAAACATACAACATAAAAACAAGATTCCAAGAATCTCCTGGACTTCCCTTCTCCCCTTTGCGGGTCCTATTATTAATCCTTTCCTCTTGCATCTTTTATAATACAGTGGAACCTCGGTTCCTGAACGCCGAAAACCCGGAAGTGAATGCTTCCTGTTTCAAACGTTTTTTGGAACCCGAATGTGCGACACAGCTTCTGCTGAGTGCAAGAAGCTCTTGCAACCAACAGGAAGCCGCGCCTCAGTTTCTGAACGTTTCAGAAGCCAAACAGGCTTACGGAACGGATTTTGTTCGAGGACCGAGGTACCACAAAATCCAAATCGTTTCCATCTCCATTATATCCAAAATTCACCGTTAAACGACAAGTGTTATTTGAATCCTACTGACGATTTTCACTGTTTACAATGGTTTTTAAGGTAATGGCCTTTCTCTCTTTGTCCCCCACCCTTCCCAGATTTAAGTCAAGACTCTGCTGTGTCACACAGGGACCTCTGAGGTGAAGCTTCTGGAATGCTTGCTAAGAGTTCCCTTTTGGCACCTGATGCACAAGCAGCTCAGTTTCAGAGTGCTGGGTGGGATGTTGATGTTTTTTCTGGATGGCAGCATTTGCAAGAGTTGCATCTCTATTTGTGGCCCTGTCTCTGCCCAGAGACAGCTCCGCATGCAGCTTATGCATGATATGAGGAGGTTGGCAAGCCGTGAGATTCCTGGCATCCCTCCCTCTCTGGTGCAGCGAGTTCAGTCTTCCCAGCGTGGCTTTGTGTGCTAAAGGTTAGTCCGAAATCCCATCTGTGGACTCTGGAGTGTTAGCAGGGATTTGGAGTTCTGTAACGGCTTCAGTAATCTGCTTATCCGGGATAATGCTGGGAAGTTGTGTAAGACAAGTGTATAGCTCTAGAGCATGGGTAGGCAAACCAAGGTCCGGGGGCCGCATCCGGCCCAATTGCCTTCTCAATCTGACGGTCCAGGAATCAGTGTGTTTTTACATGAGTAGAATGTGTCCTTTCATTTTAAATGCACCTCTGGGTTATTTGTGAGGCCTGCCTGGTGTTTTGACATGAGTAAAATGTGTGCTTTAATTTAAAATTCATCTCTGGGTTATTTGTGGGGCATAGGAATTTGTTCATTTTTATTTTTCCCCAAGATATAGTCCGGCCCCCCCCCCACAAGGTCTGAGGGACAGTGGACCAACCCCCTGCTGAAAAGGTTTGCTGACCCCTGCTCTAGAGGGCCATGTTGGCAGAAGAAGCGACCTTTAAACGTGTGTGTTTTCACTTGGGAGGAGCCGGCATTGAGCCACTGGCATGTGTTGACAAGCATGCCCAAGGAATTTAGTCCAGGGTTAGGTAACATAGTGCCCTTTCCCTTCCTGCTGGACTACAACTCCCATAATTCCTGACCACTGACTTATGCCAGCTGGATCTGATGGGAATTGTAGTTGAGCAACATCAGTGTTCGAAATTTGCTAGGCGACAGGCAGATTTTGTACCTGGCTATTGAACGCTTGCGACCAAGTGAAAATGCCTGGGGGCCGGGATGGCTCCTGACTTCTCCACCAGCTGGAGGTGCAGGCCTGTGAATCATTGGATCTAGACTGTTTTCACTCACTCCTGCAGAACTCTACCTGTTATATTACATCTGCACAATCGGAATGAATTTCAGGAACCAAACAGTCGTATGGGGTGGGGAGGACTTTTGAGTCATCTGGCTCCAAAATGCTGGCTCCAAAATGGCAACTAGGCATTCTGATTTGGGAACTGCAGCCCTGGTTTAAGGAGCCATTTGGTGCTTACCACATACAGTGGTACCTCTGGTTACATACTTAATTCGTTCTGGAGGTCTGTTCTTAACCTGAAACTGTTCTTAACCTGAGGTACCACTTTAGCTAATGGGGCCTCCTGCTGCCGCCGCACGATTTCTGTTCTCGTCCTGCAGCAAAGTTCTTAACCCGAGGTACTATTTCTGGGTTAGTGGAGTCTGTAACCCGAAGTGTATGTAACCTGAAGCGTATGTAACCTGAGGTACCACTGTAATGATTTTTTAGCGCTGAGCATATGAAGGGCACCATGTTGAAAAAATAAGAAGAGTTCTCCTGACTCAGCCCAAGCATATTGTCCTGCAACTCTACAGTGGTACCTCTGGTTAAGAACTTAATTCGTTGTCGAGGTCTGTTCTTAACCTGAAACTGTTCTTAACCTGAGGTACCACTTTAGCTAATGGGGCCTCCTGCTGCCGCCGCACAATTTCTGTTCTCGTCCTGCAGCAAAGTTCTTAACCCGAGGTACTATTTCTGGGTTTGTGGAGTCTGTAACCTGAAGCATCTGTAACTCGAGGTACCACTGTATAGTCTGTTCAAAGAAGTGACCACATGCATCTGAGAAGCTCAGAAGCAGGGCATCAGCACTGTAGCTCACTGGTCCTTTAAGGTAACTGGCGTTCAATGGCATACTTATTCTGAACCCGGAGCTTCTAGCCAGCTAGCCATTCCTGTCTAATTGGAGGCGATAGACCAATCTCCCTTTAATTTATGTCATTTTTAAAACTGAGGAGTAAGAATAGGCTTCGACAGGAGATCAGATATGGGGTGTGTGTTGAACTGTAGGTTGGTTGCATCCCCATGTTTGCTTGTGTGCCATAATGCTACTCTTTGCACTTCTAAAAATCCAGCAAACATTCAAACACAAGAGGCATGCATAATTCATCCCCTTGAGCCATCCAGATACTGTAGTAATCTTTGAGCCAGCTTAGGCTCAGTGGTTGTGTTTCATCGGCTGCTGCAGGCATGCTTCCAGAATTTCCCCCCAGGTAGAACTGTTGACCTGAAAACGTCTTTGTCATAAGGATTTATTAGGATGCTTCCTGCATTGCTGCCATCTCATGTTCTCAGCAGTGCTCGAAATTAGCTAGGCGCATTTTGCACCTGGCTTTTGACCACTTGTGACCAAGTGAAAATGCCTGGGTGCCAGGATGGCGTTTGATGTCTCTGCCATCTGGAGGTTCTGGACTGTTTTCACACACTAATACCCCATGCTGTAGAATTCTGTCACTTACATGTTATCTGCACAACTGGAATGAATTTCTGGAACCAAATTGCTTTTGTGTGTGTGCAGCCTGAGCAGGAGCAGTCCCCGTTAAGAAAAAGAGGTTGGAATAGGCCAGTATATATGTGGACTGTCCCTGGATCAAGTGACTTTTCTTCTTTATGTTCTCAGAGCTCTTAACCGAGCTCAAGGTTGTCATCTGAACTATGCAGATGTTTGACTGAGAATTGATCACAGTCAGCCCATCATTTGAAAAATAAGTCTTTAGGGGCGTCTTGCCCCCAAATGGCAACTAGACAGTCTGTTTTGGCGACTGCAACCTTGTTTCAAGGAGCCATTTGGCGCCTAGCTTATACAGTCTTACCTCGGGTTAAGTACTTAATTAGTTCCGGAGGTTCATTCTTAACCTGAAACTGTACTTAACCTGAAGCACCACTTTAGCTAATGGGGCCTCCCGCTGCCGCTGCACGATTTCTGTTCTCATCCTGAAGCAAAGTTCTTAACCCGAGGTACTATTTCTGGGTTAGCGGAGTCTGTAACCTGAAGCGTATGTAACCCGAGGTACCACTGTATACAATGAAAGAAATCTGCCGTGCAACATCGCTCCTCCATTCTCATATACATCAATGAGCCAGCCCATAGTCTCAACAGTGGGGTAGCCAACCTGGTGCTCTCTAGATGTTTTGGATTTCAGTTCCTATCAGTTCCAGCCTAGCATGTTCCTACAGCCAGGAATGATGGGAGTTGTAGTGCAGCAGGATCTAGAGCCAGTATAAGCAAACTCCGGCCCTCCAGATGTTTGGGACTACAATTCCCATCATCCCTGACCATTGGTCCCGTTAGCTAGGGATGATGGGAATTGTGGTCCCAAACATCGGGAGGGCTGGAGTTTGCCTATGTCTGATCTAGAGACTCCCAGGTTGGCTGCCCTTGCTTCAAGGACACTATCTGAAAAGCAAAGACAACTTTTTGGCCCCTTTCTGTGTGTTGCCCAAAGCCTGCACTGGCGCAATGGACTCAAGTCTGTGAAAACTGATGCGTAGTAAGTGCAAGTAAAGACTTTGAGGTGCCACAAGGCTCTTGGTGGTCTGTGTTACAGCTAAAACGACCAATGCAGTTGCCCCCTCTGGAAATGATTCCCAGGGATAAAAACAACTTTAGTTTTATAGCGGTTGTTAAGCAAGAATAGGTAAAGGGACCCCTGACCATTAGGTCCAGTCATGACCGACTCTGGGGTTGCGGCGCTCATCTCGCTCTGTAGGCCGAGGGAGCCGGTGTACAGCTTCCGGGTCACGTGGCCAGCATGACTAAGCTGCTTCTGGCGAACCAGAGCAGCGCACGGAAACGCCGTTTACCTTCCTGCTGGAGCGGTACCTATTTATCTACTTGCACTTTGACGTGCTTTTGAACTACTAGATTGGCAGGAGCAGGGTCCAAGCAATGGGAGTTCACCCCGTCGCGGGGATTCGAACCACCGACCTTCTGATCGGCAAGTCCTAGGCTCTGTGGTTTAACGCACAGCACCACCCGCGTCCCCCTAAGCAAGAATACATGTGCACCATTTCCTGAGGGATGTCCGTCCAGAGATTAGTTAATGGTGGCTGGTCATGATATATAGATGGAGTTGCAGGCTCCAGCTGATGTAAATTGTAAAGTCAGTTCATAAAGCTATAGTCGTACCTCGGCTTCCAAACGCCTTGGGAGTCAAATGTTGTGGCTCCCGAACGATTGAAAACCGGAAGTGAGTGTTCCGGTTTTCAAATGTTCTTTTGGAAGCCGAACGTCTGACTGGGCTCCCGCGGCTTCCTATTGGCTGCAGGAGCTTTATGTACTATTGGTAGGAATTTCCTCTAATTTCATAGAGTAGACCCATTTAAATTGTTGTTAGGCACATTAATTGTCATTGGTCTACTCTAAGTAAAAGTTAGTTGAATGCTATCTTTTCTCTGCTCCGCTCCCCCTGGGTTAACCCAAAAAATAGGGGAGACATAACATTGTGAAACCTTCCCCCCCATCCTTTTGATGAGCACAAATTGTGCGCCTTTTCTCCTACAGCCCTGATTAATCCTTTCAGTAGCAGCTTCCAGATTCAGCAGCAGATGGAACCTTTTGTAAGAACAGCGAAGAGTAATTTTTTTAATGGACCATGGAATTTGGTGTTTGTACAAGGCAGCCTCCAACATTGATTTTAAATGATGGATTTTGACAGCAGATTCCAGTAAGCCTTTTAACAAGCAAAAACCAGAAACCTCAGCCTTAGGACAGTCAGTTCAAGGGTGTCCCAAGCATTTTATAGCTGATATAATCCTGTTTCATAGGCCTCCATTCTTCCAATTGTCAATCTATTGCTCACCCAGCAGAGCTCTAAAAAATGATCCATTCTCTAGAGGGCTCAAGCTAATGTACCCCTGGGGTGTCTTTCAGTAGTTACTGTATACCAAACTCATGCCCATTTATGCCATTCACATATCCTCCAACATTTCTCCGGTGAAAATAGGGACATCCCATTCCATAATGATGATTTTACTATTTATACCCCACCCATCTGACTGGGTTGCCCCAGCCACTCTGGGCAGCTTCCAACACATGTAAAAACATAATAAAACATTAAACATTAAAAATCTTCCCTCTACAGGGCTGCCTTCAGATGTCTTCTAAAGGTTATATAGTTACTCATCTCCTTGACGTCTGATGGGAGGGCGTTCCACAGGGTGGAACAATGGGGCACAGTTTTTCCATTCAGGACCACGGAGTCCCCCACACCTGCCCACCCTCTGTCCCCCAGAAACAATACTTCTACCTTGTCAGAACTCAGTCACAATCCATTAGCTGCCACCCATCCTCCAACCGCTTCCGGACAGGGTTCGAAATTAGCAGGGCTCCTGGCGCACTTTGTACCTGAAGATTCTCCATTTGCGAGCACCTCAGAAAGTCTGGGTGCCATTTTTTTTCACCTGGCTGACACTGAAGGATTACTGAAATGTACAGGGGTTCCTCGGGTTACATACGCTTCAGGTTACATATGCTTCAGGTTACAGCGCTAACCCAGAAATAGTGCTTCAGGTTAAGAACTTTGCTTCAGGATGAGAACAGAAATCATGCTCCGGCAGCGCAGAGGCAGCAGGAGGCCCCATTAGCTAAAGTGGTGCTTCAGGTTAAGAACAGTTTCAGGTTAAGAACGGACCTCCGGAACGAATTAAGTACTTAACCCGAGGTACCACTGTATTTGCTTTGAAGCCTCAAAGTAGATGTTGAGGATAGACACTACATCCAGGAGTTTAACAATAAAGTGTAGAGTGTTTTGAAAACTGAAGTAGATACCAATATTTTTATTGTAAACACCAAATTAAACATGTATTAACAATTTCTGCTAAAACTGTGGTATTAACAATGTGTCACTTATGTGAATTGCGTATTAGTTCAAAATAATAAAAAGTGTTGCTGACCCGCCACCGTGGCGACTAAACATTCTGTTTTGGCTCCCAATATCCCAAGTCCCAGAAGCCATTTGGCTCCTAGCTTTTCTATTCCAGTTTCTAACACTGCCTCCAGACCAGGGGGTCAGCAAACATTTTCAGCAGGGGGCCGGTCCGCTGTCCCTCAGACCTTGTAGGGGACCGGGCTATATTTTTTTGGGGGGAGGGGGAATGAACGAATTTCTATACCTCACAAATTACCCAGAGATGCATTTTAAATAAAAACACACATTCTACTCATGTAAAAACACCAGGCAGGCCCCACAAATAACCCAGGGATGCATTTAAAATGAAAGGATACATTCTACTCATGTAAAAACACACTGATTCCCGGACTGTCCGTGGGCCGGATTGAGAAGGCGATTAGGACGGATCCGGCCCCCGGGCCTTAGTTTGCCTACCCATCCTCCAGACACTCACACAGCATTGGTCCCTGACACAAAGAATTGTGTTATCCTTTTTGCCATCTGGAACTGAACTCCAGGCCTTGCAGCGCTCTGAGGTAAACCTTTGTGGGCTTGCTGCTGCATAGCACATTTCTCCCCCAGCCAAAATAGAACAGCATTTGCAGTCATCAGTGCCGGGCACCTGGGCTCATTGATATTATTAAAATGCTCTGTGGTGAGATCTGTGCGATAGGCATAGCCTGTGTTGAGATTCCCAGCATAGTTGGTTTTGCACTTTGGAACGGGCCTTTTGAGAGTACAAGCAGTTTGTGGCTTGCAGAATAGCTGACTTGGCAGATGCTCTGGCTGCCACCGCCGCTCCCAAATAAATGCTGCACATGGAGTCCTTCTGCCGGAATAGTTGGATGTGGCGGCCGACTTGAAGGATGGGCAAATGGGCAGGCTATGCACTTTATCCCCCAACTTGGCAGTCTTTGTGGGGGGATGGAACTGATAACAGGAAAACTCACTTCCTGTTAAATACCATATTCATCCAGAGCTTCAAAAGCCAAAGTGTTATTCCTTTGTTATTTCTATCATGGACAGCCTTGATAGCTTTTCTTCCTAGTGTTGAATTCTTCACGATGCCTCTTTGCCAGGCACTCTATTCTCTACCCTCACAGCACCTTGCTTGAGTGACCGGTGTGTGTTCTGCTCTACTTATTGAGAGAAGCCGGTAACCTGCTGCATTCTTGGTTTGAAATGTAATGTCATTGCGTGCCTCAGTCTCAAACAGGGCTGTGTGCAATCTACAATTCCACAATGGCACCATGTTTGTTAATGGTGACAATTTGTTTTCTGGGTTGCAGAGATCGGCATCTTAAACCATCTCTGCTCTTAATTTTAATCTCTCTCTTGTTAAAAGCAAGCTTCTACCTAGCTTCTATTGCTGTAGAAGCTGGTTTAGAAAATGTCTGATAGTCTTGGAACGCACGTGGGGTGCTGAGCTGGAATCATGCACGTGCATTATGCTTTTTGGTGCTTCTGTGAAGACAATAAACCTTTTTCCTGATGATCAAGGTGCATTTTGCAGAGCCAAAAGAACTATTGAGACCAGCATGGTCTCCCCAAATATCTCCGATTATAAAGCATTCATATTTCCCCCTTCCTGCTTTCAGGCATCTGAAAGAGTAATTCTGCATTTAAAAAAGGTAAAGGACCCCTGACAGTTAAGTCCAGTCGCGAATGACTCTGGGGTTGCAGCGCTCATCTCGCTTTACTGGCCGAGGGAGCCGAAGTTCGTCCACAGACAGTTTTTCTGGGTCATGTGGCCACCATGACTAAGCCGCTTCTGGCGAAACCAGAGCAGCACATGGAAACGCCGTTTACCTTCCCGCCATAGCGGTACCTATTTATCTACTTGCACTTTGACATGCTTTCGAACTGCTAGGTTGGCAGGAGCTGGGACCGAGCAACGGGAGCTCACCCTGTCGCGGGGATTCGAACCGCTGACTTTCCGATCAGTGGTTTAGACCACAGCACCACCCGCGTCCCAATTCTGTATTTAGTTTTGTGCAAATACCATCTGAAGCAATAGTCTCCATTTTAGGGAGAGCACAGGTATTTGGGTATCACTTGAGAAACCAGGAGAGGCAGTTGGTTGCTAAGACCTGTTTTTCCCTCCCACACTCAGATTCTGAACAGTTGTCCTGTTTTTTTATCTTCACCGCTCCTTCCACCCATCCACAACAGGCCAAATCTCCTGAGCCAAACCTCTTGCTTCAGCAGAGACAGCGTGGAACTCCAAACCTGAACTTTCAGCTTCTGATTACTTGCGTCAGCGAACATCTTACTGCATACAAATATGCAGAGCAATAAAAAAAATTTTTGCATGCCAAGATAATTTCCAGTGGTTCTGAAAGAAGTTCAGAAATCTCATGCCAGAGGTCAATGCTGATAGGCACGTTTATTGGAAGGTTTAGTGTTCCAGGCATAGCAGGTTTCTGGCTGGCTTGGACTCTTGTCTGTGTGTATGTGTGTAAGCAATGTTGGCTGGCCAGCTTACCTTTGGTTGCCCTACCAAATCAAGTCTTCCAGGTCTTCTGTGCTTCTTGTCTTCCTTCCAAGTCAGCTCCACCTCAGCAATTCAGCGGGGAAATCAACCCTCTAATAGGATAATGTAACTAGGGCTGCCCTAAGTCCAGAATTTCCCGGACACACCTGGGATTCATCTTTCAGAAACAGCATCTAGGTGAAATCTCCAAAAATCTGAAAAAATGTCTGGGAAAACCCAGGTGTATGGCAACCCATGTAGTTTTCTTGGCAAATTTCCTTAAAAATAGCTCAAAAACAGTTCAACAACTGTATCCGGATTTCCATTTTTTGAAATACGGCAACCCTAATAATGTAGAGATCCTCTTATTATCTAGACACTGGTCTGTGTCTTGTTCCTAACCTCTTCCTCAAACACAGGAGTAGAAATCTGGGGCTCTCCAGATTTTTCTTTTTCTCAACTACAGTTCCCATCATCCTTTATCGTTGGCCGTGACAACTGGAGCTGATGGGAATTGGAGTCTGAGAAACTTTGGGGAGCCACAAAGTTTCCCTACCCCTGGAGGCAGGCTCTTCAGCAGTCTTCCGATAGTTATTGGCTAGCACCTTGCATACATTATTTTTAAAAGGAGGTAAGTGTTGCATTAAAACATTAGAAACTGTGCGTCTCAGAAAGTTTTTGCAACGATTTTTTTCCGTAGGAGTGAAATTGTGTAGAGGTGAACGTTTTATCACGGCTTCATCTCGGCTTCAGTTGGGGTAGGGCTGTGGGGTAGGCCGTACAATGTTTTCCTTATGCGTTCCCAGCAGAAGTCAGTACGTTTCTGAGCACAATTCAAAGTGTTGGTGCCGACCTTTAAAGCCCAGTATACCTGAAGGAGCGTCTCCACCCCCATCATTCAGCCCAGACACTGAGATCCAGCGCCGAGGGCCTTCTGGCAGTTCCCTCACTGCAAGAAGCAAAGCTACAGGGAAACCAGGCAGAGGGCCTTCTAGGTAGTGGCACCCACCCTGTGGAACGCCCTCCCATCCGATATCAAAGAGATAAACTACCTGACATTTAGAAGGTATCTGAAGGCAGCCCTGTTTAGGGAAGTTTTTAATGTGTGACATTTTAATGTATTTTTAATCTTTGTTGGAAACTGTCCAGAGTGGTTGGGGAAACCCAGCCAGATGGGTAAGGTACAAATAATAAATTATTATTGCATTCGGAAACGTTAACTTCAGGGCATCTTTTAGAAGATTCTAAACAAAACCACTCCAACCTGTCTTGCTGCATAGCTCTCAGGTGTGCCACTTCCCAGGCAGGACAGTCTACCCTTATAATATAATAATAATTATCAAAGCTCAGGGATGCCCTTTTGGTGTGAGTTGACTGTTTGGCACTTCCTTTTAAAAGCATAAGTCCCGGGAGAGACCAAACTCTTAAACACAACATTCTGGTCTCTGCAAACCCCACCCCACCCAAGCTTTCATTGTCCAAATGTTTCCAAGCTCCTGAAACACTGAGGGCTAGAAGCATGGCTTTTATGTTTTCTTTTTTATAACCCTACAAAGCAAGCTGAGCTGCCACACTTGAGTTCTTTGAAGCTGCTCCCTCTGTGCTTTATTATTTCGGTCCTCCGGGGGTCTGATGCAAGTCTAGAGAATTTGTTTTGTTTTGTTTTGCTGCAAGGGTTACAGCTTTTAGTTGACTGGCTTATTGGTATGGGACGTTGGGTTTCCCAAATGCATTTGGAGAGGTGCTGTGTGTGTGTGTGTGTGTGTGTTGGTGAGTGGGGTCTGCAACAAATAGTTGCAGTGTGGAATTGCTCCTGTTCAGGTTTCCAGCCATGCCGTTCCATTTTCCTACTCCCACTCCAACAACAATTGGTATCCCATGTCTATTCAGCACACACAGTGGGATGTTTTCTGTCACACACCCCTGCCAGCTTTTTCACAAGACTTTTTAATACAGTGGAACCTTGGTTCTCAAACTTAATCTGTTCCGGAAGTCCGTTCCAAAACCAAAGCGTTCCAAAACCAAGGCACACTTTCCCATAGAAAGTAATGCAAAACAGATTAATCCATTCCAGACTTTTAAAAACAACACCTAAAACAGCAATTTAACATGAATTTTACTATCTAACAAGACCACTGAGCCATAAAATGAAAACAATAATCAATGTACTGTACTATAAAATAAAGAAGACAGTATTGTAGATGATGAAAATTAAAATTATTTTTTTTCTTACCTGCACTGATGATAGTTGTTGTTTGGATGGGGGAGCTTTTATCTATTTCCGCAGTCACACAGTCAATCAATCAGTAGCTGAACTGGGTTCCACGCAGTCACAAAAACAAATTAACTGAAAAAGCCTCAAAAAAAGCCAACCGCAAAATAAATAGCAAAAGAGGCAAACTTAATCCGTTCTGGATGTCTGTTTGACTTCCGAAATGTTCGAAAACCAAGGCACAACTTCTGATTGGTGTAGGTGCCCTGGAAACAATAGCCGACAGCCGCATCGGATGTTCAGCTTCCAAAAAAGTTTGAAAACCGAAACACTTCCAGGTTTTTGGTGTTTGGGAAAAATGTTGTTTGAGAACCAAGGTACCACTGTACTTCTGTAAACCTTGAAGTGCCCCCCCCCCTCGCATTTTGGCTACATAAGAAGTAGCACTCAAAATAATTGTGTCTGTATTAGTATATATGTGGCTCCACAATTGGTAGGGGTACAAGGTGACTCTGTCTGGGAACCTGGTTTGAGGTAGTGGGTTTATTGCCAGCCAGATGGGCGGGGTATAAATAATAAAATTATTATTATTATTAGGTGGAGGCAAGTGGCAGTGACCTCCTATCGCATTTTGCAATGTTTCTATAGATCTGTTTCTAGTAATCTTCCCCTCCAGAAGAGGCCAAACCCAGCCCTGCCCTTGAAATTTCTCGCTGCTGTGAAGCGTGACGCAAATTCAGTATTGTGTATTTTTGTGGGTCATAATTTGGGGAGCCAATTTGGGATTAAAAAGCAGGGTGTGAACATGCACTCCTTTGCAGCTCAAGCTCTCTTATTTAGGGGTAAGGTTCTGGAACTATCAGCCTTGGGTTGTAATGGTTCTTCCTGACCAAAGCCCCAAAGCAGAATCTTAAATGTGGAACTGCAAGCCTCATTCTCAGAAAACCGTGTCTTTCTCTGGAGCAGAAGTAACCAATACAGTGCTCTCCTCGCCAGTTGTTTTGTACTACAACTCCCATCAGCCCCAGCTGGCATGGTCAGTGGTTGGGGGTGATGGGAGTCGTAGTCCAATATCATCTGCAGTTTGGCTACCTCTGCTCAAGGGCCTTGTTTGAGTGGTGTTTTACGCCCTCTTTGAACATTGAGGAAAACATTCTTGACTTTTGCTCCTTGAGGGAAGTACCACATAGGACGGTTTGCTTAGCATTTCATCCCAGTGTTTTTGCTTCCTGCTTTTCTCTGCCGCTCCCCACTTCCTCTTTGGAATAAAGAGAAAGGAAGGCGCTCCCTTTTCCAGGAGATGAGGACATCCTGTCTTTGTTCTGGTAACATACATTACATGACCAAATGGTCCAGGACTAGGGATCTGTATTGGCCTTAAAGAAGCCCTGCTCTGGGTTTTGGTGAACTGATACAGGCCAAAGTGGGATGAAGCTGAAGAGTTATGGGCACAGTCCCATGCGTGAACAGGGACTCCTCATCTTTCTTCGACGCCCTCCACTCCTTCTTAAAAGCTTCTCCTAAACGTCAGGAGGGACATTCTGGTGTGGCACCCGAAGGGGCATTAAGGACTGCCTCCCATAAGGAAAAACTAGCTGATGCCATGCTAGTACAAGAACAGTAACACTCCCATTGTGTTTCTGAGCATAATTCAAAGTGTTGGTGCTGACCTTTAAAGCCCTAAACGGCCTTGGCCCAGTATACCTGAAGGAGCATCTCCATCCCCATCGTTCAGCCCGGACACTGATGGTCCAGCTCCAAGGGCCTTCTGGCGGTTCCCTCACTGTGAGAAGTGAGGTTACAGGGAACCAGGCAGAGGGCCTTCTTGGTAGTGGCGCTCGCCCTGTGGAACGCCCTCCCAGCAGATGTCAAGGAAATAAACAACTATCTGACTTTTAGAAGACGTCTGAAGGCAGCCCTATTTAGGATAGTTTTTAAAGTTTGATGTTTTATCGTGTTTTTAATATTCTGTTGGGAGCTGCCCAGAGTTGCTGCAGAAACCCAGACAGATGGGTGGGGTGTAAATAATAAAACTACTTCTTCTTCTTCTTCTTCTTTGCATGCACACATGTGTTTTTCTTTCCCTCCCCCTCAGTAATATTTATTAAGTTTCATACAAATACAGCAAATACTATAAAATCAATGAAACAAACATAAAAAAGCAAAAAAAGAAGAAATAGAACACATATAACAGATGATAACCGAAAATACAACCACAAACACTTAAAAAATAAAAAGTTAATTAATTAATTAAATTTCCAACTTCTTAAACATATTACTTGACTTCCTCTAATCTCTTCCATCTGAATTTCCTTGTAACTAAATGTAGCAGTTTTCCAATATCATTATTCAAAAGCACAATATTCCGATTATGATCAAATTTCTTAACTTTTCTTAACATTCTATATCTTATTTATTTAATCTTAATTTATTCCTATCAGGGATGCGGGTGGCGCTGTGGGTGAAACCTCAGCGCCTAGGACTTGCCAACGTATTGTCGGCGGTTCGAATCCCCGCGGCGGGGTGAGCTCCCGTCGTTCGGTCCCAGCTCCTGCCCACCTAGCAGTTCGAAAGCACCCTTAAGTGCAAGTAGATAAATAGGTACCGCTCCGGCGGAAAGGTAAATGGCGTTTCCGTGTGCTGTGCTGGTGCAGGCTCGCCAGAGCATCTTCGTCACGCTGGCCACGTGACGCGGAAGTGTCTCCGGACAGCGCTGGCCCCCAGCCTCTTAAGCGAGATGGGCGCGCAACCCCAGAGTTGGACACGACTGGCCCGTACGGGCAGGGGTACCTTTACTTTTACCTTTAAGTTATTCCTAGGCCTGTTTAGTACCTTCAAGTAACTACTAATCTTTAATATTACAATATTTGTTCAAATAATCTTTAAATTTCTTCCAGTCTTCTTGATTTTCCTCTTCTTTCTGGTCGCGGATTCTCCCAGTGAGATCAGCCAGCTCCAAAAAGTCCATCATCCACATGTGCTTCTCTTTGGATCATGGTCTGCACTCTTAATGCGCACTGTTTCCTTGTGTGCATGCATGCGCCATCCATCACATTGCAGTGCAATGCCCTGTTGCTGATTCAGTGTGCCCCCTCCTCATGGATTGGGAACCTTTAGCTCTTGGTTGCCACATCATGGAGTTCTTAGTGTTTATAGAAATGGGATTTTGAGATGTATGCCTCAGAGAAAATGACACTTGAAACACACCCGGCGTGCATTTGAACAGCACAGCCGGAATGTCCTCTTCCGGCCCTTCATCATGTGACCGATGAAACATCAATGTTTCCTTTGCATGTGACCTCTATGTGTTAGACTTGTGAGAGCACAGCTCTGTATTAGTGATTTATTGCTCATTCCAAGCCTGGCAGGAAGAGGTTAATGTGGGGTGTTTTCCAGGGTTTGTGGAACGTACAGAATGGTAATCTCTTCAGAGCCAGCCCTAGCTTGTTTACATAGCCACATTAGTGCATGGAATGTGGACTCTTCCCAAGGTTCAGTGATAGAAACTCAGATACAGTGGTACCTTGTTTCTCAAACCTAATCCGTTCCAGAGGTCTGTTCCAAAACCAAAGCGTTCCAAAACCAAAGCACGCTTTCCCATAGAAAGTAATGCAAAATGGATTAATCCGTTCCAGACTTTTCAGAACAACCCCTAAAACAGCAATTTAACACGAATTTTACTATCTAACAAGACCATTGATCCATAAAATGAAAACAATAATAAAATAAATAAATAGGACAGTATTGTAGATGATAAAAATAAAATTACTATTTTTTCTTACCTGCACTGTTGATAGTCATTGTTTGGATGGGGGGCTTTCATCCATTTCCGCAGCCATAGAATCAATCGGTCAGTAGCTGAACTGGGTTCCCCACAGTCACAAAAGCAAATGAACTGGAAAAGCCTCAAAAACAAAAACGCAAAATAAATAGCAAAAACAAAAGCGGCACACTTAATCCATTCCAGAAGTCCGTTTGACTTCCGAAATGTTCGAAAACGCAGCTTCTGTTTCGTGCAGGTGCCCCAGAAACAATAGCCGACAGTTGCATCGGACATTCGGCTTCCGAAAAACGTTCAAAAACCAGAACACACTTCCGGGTTTTTGGCGTTTGAGAACCAAAATACCTCTGTATACTGTATTAGCTAGGCACCAAATGGCTCCTTCAACCAAGATTACAGTTGCCATTTTGGAGCCAGACAGCTCGAAAGTCTTTTTTTCCAATACTACCTCTTGGTTCCTGAAATTGGTTCTGATTGTGCAGATGAAATATCGCAGATAGAATTCTGAAGGGTATGTTGCTAGTTTGTGAAAACGGGCAAGATCCAAGGATCCCCAGGCATGCACCTCGAGATGGTGGAGACATCGAGCACCGAAGAGTTGGTGGAAGAAGATTGGAAGAAATTTACAGTTTATTTACAGAAACATTGTAAAATTAAGGAATGTTAGAAGGATGTTGGAATGAAGTAATGTGGTTTTAGCAGAAATGCTATAAAGGATTAAGAAAAAATAGATTGCTAAATGGTGAAAGGAGGGAAAGTAAAGTTACATTATATTAAGATAAAATAGAGGACAAAAACTGGAAAAGATGGAAAGGACTTGCTGAAATAGCTAATTGAACTAGAATACAAAAAAGGGAGGTGTGAGGAGGTCAAGGAAATAAGCAAATGAAAGATAAGTTATGGGAAGATTCATTGTATTTTTTTTCCTTTTCTTTTTTTCTTTCTTTTCTTTTTTTATTGTGATGTGATGTTTTGTCTTTCTTTAATATGCTGTTTTTAATTTCTAATTTCTTCTTTTTGTAACCTTTTAAAATTTAATAAATATTATTTTTTAAAAAAGAGAGAGACATCGAGCACCAACCTGACACACGGGCATATTCACTTGGTCGCAAGTGTCTGATAGCTAGGTGCAAACACCTGGTGAATTTTGAATGCTGTTCGCCTCAGGTGTCAAAATGTCTTGGACCGGTCCTGGTGGTGTTTAATAGCGCATGAAACATTGGTTAGGAACCTTTAGAATTTTCTCTTTCACCATTTCCGATTGCTTGTGCATTTTCTTGTGTACTCATTTTGAAAGGTGCCATTTTTGTGCATGCCTTGATCTTTGCCCTTTTGCTGTGGTTGTCTCAATAACCCTTCACAGCTGTGCAAATAGAAGTGATGTCAGTGCTGGACCTCCAGCCACTCAGTTAACTTATGGAGAAGCTTGGTGAGACATTCAGTGAGTCATTTATTAGACAGTGTGTCCCTGCTTAAATTTCTAGTATCTGACTGCTGTAGGCAAGTAGTACTGCAGGTTTTCTGGAAGCCGATCAATGCCATCTTGCTATAAAACCAATAAAATATTCTAAAGAAGGATTTAAAAGCCCTGCAAAGTATTTGATCTTTATGGTCTGCAGACCAAATAAAATGAGCTGGTTATGAACCAAGTGTGGCTGAATTCACACAGCAGGCTATATGTTTTCTAAAATAGATAAAAATAGCTGTTAGCAAGAGCTTAGCTCCTCTAGAAACAGCAACTGTGACCTAAATCGAAAAGAATGTTCTGATAGGGTTAAACCAACAACTGCTAATCCCTTTCCCTAAATCTCTCTTTCGATCATGCATTAAAAAGGGATCTGTTTGTCTCCCTCCCTTTGCATCTTTGCAGTTCTGCAAATTAATATATTTTTTGCATCTCTGCAGTTCTGAGGGCTGGAGCTTAGCTCCAGAGCCTGTCTGCTTGCATAGCCAGTGTGGTTTATAGTCGGGCATGATGAGAATGGTTGTCCAAAACATCTGGAGGGCACCAGGTTGGGGAAGGATGCTTTGACATCTGGCCTGGGAGGCAAATGGGAATTAAATCTCCTTCGTCCCTTCCATCCGCCAAGCCTTAACACATGGGATGGCTTCTAAGTTTGAGTCTATCTCCCCCCCACCATTCTCTTTATGCCTTCCTATAGCACCGACCTGCAGCTGTTTCTCCCTGTCCAGTAGTTTTTGGCAGGTACAGCATCTTCCTACCTCCTGAAGCTTGGGGGGGGCTGTATTTTCCTCTCTTCCTTTCACACCCCTAGCTGGTGATTCTCCCTCAGCAGCAAGACCACTGTGTTCCAGACATCTCCCCCTCCAGCCTTGCCTATGTAGTGTTCCTGCTGGGGGGTGGGGGTGGGGGCAGGAAGCTAAGGAAGTGGCTGCTGACACTATCCTCACCTCTTCCTTCTTCACATATTTGCTTTCGATGACTTGAGATTGGAAACCAACAGTACTGACACAGTGCTCATCTTTTAGTGGTTTGGAGTAGGAATTTTTTTCCTTTTCTAGTACAGTGGTACCTTGGTTCTCGAATTTAAGCCGTGTTGGACGTTCGGTTTCCGAAAAACGTTTGCAAACCGGAACACTTACTTCCGGGTGGCATTCGGGAGCCAACTTGCTCTGGAGCCAAGCTGTTTGTAGTACCTTGGTACTACAGCGGTACCTTGGGTTAAGTACTTAATTTGTTCTGGAGGTCCGTTCTTAACCTGAAACTGTTCTTAACCTGAAGCACCACTTCAGCTCATGGGGCCTCCTGCTGCCACTGCGCTGCCAGAGCACGATTTCTGTTCTCATCCTGAAGCAGAGTTCTTAACCCGAGGTAATATTTCTGGGTTAGCGGAGTCTGTAAGCTGAAGCGTATGTAACCTGAAGCGTATGTAACCCAAGGTACCACTGAACTGTATTGTTCAATGAGCCCTTTTAGGAATGTTGTTGTGTTTTGCCTAATCGCTGTTGGGTTTCTAATTGAGCTTTAGCTGTTGAGCATTGTTACAAAAGTTGGGGGTGCTCCCCCCACTCTCTGCCCAGCCGTGGCAGGAGCCTATGGGGTTCCAGGGTCTGCATTCCTTTTTTTTTTAATGATATTTATTAAAATTTCAAAGAATACAAGAATTACACAAAAACAGAAAGTAAAAATACAAGAAAATACAAAATACAGAAAAAAGAATACATGAAAAATAAAAAGGAACATACAAAATAAAAACAATTAAAAACACATTAATTTTCCCTAACATATCCTCCTTACACTTATTTCCCCGGACCTCCTCGTGCCTCCCTTTTTTGTATTCCAGTTCAGTTTGTTAGTTCAGCAAATCCTTACCATTAAACTTTATTCATTTGTGAACCTTTTTTTTTTCATATCTCCTAAAGCATTACAGCTGGAAACCATTTAGTTTCTATCCAACATCCTTCTAAAATTCATTAATTTTACAATATTTCTGTAAATAGTCTTTAAATTTCTTCCAGTCCTCTTTCACCGACTCTTCTCCCCGGTCTCGGATTCTGCAAGTCATTTCCGCCAGTTCCATATAGTCCATCAGCTTCATCTGCCATTCTTCCAGAGTGGGTAAATCTTGTGTCTTCAGGGGGTCTGCATTCCTTTAGAGAACTGAGGCATGGCAGAGACCGTCATAGCTTTAAGAAGTATGGTTTATTCACCTTCAGTTTGCACGAGAGTATGGTCATTTCAAGAGGGGCTTGTACCCCACAGCAGGGCCGCCTTGGAATCCAAAGCATCTCTCCAAGCCAGCTTGCAGCCAGCCTTCCCCAAAAGTATCAGGGTCTTCCTTCCTTCTTCCCAGCAACGTTTTTTGTTTGTTTGTTTGTTTAAAAGTTTTTATTATTAAAATAATTCAACATTAATACACACATATTGTGAATTTAATTTAATTTAATTTATACCCCGCCCTCCCCAGCCAAGACCGAGCTCAGGGCGGCTAAAATCAGGTATAAAAACAATTGATTAAAATAAAAACAAGATTAAAATACTACTTAAAATGCAGCCTCATTTCAGCGGAAGCCCAGATCAAAAACTGTTTGGGGGGGGGGAAGAAATCTTCACCAAGGCCAACTATCCAGATTGGTCCTACGTGGGCCAGAAAAGCCAGGGAAGTCCCCAAATAGAGGTTCCATCACAGAAGGAAAAGGAAAGAGAGAGAGGGGATTTATAAGATAAAAACTGTTCCCTTTCCCTTATGAGGTATTCCGGAGCCCGTATAGAGTCCTTAAGTGGGTTCCCTATTGGTAGGAGAAAAATAACAGGCCAACCAGAGTATATTGAGAAGCAAAGCGGCTAGTAAGCCTGATCTTTATTAAAGGAACTGTTGCAAAAGGGTCTCCACTCACCACATGCAGGAGGGAGGAGGAACCCACAACGATGGTGTGCAAGCCCTTATATAGACTTTTGAAATTGCCCACCCTGTAGCCCAAAACCACCCCCCTGAAACATCATACATACATCACAGAAGGAGGTGGTCTACAGCAGAAATCCAGTCTGCCAGGATACCTGATAATGGTCGCTGATTGCTTTACCTGGGCAGCCTGGCCATTGTTTTGTGATGGTTAATACTTTAGTTCCCGAGTCCAGGTCACAGGCTCACCGTATTCATACACAAATACACCCTTAAGACAGGATTTGCAAGCAAAAAGGCAATGGGAAGGCTTTCCCCATTTGCCTCCCTTACTGCAGAGGAACATTTGAGGTCATTGGAAGAGTCAAAATGGCTTCAGGATTACTCTCCCATACGATTTCAGACACATGGTTCATATATTTATATATGTGTGTATTTATGAATATTCTATATTTGAGGGACACGGGTAGTGCTGTGGGTTAAACCACTGAGCCTAGGTCTTGCCGATCTGAAAGTCGGCAGTTCGAATCCCTGCAATGGGGTGAGCTCCCATTGCTCAGTCCCTGCTCCTGCCAACCTAGCAGTTCGAAAGCACACCAGAGTGCAAGTAGATAAATAGGTACCGCTCCGGCGGGAAGGTAAACGGCATTTCCATGCGCTGCTCTGGTTCGCCAGAAGCGGCTTAGTCATGCTGGCCACATGACCCGGAAGCTGTACGCCGCATACAATAAAGCGAGATGAGCGCCGCAACCCCAGAGTCAGCCATGACTGGACCTAATGGTCAGAGGTCCCTTTACCTATTCTATATTTGAGACCTCAAAATTCTTATAACAAACCCTTGCTCTCAAGACTCTTTTCCCCGTCTCCTCACACCCAGTTACCCTGGCAACCTTCCAAACCCCCAGTCTCTGTTCACACCTCGGGGTGTGTGACAAGGGCGAAGGACTGTTCTCTTGCATTGCCGATAGCCCTCAATGGCCCTGTATTTGGTGTTGCCCAGAGAAAAAGGCTTGAAAACCACTGGTTTAGATGGCTTGCAGGTATCCTATCGCAGAAATCCACCAGTCCCTTGAAATCCATTCATGTGATGCTGTTGCTTTGGGGGAGATGGGCTGTGCGTCTTTTGATGACAGTGGAGGAAGGTGTTTTGGGGTGGTGGAGAGGCACTGCCTTCTAACTAGCATCTCACCAGCGTTTCCTTGTCCTCCTGCAGATCTGTGCCCTTCTCTTTGCCAGCCTCTACATCCTGTGCTACTTCATCCTAACTCGCTTCAAAAGGCACACAGACTTCACAACAGGTAAGGTGGGGGCAGGAACTTGGGTGGACAGGATCTAACCCCCTGTGTTCATGTCTTGCTCAAAGTTTAGGTTTTTAATAAAGGGTGGCTTGGATTCCTTAGGGAGGAGGCCTGGGAAACAGCGTTTGTTCTCTGTTCCAGTAGATGCCAACCCAGGTAAGTGTGACTGTGGTCCTACATGCATCCAATGTTTGGGCATGTTTGAGACAACATCTCTGCTACAGCAATGCTCTTTGGACAAGCTTTTGTGTCTCTAGGGTTTTTATGCTTGATAGGGCTTGGTGATATCTGGTTTTCTTTTTTTTCTTTTTTTAAAAATTATTAGATTTTCTACAAACAACAAAGAATAAAAATAAACAACAACATATACAAAAGCAGTATCAAATCCATGAAATAGGATTCTCTGAATCCTTTGACTTCCCTCTACTCCCTTAGATTTTCTTTTTCAGCTGCATATCATTAGTACTCCGAGCGTCTTTTCCTCCAAATTTTCCTATACTATCTCTACAATTACAAGTGATCTTAAAAGCCCTGCCAATGTATTAACCCGCTTACAATACTTTTGCAAAATACATAATAAACATTTCCCAATGTATATTTGGGGATATCTGGTTTTCAGCATTGTGCTATATCACCAGTTTTTAAGTTGTCCAAATATAAACAAGTTAACTTATTAAACTTATTATTATCACCATAATTTCATAATTATCAGTCTCTGTATTTCTAATAGGGTAACCAAATCAGTAGTTTTTGACGTAACTGTAAAAACTACTCTGAAAATTTATTATTCCAACCTTCATCTGGTTGTAAATATTAAGATTATACCAGCAAGAATGAGCCTTTCTGTAAAAAGAGAGAGATTTAAATCAAATCTTACTGACTAGTGATTTAAATCATGGTTTAAATCAAATTGATTTAAATCAAATCCACCCTTGTGAAACTATGGAAGACATTGTGCCCCTTCTTCCCCAGCTAGGTCGCTCTAGGGAGGGGCTATTCCCCCATGTCTGACATCTTTGCAGCAGCTTTCATATATATATATATTTGCAGCTAAACCCTGTGGAAAAGGCCTTTTCCTTCATGCTTCGGTTTGTTTACACTCGTTAGCCTAGTTGTCCCGGGAGTGGTTGGCCTAGGCAACATGGGAACATGGGGAGTACAGTTATTTGAGAACCATTTTCCATCCCTGCAAAGGAGCACTGGAACTGAATTTTATGCAATCTGATGCTGGAGATGACTTGCTAGGCACAGGGTCCATGATGAGACCAGGAAGAAGCCATGCTCAGTTCCAGGTTGTGGGGGTTTTGCGCTTGGTTTCTATGCCAACCCAAGGGTTATTTCCCAGAATGCTCAGTTCCAGCACAGGAGTAGTCAAGAGGAGTCCTGCTAGCCCATAGAACTAAAGGCGCTGGAGTAATTTCTGCACCCAATTACCTGCATTCAAATCCCCTTTATCAAGCAGTTGCTGTTCCCCTTGTGTTTCTAGCCTCCTCCTTACATAGCTTTCAGCAGCGCTGCTCCTGATTATATGGACAAAACGACACACATGTGTCAAAGAGCATAATGCGCCGGCAAGGGAGCTGTTAATAAAGGAGGAATTCAAGACAGGGCCTTCTTGTGGTGGCACCTCAGCCCTGATTATCTTTGGAGGGGCAGGCAGTAAACCCTTTTTATTTTGTTGAGCCTCCAGTAGTGTTGAATTAGAATATGGAAACTTTACTTTTTTCAACCCTGTTTTTAATCTTTGTTCTTAATCTTTCTTTTACATGATTCCATAACTTTATAAATTTGTTTAATTTGATTTTGGTGTAGTGGCAAGAGTGTCGTACCAGCAGCTCGGAGGCCAGGGTTCAAAGCCCCACTCCGCCATTAAGCTCACTTGAAACCTCAATGAAATAAGAACATTTTACTGCCTTGGGCCAGTCACAGCCTCATAGCCGGAGGGTTGCTGTTGGGACAAAATGGAGAAGGGGGGGGCGCAGAAATTTGTATGCCACTTTGAGCTGCTTGGAGAGAAGGTGGGATATAAATTTAATTAATAAATAAAATTGTTTTTCGTTACTGTAAAACATCTTTGGAGGGGCCAGAACGTGATCTAGAAGTGCTCAAATAAAACAGGAATGGGTATTTATAGAACAGTGTCTGAGGAGGGGAGAGAAATGGCTTGGCAGAGGATGGAAATAAGTCCTGCCTTCAGAATTGCCTGTCCCCTCTCCCCCTTCCCTTAACTCTCCCCCCTTTACCCCCCCCCAGTTCCCACAGAATATAGTCTGCTACTTGCTGGGCGTTTTGCCAGTCCCAAAATGGCAATTAAGCAAAACTTCATCACAATGCATCTGGGTTACAGGCAGCCGGACCCAGGAAAGAATGGATTAGTTCCATTTCTCTATAGGGAACTAAGTCTTTTCAGACAATGTGTGCCTTGTATTCCGGATACCAAGGAGACCAGCTGCGCTCCGAAGGGCTTAACATGGCCGCAGAATGGGGAGAGAAGGGGGTTGCCGTTCCATAAAAGCAGCTAGAATGTTAGGGGCATCTATGTAGGATTTCGTTTTTGGGTTTTTAAAGCTGCATTATTAATAGTAATTCATTCCTGCCAAGCAACTGGTGCAAATATTCTTCTTCTTTTTTTTGAAATCGTTTTTATTTGATTTTACAAATATAAATTAATTACAATACCAGTTACATACCCATAAAGTGAGGTTGAATCTCAAGACTTCCCCCCGTACCTTCCATATTGTCAACATTTCCAACTGCATCTTGTTTCATAGCCTATGTTTTATCTATCCAAATTGTCCGCAGCATTTGTTACATTACAAGTGAGATTAAAATCCTGCTAATGTTTTCCTCTGCTTACAGTGGTCTCCTAAATAAATTACAGTCATACCTTGGGTTGAAGTAGCTTAGGGTTGAGCATTTTCGGGTTGGGCTCCGCGGCGACCCGGAAGTAACACGTTACTTCCTTGTTTCGCCGCTCGCGCATGTGCAGACGCTCAAAATGACGTCATGCGCGGAAGCGGCGAATCACGACCCGCAGATGCGCAGATGTGGGTTGCGTTCGCTTCAGGATGCGAACAGGGCTCCGGAACGGATCCCGTTCGCATCCAGAGGTATTACTGTATAAAATTTTCCCATCCTTTCTCTAATTTCTTGTCTTATTGGTCTCTGAGTTTCCCGGTCAGTTTTGCCATTTCGGCGTACAGTGGTACCTCGGGTTAAGTACTTAATTCGTTCCGCAGGTCCATACTTAACCTGAAACTGTACTTAACCTGAAGCACCACTTTAGCTAATGGGGCCTCCTGCTGCCGCCGCGCCGCCGGAGCACGATTTCTGTTCTCCTCCTGAAGCAAAGTTCTTAACCTGAAGCACTATTTCTGGGTTAGTGGAGTCTGTAACCTGAAGCGTATGTAACCTGAAACGTATGTAACCTGAGGTACCACTGTACTACAGTCATACCTTGGTTGTCAAATGGAAACCATACCGGAAGTCTGTTTGTCTTCCGAAAACGTTCGACAACCAAGGCACAGCTTCCAATTGGCTGCAGGAGCTTCCTGCACGCAATCGGAAGCCGTGTCAGATGTTCGGGTTCCAAACAACGTTCGCAAACTCACTTCTGGGTTTGCGGCATTCAGGAGCCAAAACATTCGAGTCGAGTCACAAGGCGTTGGGGTCTGAGGTATATTAGATGTCAATCTGTCAAAGGCTTGATTTTTGAAATAAAAGACCTGCTCTAGCAGGAACATTAATGAGACCAGGGCTGGAGCTCGCATCCCCACGCAGCTGTGCAACAAACTGGGCCTGCCAACGTTTTGGGGTGCGATCAACTTTGCAGGATAAAAAGGGGCAGGGAAGAGAGTGGTGTCTGCCACCCTGAGCTCCTTAGGAGGAAAGTTGGACGTGAATGTAATAAGTGACGATGTTCCTTCTTTCTTAGTTGATGAAGATGCTGCTGTCAACAGAATTGCGTAAGTTCCTTTCCTCATCATTCCTGGTACTTAAAATTACTGGCATCCTTTTTTTCCTCTCTCCCATCCTCCTGCTTTACCTCCCCTGCCCCCCGTACATATGTTTAAAAAATGTTTTATGTATAATCTGTAAATAGCTGAACAAGAAGCCGACTATAAATGACAATTAAGGCTGCAATCCACACCTGCCTGGAAGTAAGTCCCGTTGAATTCAGCCGTGCTTACTTCGGAGGAAACATGCAAAGGACTGTACGCTCATTACTTGTTGAATTTGTTGGCTGAAAAATGGAGCAGAATCCTTCAGTTTCATGCATTTTGGGGGTATACTTTTAAGAAAGGGTGTACTGGAGGCGTTCTCAGCCAGATAAGACAATTACACATTTTCTGTGACCATTGTTAAAATGCAGGTTCTTTTTAGTTCTCTCATATCTGTACGTGTATTATGGTCACCAGTTGATCTTTAATGTCTGAGATGGGCAGTATCCAATTGATGTGTCGTGTCAGCACCAGGATTCCTGCTTGCACAACAGAACTTCTCTTCCCAAATAGCCACTAAATCTCTACTAGGGGTTATCCCAACCCTCCAGATCAGATTTGGGGAGGGTCCAGGGAGTTGGAAGGGGGAAGCTTCACTGTACAAGTGGAAATTCTTCTGATGACAGGATGTGTTAGATTCTGCCCTGTGTCTCACCTACATTTAAGGAGATGATTCACAAGATACATTTCTATATGGGTAAAAAGGCACTTAACATATCTCTCTCTCCTCTCTCTCTCTCTCTCTCTCTCTCTCTCTCTCTAATTTTTATTAAATTTTCTGTTTAACAATTTAGAATACTCATTTAAACAACCTTAAAATAACAATGACTTCCCTTCTTCTCTTTCCATGGTTCATTTTGGATAACATAAATCCCTGCATATTTTACATAAACTAAACCATTCAGTATTCCATTATTACATCCATCAAAACTTCTTTACACTGTTGAATTAAGTTAACATGTCTCCTTAAACTCATATACAGTCATCAACAGACTCCCAAAAGTAGTCAAGGAAAGCTGCAGCCATTCTGTGGTCATTAGACACCTTGGGCTGCATTTTATTTTGTTTTATGCATACATAGACACTTTTGCAATAGCAGTTCCATAGTATGTATTTTTTAAAAACATTGGGGCTTCTCTATCTGTGGAGCATCTTGGGCCTCCTGCTGCTCACCTTCATTCCTGCTGTGGAAGAAATGTTATTCGCTTGAAAGGGGGCAGTGGGTGGGTGGAAAGCTGTCAATCGTGAGACACAGGTTTTAAACCCCCTTTCTTTGCTCTGCTCCCCAGACTCTGGCTGTGCACCTTCACCTTGGCAGTATCTCTAGGAGCTGTGCTCCTGCTTCCCTTCTCCATCATCAGCAACGAAGTTCTGCTTACCTTCCCACAAAACTACTACATCCAGTGGCTCAATGGGTCCCTCATCCACGGTGAGCTCCATGCTGTGGCTTGTACATTCGACCGCCTGGGTCTTCAGTGTGCTGCTCTATGGGAAGAGAGAGCAACTAGGGGGGTTAGAGGTTGTAAAGACTGTGGAGAGAATAATTGGGTTCACTCTTCCCACCTTGGATCAAATCTATGCTTCCAGGTGCCATAAGAAAGTGCAGAGATAGCGCAGGATAGTGCGCACCCCAGAAATGATCTCTTTCAGCTTCTGCCTTCTGGAAGAAGGTACAGGGTTATAAAGACTAGGACTAGCTGCCTGAGAAACAGGTTCTATTCCAATGCGTTTTTGGTTTTAAACGCAGTGTAAGGTAGTCCCTATGGGAGTGTATTGTATTTAATTATGGGGTATCAAGAGTTTTTAGGGGGCTAACCAGGTTTCTGATGTCTGATGTAGATTTTCAATTTTGTTGTTCTGTATGGGACAATGACAATAAAGATTATCGTATCGTAGAGAGAGCAGTTGTGTGGCATTGCCTCTTCAGCAATAGCCTGGGATATTATTTGCTGAATACTTCCCATTACACTGAAAATGACTGTGGCTTCCAGGGCATTAATTGGATTTCTGAGTACCCCAGCCGTGAGACTCCCGGGTGGGGAGACTTTAGTTTAGCTCAGACAAGTCATAAGAAGCAAGCTACCTTTTCTTTATTTCCAGCAGGGTTTCCCAAATTTGGGTCTCCAGCTGTTGTTGTTGCTTTGGACTACAATTCCCATCATCCCTGACCAGTGGTCTTGCTAGCTATGGGTGATGGGAGTTGTAGTCCAAAAAAACCACAGCCAGAGACCCAAGCTTGGGAAACGCCGATATACAGTTGTATCCCACCCTTCCAGCAAGGAAGTTCTCCCCCTCTCCATTTTTATTCTCACAACCACCCTGTAAGGTAGGTTAGGCTGAGGGTTGGGAGGGGGGCATCCACCGCTGGTCAGATAAGAAGGAAGGAAAGCTTGAACTGTATATCCATAGAGATATATAATTTGCCATTGCTTAAACCAGGCCTTCTCTCTCGTTCCCACCAGGGCTCTGGAACCTCGTCTTCCTCTTCTCCAACCTCTCCCTCGTCTTCCTCATGCCCTTTGCCTACTTCTTCACCGAATCCGAAGGTTTTGCGGGATCAAAGAAGGTAACAGCTGCCCTTCTGCTCTCCACCCTTCCTCCTCCCCCAGATTCAAAGCAGCGATTGATCCTTTTTTTCCTGTCACCTCCCCTTTTTCCAGGGGATCATGGCTCGCGTCTATGAGACGTTTGTGGTCCTCCTGCTGCTGACCCTGTTGGTGCTGGGAATGGTCTGGGTCGCATCTGCCATTCTGGACAACAACGCAGCCAGCAGAGAGAGTCTCTATGGTGAGTTTGTGTCCCTTAGCTCCCTTTCCACTTTTCCCAGGGTTTGTGTCCAAAAGCAAGGAAGGGAGACTGGAACCCAATCTGTGTGCAAGGCTCAGTCAATATTGCTAGATATGCATCAGATTGAACTCTTGGCCACCTGGTCTGCATACTGCCAGCAGTAACTGGAAGCAGTATGGTCAGATATATTTTTTTTGGGGGGGGGGGAGCCTTTTTGACCAGATGGGCCAGATCTTTCTCTTCCACCCCAGTGAATTTCTTTATTTTTACTTTGTTATTGTACTTCACCCTCTTAATCTATTACAATATTTGTTAAGAATTGATTCCAAATATCATTGAACTTGTCCATGGCAAGTCTTCATTTATATGCAAGTTGTTCGTATGTTGCAAGTTTGTGTAAGTTCAATCATAGAAGGGAGCCACATTTTTATTTTTCCAATTCATCAGGATGAGTCTTTTTGCTGTGGTAAGGGCATGGAGAGTCCACTTGTATTGTCCTTTTGTAAGGTTCCATGTGCTGGGTATATAATTCAAGAGGATATTTTGCTCTGTAAATGTAAGGTTGTTCCGTACAGTTCTGGTGATGGTTTCAGTTACCTTCTGCCAAAAATCTATCAATATAGGACAATAAAAAAACATACGTTTTAGAGAAGCATTGTCTTTATTGCAACTCTGGTGGTTAGATACCTTAGATAGCCCTATTGTAAAACAAAATTAATGGGGTCCAGCATATATTCACCCAGGCCGCAGGTGGCGCTGTGGGTTAAGAAGGTCAGAAGGTCGGCGGTTCGAATCCCCGCGACGGGTGAGCTCCCGTTGCTCGGTCCCTGCTCCTGCCAACCTAGCAGTATTAATATTAATAATAATAATAATAATAATAATAATAATAATAATAATAATTGCTCCAATGAGCATCGTGGCCGCTGAATTCTGCACCAGTTGAAATTTCACCAGCTGTTAGGTGTTGGGCAGGTGGGGCAAATGGCCTTGTCTGAGGGCTGTAGGCTCCCCACTCAAGCACTGCCCCCTGGTGGCCCGTTTTATTTGCCCGAACCGCACATTGACTGCCTTTCTTTCTGCAGACTTATGGGAATACTACCTCCCCTACCTCTACTCGTGCATCTCCCTGTTTGGTGTGCTGCTGCTCTTGTGTAAGTCATTTGGTTTTTTTTAAATGCATAATTATTATTCCTACTATTGGGATGCTGCTGGGAGGAAGGAGAACTCAGTGCCAGGATCGCAGATCCGATCCGGAAGGTTAGAGAGGGGTCCTAAATGCCTGGGGTTGAATTGCCATCTCCACAGGGTCTGTTGGATAAACAATGTATTCTGAGCTTTGTTTGCATTTTTAAAAAAGGGGGGTGTATGTGATGTTTTGTAAGGAGAGGGAAGATAGCTGCTCTACCACTGAGCTATCTTTGCTGCACGCAGAAGATCCCAGGTTTAATACCCAAAATCTCCAGGTAGGACTGGGTGAGCACCTGTCTGAAACCCTAGAGCCATCCACTAGCCCAGGGGTCTGCAACCCGCGGCTCCGGAGCCGCATGTGGCTCTTTTACACCTTTGCCGCGGCTCCGGGGCGGATACTAGCGAGGGGAGGAGGCGCATTGTGCGCCCCGACACTCTCCACTGTGGCGGGCGCTGTACTGGCTGTGACGTCGCATGGGGGCGGTACGTGCGTTAGTCACGCACCGTCCCGACGTCACCTTCCCGCCCGCTGTCAGATCGCGGCTCCGGAGATATATTTGTTTTAAATGTCGCAATGGTTTTGCGGCTCCCAGGTTTTTTTTCTTCAGATACGGGTCCAAGTGGCTCTTTTTGTCTTAAAGGTTGCAGACCCCTGCCCTAGCCCTATACCTGTCCTGTATAATACAGGATTGTCCCGTATTTCAGTGTAAAATGGCACAACTTGTATTGATACAGTTTTGTCCTGTATTTCACTTCTTTCTTTCTTTCTTTCTTTCTTTCTTTGCTTTTCAAATTTATATGTTTCATTAGTTTTACTTTTTTTTAAAATAATTTTTTTATTAGGTTTTAAACAAAGAAAAAAGAAAAACAACACACACAAAAAAAACCAATACAAAACTTAACAATAAAATCACAAAACATAACAATTAAAAACAAACTCTCTTTTCCATTCCCAATTTTAAATTACTTATTTTCTGGACTTCCTCATGCCTCTCTCTTTTGTATTCCAATCCACATTATTTGTCCAGCAGTTTCTTTTCCACTTTTTTAATCCCAATCTTTAATTTAATAAAATGTTAAAATATATAACTTCAACTTTTTTTAAACCTAATCCTTGCTCTTAATGTCATATAGCTTTAAATTTTTCCCTTTTATTATCAAATTTCCATTTCTTTATAACATCTTAATCTTAATCTTTTTAATCTTAATCTATCCTTAACTTTAACCTGTGCAGCTGGAAACCACTTATTTTCAATCCAACATCACTCTAACATTCCTTAATTTTGCAATGTTTCTGAAGATAGTCTTTGAATTTCTTCCAGTCTTCCTCCATCGACTCTTCTCCCTGGTCACGGATTCTACCAGTCATTTCCGCCAATTCCATATAGTCCATAAGTTTCATCTGCCAGTTTTACAATCAATTTAACATTTCAAAATTTGACTTCTTTCCCCTTCTTTCTGCGGTTCCTTGAATTTATTTTTTAATACCTTCTGCATATCCAAGTTCATTTAACCTGCTCATTTAATTATCTACTGTAAATATATACTGCAGGTTATTACAATAATCTTGCTAATGTTTTTATCTGTTTACAATTTATCTGTAAATATTCAATAAACCATTTCCATTCTTTTATTTAAAAAAAGTTTGTTATCTTGATTTCGTATACCATTTCTGCATATTCCATAGGTTTTTGTATCCATTCCTCCTTTACTGGGACTTCTGCTTCTTTCCGCTTTTGGGAAAGTAACATTCTTGCTGCTGTTGTAGCATACATAAATAAATTTCTATACGATTTAGGTAGTTCTGTCCTTATAATTCCCAATAGAAAAGCTACTGGGGATTTAAATAAAAATAAAAGTTATTTTGAACATCCTTTTCAATTCATTATATATCATTTCTCTCTCTCTCTCTCTCTCTCTCTCTCTCTCTCTCTGCCAAGTTAGGGCTCCCCCCCCAAATGCATATGTTTGAAAAAGGGTGTGTAAAAGATCATATGCCAAGCACAGACACGTCAACAAATCAATGTGTATGTGTGTGCACATGTGTGAGTGTGACAAATTCCAGAGAGGGCATCTTGTTAGGCTGCAGTAGATTGTAACGGATTGCTTTGAAGTCATTTCAGCACCAGATTTTTTTTGGGGGGGGTGGGGAATCACCCCCTAACTGCCCCGGCCCACCCTGTCCTGTATTTTGTCCGAACATAGGTGGCAATTCTTGACCCAGGCTACTTTTTTTTTTTTTTGTATGTGTATCTCTCTGCGTAGGAAACAGAGGGATAGAAATGCTTGCCGAATAGCTTTGTGGCGGAAGTAGGAAATGACTATTTTCCCTTGAGCAAAATTCTTGCTCTCTCGCTTTGGGTGTTGTCCTGATCGGGGAAAAACAGTGCTCCTTTTTTTTCAAGAAGAAAAAAAGTTGGTTACTCAGCATGAAGTTGTTACAGTCAGTGCCGCACTTTTAACATTCAGGGGGCACTGAGTACCCATGAGTACCTACAGCAACAACAACAAAAAAGCACTTGGAGAATCTATATTCCAAGGATGGTCTTATAATCTCCCTTGGCTTTCTGCCGGAGGGTGTGCCTTGAGCTCAGAGAGTGTTTTTGAAGCTTCCTGGAGCTCGTTCTTCATTGGATCCAAACAAAACAAAACAAAACAAAACAAAACAAAACAAAACAAAACAAGAACCTATTAAATGTTAGACAGGGATGACGGCATCTCTGCAAAGAGCCCCAAACCAGAGATTTTGTTGCACTGCGGAATGAGGACACTTTTAAGTACAGGTTTTTTGAGGCCAGCTGGATCCCCAGAGTTGCAACAGTTTCCAAGAGATTTTCTGTGTGTGTCTGACCCTGTGGAGGCCTGTTTCCCCCCTCTTTGAGCCTTGCCGGTTCTTGCGCTTGGAGAATGGTGCCACCTCCTGGCAGAAGGTTGCCGTGATGGAATTACATGCTGGTGCTGCTGTTTACAACTCTTTTTCTTCTTCTCTTTCTCTCCCTCCACAGTGTGCACCCCCTTTGGCCTGTCACGGATGTTCACCGTCACAGGGACACTGCTGGTGAAGCCCAGGGTAAGAGCAGGAGAAGCTTTTTGGACTTGCCAAGCCTAGTAGAAGGGATGCGGGTGGCGCTGTGGTCTAAAGCGCTGAGCCTCTTAGGCTTGCCGATCAGAAGGTCGGCGGTTCGAATCCCCGCGAGGGGTGAGCTCCCATTGCTCTGTCCCAGTTTCTGCCAACCTAGCAGTTTGAAAGCACGCCAGTGCAAGTAGATAAATAGGTACCGCTCCGTTGGGAAGGTAAACGGCGTTTCTGTGTGCTCTGGTTTCCATCACGGTGTTCTGTTGCACCAGAAATGGTTTAGTCATGCTGGTTACATGACCCGGAAAGCTGTCTGTGGACAAACACCGGCTCCCTCAGTCTGAAAGCAAGATGAACACTGCAACCCCATAGTCGCCTTTGACTGGACTTAACCATCCAGGGTTCCTTTACCTTTTACCATTACCTTTTAGTACAAAAGAGAAGAGGGAAATGATCAACAAAGCAACCTGGTTACGTCTCACCAAACGTTCTTAGTTGGGAGTGGGAAACAGAATAAGCAGCAGCAGGATAGATGACACTGTCTAGATCAGGGATTGGGAAGTCTCGGGCCCAGAGTCTGAAAGCTGCTCTCCAGACCCTCCCTCTGAGTCTTAGGGAGCTCTTTGCAGGCCATGCCCCTCACAGACCCGGCTCTGCCCCCTCCTCAGGTGCTTTTACCTGCCTAGAACGTGTCCTTAACACCTCTGCCTAGCCTGGGTGGCAGGTGTGTGTGCGTGTGCCTCAGCCCAGTATATCTGAAGGAGCGTCTCCACCCCCATCGTTCACTGAGGTCCAGCTCTGAGGGCCTTCTGCTGGTTCCCTCACTGTGAGAAGTGAGGTTACAGGGAACCAGGCAGAGGGCCTTCTCAGTAGTAGCGCTCACCCTGTGGAACACCCTCCCATCAGATGTCAAGGAAATAAACAACTACCTGACTTTTAGAAGACATCTGAAGGCAGCCCTGTTTAGGGAAGTTTTTAATGTCTGGTGTTTTATTGTGTTTTTAGTATTCTGTTGGGAGCTGCCCAGAGTGGCTGGAGAAACCCAGCCAGATGGGCGGGGTATAAATAAAAACTATTAAATTATTATTGTGTGTGTGTACATCAGATTTTTTGCATGACTAGGACAATGCAAAAACAGCTCTGTAAATAGTAAGAGGCCCATGTCTTTCATCCAGTGGGTGGGGTTGTTAGTGCTCTTGATTGTCTAGTTTCTCTCATACGTTTTCCTCTTTTTCTGTAGCTGCTGGAGGATTTAGACGAGCAACTGAACTGTACAGGATTTGAGGAAGCTGCCATTTCGCGTAAGATCCACTCTGGTAAGTGTCCAGCCGAGATGGTACAAAGCTGGCCGGAAATGGCTGATTTGGCACCTGATTTGGTTAATGCCCTGAAAGTAAAGCTGCTAGATGTGGGCATTGTGGCTGATAAAGGTGGTTCTTTCTCTGAGTATTGGTGTAGATATTATCTATATATCTATATATATTTATATTTAATTGTCTTTGCATTGCACAGGGAAAACCTCCTGCTGGCTCAACTTTGATATGGAAGTGCTGAGGCAACAATACCTAGCGATTCACGCGCACAGGATAACGCTGGGTAAGAGCAAAGCAGGGCAAAGGCAGGAGCTCTTTATCTTAAATATGCCCCATGTATCTAATTTATCACTGGACAGTTGTGGGATGTGGGATTAAGCATCCTTAGATTGTTGTCTGCATTATTAAAATTACCACCATGATTCCTATCATCCAGTCTCTGTATGATGATGTTTGCAGTTTACTACTCTGGATGTAGTTTGCAGTTTAAAAAAACAAATCCAAGAAAGAATGAAGTGGTGGCTGGATTGATTATGCAGATCAAACAAATCCAGATTAGCATACCTTTAAAGCTACCCATCCCAGGCTTAATAGGGACATGGGTGGCGCTGTGGGTTAAACCACAGAGCCTAGGGCTTGCCGATCAGAAGGTTGGCGGTTCGAATCCCCATGACGGGGTGAGCTCCTGTTGTTCGGTCCCTGCTCCTGCCAACCTAGCAGTTCAAAAGCATGTCAAAGTGCAAGTAGATAAATAGGTACCGCTCCTGTGGGAAGGTAAACGGCGTTTCCATGTGCTGCTCTGGTTCGCCAGAAGCGGCTTAGTCATGCTGGCCACATGACCTGGAAGCTGTATGCCGGCTCCCTTGGCCAATAAAGCGAGATGAGCGCCGCAACCCCAGAGTCGGCCACGACTGGACCTAATGCTCAGGGGTCCCTTTACCTTTACCTTTATCCCAGCCCTAGGATGTTCTGCATTTAATTACCTGTATGATGCGGGTCAGAGAATTTGGCTGGGGCAATGTCTAGTTATCAACTCCCTATTTTGTGTTTTGTTTTCGCAGAAACACGCCGCAAAGCCTCAGCTTGGCAAAGGAACTTGGGATACCCACTGGCCATGCTTTCTTTGCTATCTCTAACGGTAAATGTCAGGTCTGAAATTGGGGATCTGAAATTGGGAGATAGGCGATCGCAATCTCTTGAGGCAGAAAAAATGAATGTCAGAAAACAGCAGCCTTCGCTTTGCGATCTCTGTTTGCTGCCAAGCAGCCACTTGCAGAGGATTCTGGGAATGCATTCAACAACAGTCTGCCATTTTGGACTGGCCTGAAGGGCCAAGCCATCAAAATGGCGATCGCCTGACGCAGCGTGATTGGTGCTGCAGCCCAAACAGTGGCTGGGCAAAGGCCTCTTCCCGCTTTGCACCTCTCCAGAGAAGGAAATTGTGTTCCACTGGGCGGTCCTGTGCTGCCAAGGTGCTCTGATCGCCCCAGGTAGCCAGGCCCCTGCAGAGGTTACATTTGCCCTGGGCCTCAGAGGGCTAAGCTTGCCAGGGTGGTGCTGCTACGGGCCTGTCAGACTTACGCTGTTTCAGTTTATAACTTTATTCTAACAAGACTCCCAGCCCCGGGCCTCAGTCAAGCTCCTCACAGGCCTGGCCAGGCCCACCCCTGGTCTTCTCCCCTCTCTTCTTGGAGAGTTTAGCTGGGGTGGGAATTTCTGTGCCATCCCACTTGGTCTCTGCAGCTCTGAGGCTGAGAAGAAGGCCCGTAGCTCGACAGGCAGCGGTGGTTCCCTCACGTCTGTGAGCGAAAGCGCCAAACCCGTTTCCTAGAGGCTTGGCAATGGGTGGAGTGGAGTGTGGGTCTGTCAGCGGAGCCTCTTGCTATAGGGAGCCAAGCTTTTGGTTTACTGATTCTGCAGGCGAGTACATGAATGTCCCAGAAATGATACTGTCCTTTCCCTGTACTTTTGGTGGCTTCCTTGCATTTATGGAAAGCTCCTTGCTTAGACAATATGTGTTAAAAGATGCCTGGACCAGGGAATTTCTGTATGTTGTGCTGTCCTTTTTTAAAGGCCCAAACCAGGGCTGCCTACCAGTTCTGAAGGCTAGGCTCTGGCTTCCCTCTTGGAGGCAGTCTTGCCTCTGAATACCTACTGATGGAAGCTGCAGGAGAAAAGAGTGCTGCTGCGCTCAGATCCTACTTGCAGGCTCCCTGTATGTATTTGGTTGGCCACTTTGAGAGCAGAATGCTGGACTCGTTGGGCCACTGCTCCATCAGGCTCTTCTTAGGTTCTTATGCTGGTGCTATATTGATAGAGACGCGGGTGGCGCTGTGGTCTAAACCACGGAGCCTCTTGGGCTTGCCGATCAGAAGGATGGAGGTTTGAATCCCCATGGTGGCGTGAGCTCCCGTTGCTCTGCCACAGCTCCTGCCAACCTAGCAGTTCGAAAGCACACCAGTGCAAGTAGATAAATAGGTACCACTGCAGCGGGAAAGTAAACTGCGTTCCATTGCATCATCGTGTTCCGTTGCACCAGAAGCGGTTTAGTCATGCTGGCCACATGACCCAGGAAGCTGTCTGTGGACAAACACCGGTTCCCTTGGCCTGAAAGCGAGATGAGTGCCACAACCCCATACAGTGGAACCGCAGGTTAAGAACTTTGTTCCGGTAATTTGTTCCGGAGGTCCGTTCTTAACCTGAAACTGTTCTTAACCTAAAGCACCACTTTAGCTAATGGGGCCTCCTGTCGCCGCCGTGCTGCCTCTGCGCAATTTCTGTTCTCATCCTGAAACAAAGTTCTTAACCCGAGGTACTATTTCTGGGTTAGCGGAGTCTGTAACCTCAAGCGTCTGTAATCCGAGGTACCACTGTAGTAGTCTTTGGCTGGACTTAACCATCCAGGGGTCCTTTACCTTTACCTTATATTGATATCTTCCCCCTTCCTGCTATCTTTTCCAGGGCATCTCTGTTCTGGTTGTCTGTTTTCATGTCTTGGAGCTGCTGTTGGATGATGCGGCCATGCCTCGAGGGATCCAGGTAAGAGAAATGACCCCTTTGCCAGAGTCTCCTAAGCCATCATTTGTACTGGAGTGTTCTCCAGCCGCTCTCTCTTCATGGCTCAGGCTTCTTATCTCACCCTGCTGAGTTGCTTAATTTCTCTGAGCTACTATTTCACTTGCAAGACATAGATTAAATTCAATGGTTCAAGAGTCTTAGCCATTGTGATGCCTACCTTGCAGGCGTCTAGACCACTGTTCGAAACTCCCATTGTTCCAGGCGCATTTTGCAACAGGGAATTTCATTAGCACGAGCAGTTTCTGTGCTCTGGGTGCAGTACTGTGCCTGAGATTTCAGATTAAAACTGCAGAGTGGAAGGAAAGGAGGACCTTTTTCTGCCTCCCCACTTCCAGTTACTCTCTGAAGACTGGAGAAGAGACCCTCTTAAGGATATTAGAGGGGTGGGCAGGGGAAGGACTAAACCATGTGAAAAATGAACATAAGATTTTAGCTGCAGTTCATTCATTTTCAGCTTTGTATTCTTGTTATAAAAAAGTGCACCCATAACCTCAGTTTAAGGTGCCATTTAGCTCCTAGTTTTCGTATCTCACTTTCTAACACTGGTCTAGACTGATGGGTACACTGCACCAAGATAAGTCTAACTTGCAGAAAGCATATTGTTTTATTCAGCTCCTCCCTCCCCAAAGGAACCTAATCACACATTTCTCCTTTTGTCTCTCCCTTCCCAGGATGCACCATTGGGAAAAGTTTCTTTCTCTGTCTTTGGCTCTTTTGGGGCAGCCATGCAAGTGATCCTCATATTGTATCCTTTGCAGTTTGTCCATTTTGGAACTTCCCTCCTGCACCGTTACTTTGTGATACGAAGATTGCTGGGCAGGTTCCACTGTCAAAAAAGTTGCTTCTCCATTGCAGGTTTCTCTTAACCTTCTCCTTGTTAGCCAAAACGTGTGACTCTCTCCTAAGGTTAATCTGCTCTGGCCTGTCCTACTTCATCATCATCAAGCAGCACTGCTGTGATCGTCAGACTCTGGCAGGGCAAGACCTTCCTTGCCCTGAAGACTCATTTCCTGAGCATCATACAGTGGTACCTCGGGTTAAGTACTTACTGTATTTTTCGCTCTTTAAGACGCACCAGACCACAAGACACACCTAGTTTTTGGAGGAGGAAAACAAGAAAAAAATATTCTGAATCTCAGAAGCCAGAACAGCAAGAGGGATCACTGCGCAGCGAAAGCAGCAATCCCTCTTGCTGTTCTGGCTTCTGGGATAGCCGCGCAGCCTGCATTCGCTCCATAAGACTCACACACAGTTTCCCTTACTTTTTAGGAGGGAAAAAGTGAGTCTTATAGAACGAAAAATACGGTAATTCGTTCTGGAGGTCTGTTCTTAACCTGAAACTGTTCTTAACCTGAAGCACCACTTTAGCTAATGGGGCCTCCTGCTGCTGCCGCGCCGCCGGAGCACGATTTCTGTTCTCATCCTGAAGCAAAGTTCTTAACCCGAGGTACTATTTCTGGGTTAGTGGAATCTGTAACCTGAAGCGTATGTAACCTGAAGCGTATGTAACCTGAGGTACCACTGTAGTAACATTTCTGTTCTGAGCCTTACTTCTGTGGAAAGGGGGGATGCGAAAGGTTTGTTTTAAAGAGGTTTCTCTGTCCATGATTTGTGTGTGCGCACACATGCTTCTCTTCGGAAGTCCTGCTTCCCCAGTCTGTTCTTGGTGATGACAATTTCTCCATCGTTCTTCCTTAACCCTCTGCTGTATTAGCTACCTAATGATTTCCTCCGTGGTGGGATTCTACAGCTCCCCACTGTTTACCAAACTGCTGCCTGAGCAACATGACACAGCCATGACCAAGGTGCTGTATATATCTGGCTGTTTTGTTTTGTTTAAATTGACACCACTGTCGCTGGCGACATCCCTGGCCAACCCATTGCCTGAGCCGCTTGGCTGGAAAAAAGCAGAAATACAAAAACCGTTACATCTCAGCTGCTGGGAGAGGGGGCGGTCATTTACAGCATGTTAATAATGGGAGCTCCTGATCTGAAAGCAGGAAATCTCAAAGAAATTGGGAGTCAGAGAGGCTGTTAGTGAGTAGGACTTGGTGGGTTTTTTAAATGGTTCATTCTCTGCCTTTATTTTTTTAAATTTTATTTTGACAAAGTAATAATCATAAATAAATAAGAATAAAAATGTGCACCCCACCACCGAGACCACTCCATTGTAACTCCCCACCCTCCCAAAATTTCAACACCTCTTGTGATGGTTTGACCCCTTTCCATTTTAACAGTACTAATTCTACAAACACCCTCAAAATCATTTCTCCTGCATATTCCCCGTCTTACCTTAATGGCACATGTTAATAGCTATATCCCACACCTCTTTATACCATTCTTCCATTTTATATTCTGCTTGCCCCTTCCACTTACTAGCTATCATAATTCGTGCAGCTGTCAATCAATTTGTGAGCAAGTCCTTCATAGCCTGCAAACCTCCCACCCCGTTGTAAATTGATAATAGCACTACCTCTGGACTTTTGGTCAGCTTTCACCCAATGATTTCTACTGTCTCCTTAAACACCCTTTGCCAGGAAAATGGTACATATTTACACCACCACCACATGTGAACGTAATTCCCTGTTTCCTGGCATCCCCTCCAGCATAACACCAAATATTCCTTGTTTATTTGATTTAATCTGACTGTGAGTAGGACTTGCAAACTGCAGAGAGGCAGTAGGGGGGCTGAGTGAGTTACAACTCACACCTGTAAGAGCTAAGGCACAGAGCCTCCTTTTTGAGGGGTGGGGAATAATTGTGGCTATGATGCTACCGCCTTGCTAGTCTCCAGTCAAAAGTCATATGGGTTTCTATGTCATTGGAATGGATGCTGGGAGCTCAGGATTGTCTACTCTGATTGGCAGACGGCTCTCCAGGGTTCCAGGAGATGCCATGATTTGAACCTGGGAACTTCTCTCTGCCTGCTCTGTCTCTGAGCTACGTTTATTTCAAGATGCTTTTCCTTGCAGATAATCGGGAACTGTGTCTCGTTGTTGGTGTTGAGCTCTGCCCTCCCAGTTTTGTCTCGGACTTTGGGTGAGTTTTGCTTACTTCACTCTGTCTTCCTCATCTTTTTCAGAGTGCATCAGTAAAATTCAGCCTCACTGTTGAAAAACTCCCGTGTAGGCAGGGCTGTGTGTTTTCAAAACAAATGCACCCAGCTCAAGCAAACCCCCCTCTTTTTTGAGTTTGATAGTAATACAGGCTACACATACAGTGGTACCTTAGTTCTCAAACTTAATCCGTTCCAGAAGTCCGTTCCAAAACCAAAGCGTTCCAAAACCAAGGCGCGCTTTCCCATACAAAGTAATGCAAAATGAATTAATCCGTTCCAGACTTTTAAAAACAACCCCAAAAACAGCCATTTAACATGAATTTTACTATTTAACGAGACCATTTTTCCATAAAATGAAAGCGATAAACCATGTACTACAGTCACACAGTCAATCAACCAATCAGTAGCTGTCACACAGTCACAAAAAGGAAATGAAAAAGCCGCAAAAAACAAAGAATGCAAAATAAATAGCAAAAACAGACAGACCTCAGCGTAACACTCAAAATGGAAGTGTGGCACTCAAATCGGAAGCGGAACACTTACTTCTGGGTTTGCAGTGTTTGGGTTCCAAGGCGTTTGAGAACCAGGGTACCACTGTATTTGTGTATTCATTTGCTTTATTTGCATTATTTTGCTTCCACTGATCCTCTGGGTCGAGGCAAAAAGTATTAGGGTGTCGAAGGCCTGTCCCCTGCAAAGTTTATGTAGCTTTAAAGAGGGTAGTGTACTGCCCCTCATGTTTATTTGCAGAATCATTAGTGACTAGAATAGTGTTTCCTTTTGGACTTGGAAGAGGGCAGAATAGGGCACGCTTATACTCTACTCTACTCTACTTCCATGCGCAAGGGCCAGGAATGGAAACCCCGTGCAAAATGGTCGCCCTCTGTATAATGTTCAGAAAACTTGCAAGGAGCATAAACCAGTAGATAGTACAATGAATCACAGATCTTTAAAATATTGCAGATGACCTTGAAGATTCATGGCCAGCATTTTAATTTTTATTATTATTTCTTTCTCTCCATCTCAGGAATCACGAGGTTTGACCTGCTTGGCGACTTTGGGAGGTTTAACTGGCTAGGAAACTTCTACATTGTCTTTCTCTACAACATGCTCTTTGCTGGCCTCACGACTCTTTGCCTGGTGAAAAAATTCACCTGGGCTGTGCAAGCTGAACTCATCAGGGCATTTGGTAAGTGCTGGTGTTTCCCCCCCCCCCCTTCAAGCTCTCCTCTTTCTATTTGTTACAGCGATATTGGGAAAGAGAACTGTTAAGTAGTCTGATCAGCAACGAAGGGACCACCGTGTCCTGCGTAGAAGGGAAAGAACATAAGATGTGGTCCCATTAGGGCTGCGGCTTCCTTCTGTGGAGGTTGACTATGACCTAGTTTACATGTCATGCTAAGCTAAACCATGGCTTGGTGCAAACGCATGGGCTTGAGAAGAGGAGAGCCACTTGCTCTTCTCCAGTCATACTGCTTTGCTGTGCTTTGGCTTGGCTTAGCACATCATCTGAACCCGGCTTGGTAAGTTCAGCTCTCTCCAAGCTAACCACGAGCTGGAACCAAGGTTTTCCCTGTGGTTTATCTGGGGCAGCTAAACTACCAGCCTTGGTTTGGACAAGATGCTAGGCCGTAATTTGGCTTACCTGATTTACCAACCAGGCCGAAGTGTGGTGGGCCCTGGGGGTTTCTTGGAGCATTCCGAACCTACCTAGGGCTGTCGGCTCACAGCACGGAAAACTTTTCTGCCTATGGAACATCCGTTTTGCATGTGAGGAAACCCCCACCTCACCCCACCCCCAGTTCATTTCCTGTCTGGGCAGGCTCGCTGTGCGTGTTCATTTTATTTACTACTCTTATCAGCCCCTTTCCAGCCACACGCTCGGAAAGCTTTGCAACAAATACATTGGTACCTTGGTTCTCAAACTTAATCCGTTCCGGAAGTCCGTTCCAAAACCAAGGCGTGTTTTCTCATGGAAAGTAATGCAAAACATTATTTTTGTTTTCTGTTATGTGAATGATGTCATGATGATAAAAATATGTAAAATTCCATAAAAATTATTTTTTTAAAAAAGGAAAGTAATGCAAAACAGATTAATCCGTTCCAGACTTTTAAAAACAACCCCTAAAACAGCAATTTGACATGAATTTTACTATCTAACAAGACCATTGATCTGTAAAATGAAAGCAATAATCAATGCACTGTACTATAAAATAAAGAAGACAGTATTGTAGATGATAAAAAAAATAAATTGTTACCTGCACTGACGATAGTCATTGTTTGGATGGGGGGCTTTTATCCATTTCTGCAGTCACACAATCAATCAAACAGTAGCTGAACTGGGTTCCACACAGTCACAAAAACAAATGAACCGAAAAAGCCTCCAAAACAAAAATGCAAAATAAATAGCAAAAACAAAAGCTCCAAACTTAATCCGTTCTGGAAGTCCGTTTGACTTCCGTAATGTTCAAAAGCCAAGGCACAGCTTCTGATTGGTGCAGGAGCACCGGAAACAATAGCTGACTGCCACATTGGATGTTCAGCTTCCGAAAAACGTTCAAAAACTGGAACACTTACTTCCGGGTTTTTGGTGTTTGGGAACCAAGGTGTTTGAGAACCAAGGTACCACTGTAATAAAATTGCAACGATGGAACAACTTGTTTTTTTGTTGTTGTTTTTTTTAAATGATATTTATTGAAATTTGAAAAATACAAAACTTACACAAAAACAAAACAGAAACAAAAAGTAAAAAATAAAAATACAAAAAATAAAGGTACAAATATGAGAAAATAGAAAATATAAAAGAAAAATAAAGAAAAAGAACAAAACAAGTTCATTATTTTCAAGTCCTTAATTGTCATTACCTTCTTTCTTAGACCTCCTCCTCCTCCCTTCCTTTGTATTCTAGTTATTAATTATCCCAGCAAATCCTTTCCTCAACGATGGAACAACTTGTTCAGTTGGTCTTCTTCCTGCCTGGGTATTGGGATGAGAGACTGCAGGCTTTGGCCTTTAATCTCCTCCTTCTCTCTTTCTCTCCAGGCCTCCACAAACTGCCTCTACCTGTGACTCGATCCCACCAGCCATGCAAGCTCAGCTAGGATCCGTGTTGGTGCCTGAACCAAGCCTGGCAAGGCTGCCCACCTTGCCCGTGAGCCACAGCAGGGACATCCTTACCTTGACGTCGTGATTGTTGCTTGTCTTCTGAGCCATCGGACTGCAGCAGACGAGGGTGGGGCAGACAGCTGCCTTTGCCCTGCCTTCATTTTGACCAATGACTTGTCGGAAAGGAGGGAAGGTGGCGTTTTCAGCCTCCCCTCCCCGTTTCCCACAAGCCCGAGGAGGGCGATAGACTCGAACCACTCTTGCGACCTCGCTGTCTTCTCTGAGGTCCCCGTTCCTATCAGCTGAGGGAACATCTCAGTAGTTCACACTGTGACTTCGGAACTGGGGCGGTGTGAAGAGGTTGTGGAGAAAGAGGCCTTTGACTGTCTTAGAGAGAGATTGATGTAGAATTGGCCCCGGGGCATTGTTAGGGAGCAACGTGGGAGAGACAGGCTGCGGGGGGAAAGTCCCTTGCCCCCGCAGGGGTGCTGCAGATTCCTGCTCTAGCTCCCTCTTTTCCTTGTTTACATTTGACATTGTCTTAAACCTCATGCCCATGTTGGCCTCTCACTAGACTGTAGGGCTGAAAACCTTTCCAGTTAGGAATTCTGAGCCAGTTCTGTGTAGTAGATCGAACTCCGTTCCATTGTTTACATACCTCACTCAAGTGCAATATAAGCTGGCGCTATTGAGCCATTTATCCATGGCTTTCTGTTCAGCAGCCATCTCTGTGAGAGACTATTTTATGTTTGTGTGTGTGTGCGCACTCTTGCTCTTCGTGTTCTTTAAAATTTGCCCTGCAACATGTAAGCTTCCCTTGTCCGTAACGCTGGGTGTCGACTCAAAGTAATGGTGGACACATCTAATCAGTTTCTACTCCGTTTCCCTCCAAAATGGAAACTGTGTAAGGGGAAGCAGGTCACAGTGAGTGCCCTTGCCCAGCAAGAAGGGATAACTTGCCACAATGGCCACCCCTCCAACTCTTGGACCGTTGAGAGGCGGTTGCAGAGTTTGACGTTTTCCGAAATTAAGAACAGACCTCAAGAACACAGATGCAGCTCTTTTCTTGCCCTGTGACCCCCATGCCTTGCTTCATGCAATCAAATCCCCTTCAAGGGCAAACTGCACGGCCTGTATAACTTGCTTTGCTCTCCGTACTCTCTCAGTGTTTCCCAAACTTGGGTCTCCAGTTGTTTTTTGGACTACGGCTCCCATCATCCCTAGCTAGCAGGACCAGTGGTCAAGGATTATGGGAACTGTAGTCCGAAACAGCTGGAGACCCAAGTTTGAGAAACGCTGCTTTAGATCAGGGGGAGCCATCGTGGTGTCGTTCAGGTGCCGCCCAACTATGTACCTGGCAGGGGCTGATGGGAGTTGGAGTTCAAGAACAGCTGGAGAACGGACACCACATTGACTACTTCTGCTCTAGATACTCCCAGCTTGTAGGAAGATCTCCTGTTATTTGGGTGGGTGGCTGGGAAGGTGAATCTGTTCAATATGGAGGTATATTTTTAAAAATCTGGGGAATGGCAGAGGCATGTTAGAACACGGTTAATGTGGAAGAATGGTGCAATGGGAAACAGCCCCCTAACCCCTCTACTATAAGTGCATCATTTGGGCATCTCTTAACGTTTGGATGCCAACCTGTGTTCTCCAGTTTGTCAGGACTCTGTACCCAGTGCTGGATAGGAATTATGAGGAAGTTGAATCCCTTATTTTAATTCCCTATTAATGTGGAAGCTCTATGTCAATTACCCAGTTTGAGCCTAAAGGGCAGAAAGTAGAGAGGTATCAAATTTACCAGCCCAGATGGGAGCGGCCATTTTACAGTTGTGTCTTTTGAGTTTTATGGTAGGAGTTGCTGTGTGTGTGCGTGTGTGTGTGTGTCTTTTTCCTCCCTGTCTTTGTGGCACCGTTGTTTTGCAGTGTGTATCTATGTGTGCTGGGCAAGACCACAACTGCCTATGCCCCATGTTTGCAGAAAATGCAGAAGTTTGCTTTGAGGCACGTGGGTGCCCCTTGCGGGCAGTTTTGAAGAACGACAGACTGCCGTGCTCTTGTTATTGTGGCAACCATAATCTCCATAAATTTCACAGCCGGAGCTGAACATAGGAGGCTGCACACAAAAGTCCTGCATTCTTACCACAGATCAGACTTCGATTGGGAGGGGAAGGGTTGTGTGAGAATTAATTATTTTGTTGCAGGAACATATTGTGGCATTGCAGGCCCCGCTTCAGAGGGGCCCAACCGAAATGGAGACTTGTGACCCCTGCCTGCCTTTGTTGCTTCATGTAGTGACTGTCTGATCTCAGTACTATACTGTCCATGGGGCTCGTATCCATGTAAGCAATAAATTGCCTAGTCCTCTTTTATCTCCCCTCTTCTCTCTGGATCCTTATTTTGTGTTGCGGGAGGCTCTGAAAAAAAGGGTGGTTTCTGTCCTGACACGGTAGAGAGAAAACTTCCTAGCTAGCTGTGTCTCCTGAGCATTTGTTTGTTACTCAATGAATGTTTCATAGAGAGAGCCGCAGATTACCTTTCTGAGCCTCTGTAGTCCTGTTCATTTGAATATTGGGTCATTATTTAATGGGGAAGTGAGGCATTTGCCATGCAAATGAGCACCCTGGATTTTGTGGTTTGTCATACCACAAATGAATTAAAGCAAGGACTGTTTTGAGTCACAACAGCCAATCCAGATTATATAAGGCAGGGTGATTTTTCTGCGTCTTTATAACTAAGTAGCTAGCTACTCCCATTGCAAATTAGTATTTAAAACAACAACACCACCTTAAAAGAGAGCAAACATCTTACCTATACCTATCACTATGGTTCTGTACTGGAGTTAAAAGTCTTGTCTTGTTGTAAACTGGCATGGAGAAATTGTTGGATGTCAGCTCCCATCATCCCTGACAATAGACTTGATTGACAATTGTCAATCAGCTTGGGGCTGATGGGAGTTGTTGTCCAACAACATCAGGAGGCCTCCACACTGACTACCCCTGCCTTAGTATTTCAGCTGGTGGGTTGAGACCAACACACTGCTCATGCCCCATTTTCTTTTTGTCTAGAGGGGCTGGGCTTTGACTGGGAGCACCCCAGTGCAAAAGGAGAATGGCTCTGTTATATCTCATAGGGTGGGGTCATCTTGCTTGTGACTGGCGTGGGAGCCCTGATCTTTTTGGTACTGGCTCATTTTGGACGGGTGAGAAACATGGCCTTGCCCCCTCATGTTACACAATTCCCATCATCCCTGACTGTTGGCCATCTTGGCTTTGGCTGATGGGAGGTAGGAATCCAACAGAGGACTTATGGGACTGCATTTTATGCCTCCCTGTTCTAAGAGAAAAGAAGAAAGAGAAACGGACGTGCAAGTCGATGTTAAACTGGGCCCCATGGTGCAGGTTGGGATTAAAGGTGGGTTTAAGCCTCCAGAGTGTTATAATAAAATTGCTCCCTTTCTCTTCTGGGTTATTCCAGAGTCCGTACAGAGTCCTTAAGTGGGTTCCCTATTGGTAGGAGAAAAATAACAAGCCAACCAGAGTATATTGAGAAGCAAAGCAGCTAGTAAGCCTGACCTTTATTAAAGGAACTGCTATAACAGGGTCCCCACTCACCACACGCAGGAGGGAGGAGAACCCACAACAATGGTGCACAAGCCCCTATAAAGACATTTGAAATTGCCCACCCTATAGCCGAAGACCATCACCCCTAAAACATCATACATACATCACAGAAGGAGGTGGACTCCAGCAGAAATTTGAGAGTGTTGCTTCTCTCCTGTCTGCTAGGATACCTGATAATGCCTTACTTGATTGCATTTTCTGGGTAGCCGGGCCATTCCTTGGAAATGGTAAATACTTTAGTTTCTGAATCTCTTACACATATTGATAGTTCGCTCAGCTTAACAGATAACTGGCCAGACTGTATTTGCAGGGAGGTGTAAGCCCCTACAGTCCAAAGGCAATTGGAAAGGTTTTCCCATTTCCTTCCTCCTTGCAGAGAAATATTTGAGGTCAATTTGGGAAAGTCAAAATGGCTTCAGGATTGCTCTCCTGTACTATTTCAGACACGTGGTTTATATACTTACGTATGTGTTTGCCTTGTACGTTTATGAACATTTATTTTATATTTGAGACCTTAGAATTCTTATAACAGGAGGTTGCACAATTGCTCATGTATACTGAGCCTGAAATGAAGCTCATTAAATATGTTTGACCTCCATATTTTGCGGCAAGCCCCCTGCACCACAGCTACTTGGTTAGCATGACCTGTGCACTGCACAGAGAGGGGTGTTCTTATAGAGACGCCTTGTCTGCTCTGAAGCAATTCTCTTCCTGATCCCTCTCGCATGGCACTCTTGTTCCTAAGGCTACGGTTTACCTGCACAGGCCGTGAAGGTTTTTGTGAAAAGTTAAGGAGCTGACTTTGTAGAGGAAATAATTAAAGCAACCGACCACCGGCTAGTCTTGATCATAGCTGTCAACCTTCCCTTTTTTTTTTTTGCGGGAAATTCCCTTATTCCAGCACCGTTTCTTGCTTCCCGCTGCTATATCCCGGATTGTTACATATCCCGTAGACTGTCCCCGGGACAGGTGAGGCTGCTGATCCCTTATTTTCACGGCTGCTGATCCCTTATTTTCAAATCTGAAAGTTGACAGCTATGCTCTTGATTGGAACAGGTGATGATCGCTGCCCGACACATTGCTTTTCTGCCACCCTCAATGTGGCACTGTGTCATGCATCACGTTAGTGACAAAAGGGAGCAGCAATTCTTCTGTGCATCCTTATGTGAATTCACTGCACTCCCTGGACGGTTAAGTCAAGTCAAAGGCAACTATAGAGTTGCGGCGCTCATCTCGCTTTCAGGCTGAGTGAGCCGGCATTCACCCACAGACAGCTTTCCGGGTCATGTAGCCAGCATGACTAAACCACTTCTGGAGCAACAGGACACTGTGACGGAAACCAGAGTGCACGGAAGCGGAATTTACCTTCCTGCCACAGTGGTACCTATTTATCTACTTGCGCTGGTGTGCTTTCGAACCGCTAGGTTGGCAGGAGCTGGTACAGAGCAACAGGAGATCACCCCGTCACGGGGATTTGAACCACCGACTTTCTGATCAGCAAGCCCAAGAGGCTCAGTGGTTTAGACCACAGCGCCACCTGTGTCCCTGTACCTCTCCTGCAATGCCACATTACTAACCTTAAAGGTGGGGCCTGGGATATGCTTCACACATGCCTGGGTAAACTTGTGGTGTTTTGTGTTTGTTTTGGCTCTTAGCCATACAGTACTGGAGAAGGTGTCCCCCCGCCTTTTAATGCTTTCTGGTTGCCTGCCCACTGTTGCAGGAGAAAATAATAATCACAATCCAACTCTTCATAAGAAGCGCAGTTTTTTCGAAGGGGGGAAGCTAGTTCTCGTCCTTTATGCTTAGCTGGAAGGTAAGCGGAAAGGCAGGCCTTGGCGGGGGTGTGTGAGAGAGCCTTTTGCTCTGCCATCACATCAGCTCCACCCGACGTGGTAGGCGAATGCAATAGAATTGTGGGGCTGGCAAGGGGAAAGGGGTCTCAGGAAGGCAGGAAGATGGGCATTTTGCCTGCAGAGAATGAACAGGTTTTGCATTTTGACCTTGTTTGGTTTGTTTCCATGTATCCGGGCATGCAGGAAACCGACTTGAGAGGGCAGGAAGTGAAGCCATGACTACCCCAGATTGCTCTTGGCTGTGTACACTGACCCAGTGACCTAGACCTGCTCCCCGCCAGCCTTCCTCTTGTGAGGGAGGAAATGTGGTTCTTGGAAAGTCGGTTGAAGACTTGGCGTGAGGGGGCAGGACAGAAAACTGGTTGAAAATAACAGGAGGTGGATTGTCCAATATGGCCAAAGATAGGAATGGTAGTGGCTTCTTCCCTGGGCCTCTAGAAACACCCCCTTGTCAGGGGTGCCAACTTGAATAAAATATTGGGGGGGGGCAGGTAAGCCCTGCCCCACATAATCACAAGATGCAGTGAGCACAGACCATAGGAACCAATTCCTAGGGGCTGAGGAGTCTTCGACCCCCCCAATAAAATATTTGAGCCCCCCAAGTTAATGGCCATTGCCATTCAGAGAGAGCGAGAGAGCCATGTCATGTGATCAATTATGTGGGGTGGAGTTTCCCCCCAATATTTTATTCAAGTTGGCACCCCAGACACACACCATTTGAATGACAATGCCCATTAACTTTGGGGGGCCTGGTTCCCTCAAATATTTTATTGGGGGGTACTGAAGAGACCACAGCCCCTAGGAGTTGGCTTCTCTCCCCAAACCTTCCAAGTGCCCCTGTTTTCCAGGGACATCCCCAATTTAGAGAAGCCGTCCCGGTTTCTGATTTTATCCCGAAATGTCCCGCTTTTCCTTAGGACATCTCTATTTTCATAGGGATACATACACACATTTTTATTAATTTTTTTAACATATCAGTTCCAACAATCATACAACATAACTTCTCATCTCATACAATATTTTTGACTTCCGTCAACACCTCTGATGATTTTCCGTTTTTATCACTTATTCTGCATTTCTTTCTGTATTACATATAATTAACTGATAGTTCTCTTCATAGTCTTTTTTGCAATATTTCAACTAATCCACCTTACAAAACTTCTTGCAGTCCTACTAGCGTAATCTGTTCATCACAGTTACTTTTCAAATCGTTCATACAGTATATTTACTCCAGTCTTCTAAGAATCTCTTATCTCTCTTATCTCTTATCTCATTCTGCGTAGTCCATCAACTTCAGCCTCCATTTCCCCCTATTTTCATGGCAGAAATGTCGGAGGGTATGGAATGGGGCGTCCCCATTTCCATGGGGGAAATGTCGGAGGATATGGAGTGGGACGTCCCCATTTTCCCACCGCCCTCTGTTATTAGCAGGGAGCGCGGAGGGAGATGGGAGCCTCCCGCCTGCCCCGACGCCGTCTCGGCAGCAGAGGGCTCCCCCGAGCCGGCCTAGGAGGCCCTCGCTGCCCGAGCCGGGATGGCGCTGCGCCGTCGAGGGCGCTCGATCGGGAGTCCGCCCTAGGCGGGCAGCGGGTGTCTGCAGGGCGCGCCTCCCTCCGGGCCCAGGGCGGCACCAGGAGGGATGGCGCTGGTACAGCTGTTCGCGGGGGCCGGGCTTCGAGGCGGAGCCGGGCGGAGGACGCAGGAGCCCGGCTGCGGTGCCCCGCCACGGCCACCTCGGCGGGAGGGCAGCGTCGCGCCGGCCGCCCGCCCGTCCTCCCGCCCCGTCGCCCGGGAGTGGGAGCCGGGCTGCCCTCGGAAGGTGCTGCCCGGCTGGGATGGCCGGCTTGAAGGGGCACTGCGCGCTTGGCACGGGGAGGAGCCAGGCTTTCCTATGGGCACTGGTGGGTGGCACTGCATGAGTTAGAAGAGAAGATCCACGTGCTGGCGCAGGCTCTGGTTGGCACCAGCGGTGGGCAGCTGCATGTGTGGGCTGGTGCCAAGGCATCCCAAGGCAGCCTTGCCGTGGTGGTGATGATGCCCTCCTTGCTGGACATCGCGGACTGACGGCAGAGAGTGGAGAGCTTGGGGGGAGAGAGGGCCAGGCAGCCCTGCGGGCAGCTGGCTTGCCATGGCCTGGCGCCGCCTTGCCATCTTGCTTGGGCTTTGCTTGGCCAGCTGCCTTTGGCGTCCCGCTCGGGGCTGCGGCCCAGGCAGGGGGCCAGTGGGGCGCAAGCAGTCTAGCCGCAAGAACCTGACCCCGCTGCAGTACAAGCAGTTTGTCCCCAACGTGGCAGAGCAGACCCTGGGCGCCAGCGGGAAGGCAGAGGGCAAAATCGGACGCCGCTCGGAGCGCTTCAAGGACCTGGTGCCCAATTACAACCCGGACATCATCTTCAAGGACGAAGAGAACACAGGGGCAGACCGGCTGATGACTGAGGTGGGTGCTGCTGGTTGGTTGGGCAAAGGTGGAGCCCAGATCTCTGAGGGCCTTTGACACATCCAGGGCTTAATTTGACACAGGTCTCGGCCTCATATATTTGAAGCAATAGCAAAATAAAAGCATAGTGTCTGTAAGTATATGCTGACCACCTTTCCACTCTCTACTAACTAGAATAAGACTTAACACATCACTGCGATATCCACATTAGAGGATATGACCTCATCAGGTTTCATTATCTCTTTCTATGAGTATTAATCACTGGTCTCTCCCATAATTCCCATGTAGGAATTGAAGCTGGGCTGAAGCTCAAATAATCAAACACCAGTAGCTACCTGTAGACTAGTCTGTAGACTAGATAAACTAGTTCTGCTGTTCTCTGTTTCATCCAGAGAGAGAGAGATTTTCCTGCTGGGCAGAGGCAGGTCTGAGTTGTAACCTGCTGTTTTCAGACTACGCTACTTGGTTCAGAGGGGATCCTCAACAAACTTAATTCTTTTGTGCCACCGCCAGGAACTCGGGCTTTGGGACCTTGAAAGGAGAGTGACAGAGCCTATAGGAGCAGGTGGCATTTGCTAACTCACGTGTCTGGGATCAATTGCTAGCAATGAACTTTCACTAGGGAGTTAGTTATTCTTCTTGGGCAATCGGATCTCTGGGAGAGTCACCTGCCTCTACTTCCTCAGGCAGGTTTATAGCACTTGGCTAATCTGAAATCTCGCATATCCACTAGTGAAGGAAGGAGAGGAGGACCTAATCCTATCTGTCTCCTCAGCTGTGAATGGTCTCCCCTTCATCCTTTTCGCCCTTTGACAGTATCTGAAAAGAACCTTTGAGGCATTCAGATATCAAGCAGGAGATACATTATCACCCTCTGGACTTAGTGCACACCCATAAAACCTACAGCGGCCAGAATGAACACTTGGTTTTTTAGATGGTTCCCCCCCCCCCCATTTTCTACCCTGCAGTAAACAACATTCACATGTGTTGCAGTGTATGAGAGAGACTCAGGAGATAAGTCTCAGTGTTGTGTCCGAAAGCGCTCCGAGGGCTTTTCTTCACACAAGAGAGATATTCTCTTAAATGCAGATAACTTTTGTGAACACCGTATTCCATGACCGCTGAAATGCGTGGTCTTTAATCTGCAGTACCATCTTATCTCTAGACGTTTGCTACACTTTGCAAGGAATGACGGAATAGCCCAAGGTGTTGTTGTTTTTGGTATTAATTATTACTAATAGCCGTAGCAACTTTTTCATTTCTTAACACACACAGGCTATCCTTTTCTCAGGGTACTTTATAGTTGAAGTTAAGTTTTTAATTCTGCATCTTAACTGCCATCATTTTATTATTTTTTTGTGCTGTAAAAGTCTATGATCTTGAGGCACCTTGAATGATTTTAAATTGAAAAGGGGGCAGGGGGTAAAATGAATAAATTAATTTCAGTGTAGGAAAGAAAATATGGACTGCACATGTTTTCTCCATGGAGACTGATGAATGCATGAAAGAGTCATGATTGATCAAGCGGTGGGGAAGTTAAACTTGAGTGTGTTTAAATCAGGGCATAATACTGAGTGCCTTCTCTATCTCCAGGACCTCATACAGTCCCTGAAACTGGCACAGTGTAGGTACAAAACTGCTTCCAGCTCCTGTTTTAAGTTTCCTGGGATTCAGATGAATCAGTATTGGGAAGTGTGAGTGATAAACCACTGAGACAGGCTGAGAAAAGGAGAACCTTTTCCCCTTTCTTTCTTTCTTTCTTTCTTTTTTGCAAACATCCCATTTCAGGCAAAACACAACTTTCAGAGAGTTACATTTTAGTCTGGTCAATTTCTAACTAGGAAAAAAACAACAACCCTGGAGCCGTCTCTCCAATTTCCTAATTGTTTAATATGCCCTGACCTTTGCTTTTGTTTTCTCCCTTGGACATTTCCAACTCCCTCCTCATTGTTTTCCTCTTTGGTTTCCTGATGTCCTTGCAATAAAATAATCCAAACTCATCTCCGCGTGTTAACCCGCAAAATCCAGATCAGATAGGCGACGCAACACACAAAGGACATAAGCAAACAGGAGCTGTAAAGTACATAACTTAAAAACTGGATTGTATCCAATGGATTGTACCCAGAGTTGACCCATAGATAGACCCATGAACCTAGTCATGTCCCATCAGTAGCCAATAGGTAGATTGGGCACTGGACAAATGTATGAAGAACAGGGAGTATGCGTCACGAGCAATCTTAGAGAACCTCCATGTTAAGAGGCAGTTAAGAGGCATTTAAGAGGCAGTTAAGAGGCAGTTGGGACGCGGGTGGCACTGTGGGTTAAACCACAGAGCCTAGGACTTGCCGATCAGAAGGTTGGCGGTTTGAATCCCCGTGACGGGGTGAGCTCCCATTGCTCGGTCCCTGCTCCTGCCAACCTAGCAGTTCGAAAGCACCTCAAAGTGCAAGTAGATAAATAAGTACCGCTCTGGCGGGAAGGTAAACGGCATTTCCGTGCGCTGCTCTGGTTCGCCAGAAGCGGCTTAGTCATGCTGGCCACATGACCCGGAAGCTGTACGCCGGCTCCCTTGGCCAATAAAGCAAGATGAGCGCCGCAACCCCAAAGTCGGCCACGACTGGACCTAATGGTCAGGGGTCCCTTTACCTTTGGATATCCACTGCCAGAGAGCCAGATCAGAAGAGCATTACAGTGGTACATTAGTTCTCAAACATCATCCGTTCTGGAAGTCCGTTCTAAAACCAAAGCGATCCAAATCCAAAACCAAGGCACGCTTTCCCATAGAAAGTAATGCAAAACAGGTTAATCCGTTTCAGACTTTTAAAAACAACCCCTAAAACAGCAATTTAACATGAATTTTAATATCTAACGAGACCGTTGTTTCATAAAATGAAAGCAATAATCAATGTACTATACTATAAAATAAGTAAGACAGTATTGTAGATGATGAAAATTAAAATTAATATTTTTTCTTACCTGCACTGATGATAGTCATTGTATAGATGGGGGGCTTTTATCCATTTCTGCAGTCACACAATCAGTCCGTAGCTGAACTGGGGTCCACACAGTCACAAAAAGAAATTAACTGAAAAAGCCTCCAAAACAAAAATGCAAAATAAACAGCAAAAACAAAAGCACCAAATACAATGGTACCTTTTTGGTGTTTGGGAACCAAAGCGTTTGAGAACCAAGGTACCACTGTACTGTCTTTGTGCCTACCTTGTGTAATTTTCTTTGGCTATTTTGAAAAGCAAGGCTTAAGGCATTTTAGTCTGATCCACCAGGACTCTTTGTATATCCTTAGGGGGAAATACTTGTTAAGAGAAGCCACACTGGTAATATGGTTCTAGTTAGTCTTCGGGCGTTAATGACAATGAAACCTATTGCTCCTGTCTACTCAGCTGTGCTCTGGAAAGTTCAGTAGTGTACACAATAATATTCTCTTTCACTCTGATCCTAGAGGACGTCTTAAATTGGAAAAATAGAGGTCTGTCTCTTTGCATTTGTGTGAGGTCTCACCAACATCTGAAGTTTCCTTTGGGTCACAGTGAAAACCTTTCTCGTTCCCAGTTCTAACATATAATCCTGCAAATGTGAACAAGGAAGACCTCCTGAAGTTTTGCACCTTGTCTGATTTAGGCAGGACAGACCTGCAGAACCTGCTGCCTTTGAAGCCAAATGCAACACGCCAATTGGTGCCACAGTTTTTTGCCGCCTGCCTCGGACTCCAAAGTCTCTGAGTGATGTTTGTGCGTTGAGCATTTGACAGTCCACAGTATGCAGCTGGTGAGCTGCATTTGACTCGGTCCAAATATGTGCAGATCTGTTGTTGTTTAGTCGTTTAGTCGTGTCCGACTCTTCATGACCCCCTGGACCAGAGCACGCCAGGCACTCCTGTCTTCCACTGCCTCCCGCAGTTTGGTCCAACTCATGCTGGTAGCCTCGAGAACACTGTCCAACCATCTCGTCCTCTGTCGTCCCCTTCTCCTTGTGCCCTCCATCTTTCCCAACATCAGGGTCTTTTCCAGGGAGTCTTCTCTTCTCATGAGGTGGCCAAAGTATTGGAGCCTCTGCTTCAGGATCTGTCCTTCCAGTGAGCACTCAGGGCTGGTTTCCTTCAGAATGGAGAGGTTTGATCTTCTTTCAGTCATGGGACTCTCAAGAGTCTCCTCCAGCACCATAATTCAAAAACATCAATTCTTCGGCGATCAGCCTTCTTTATGGTCCAGCTCTCAGTTCCATACATCACTACTGGGAAAACCATGGCTTTAACTATACGGACCTTTGTTGGCAAGGTGATGTCTCTGCTTTTTAAGATGCTGTCTAGGTTTGTCATTGCTTTTCTCCCAAGAAGCAGGCATCTTTTAATTGGTATATAACTTGTTTGACCAAATAGCTTGGAGAGCTGTGAATGGAATTGCTTTTGTTTTCATGTTTTGCAGAACTATATTCCTAGTTAAATGCCCCCACCTTAAATTGAGCATACAAAGAAATGACAGCTTCAAATGGAAGATTGGGGCAGAGGGATAGAAACGGTGGGGATTGAAATATATATATATCACGTTTTCAAGTTAGGATGGGTGTTTTCTACATCAGTGTAGCCTAAGAAATAGGGAACTTGGGAACAGGGCAGTTGTGTGCTGCAAATTCCTGGGCTAAAGGGTGCTACTGTTAAGGCACAATTGTGCAGTACCATTTCACCAGCAGACATAACCTGGCAGAAACATCATGTCTGCATCCTGCAGGTGTAAAATGCATACTGTTCCCCGTACTAGTTCCCCGCAAAGGTCCTATTTATTGTCTATCAATTTTGTCAGGGCATCGGCGGAGGGAGGGGAGAATGGGACAGTGACATTTCGCCTTTTTGTGAATAGAAAGCTGACTTCATTCCAGTTTCCTGCTGCTGAGTCACAACATGCCATCCAAAAGCAGGGTGGGTGAGGGTTGGCAGCCGGCATTTAACGTTTAATAGCTATGGGGGTGTTGAGAGAACAAAGGGAAGAATTGCAGGAAGGTTGGCCGCATCCTCTGGGGCACTGAGGACTGCCCTAAATGGAGACAGGAAGCTGGACAGCGTGGGCTTCAGCTCCACTGCAAATATTCCAGAGGGCGCTTCCATTTTGGAGGTATTTTGTTCATGCTCAGGAGCTGATGGTCATATCTGGGGTTGACTAGGTCAGATCGGACAGATATCCCGGTTTGTTTGGGTCTTCTGAAAATATTGCATTTCTCGTCTCACTGACCCAGGTTGTCAGCAGCTCTCAGCTCTTTGAGAGCTTCTGTCCCATGGTTGCCTGCTGCAATCTGGATGGGGGGGGGTCACTCAGAGGAGGAGGATCCTGTAGTCCATTGGCCATGCTGCCTGGGGCTGACATAGTTCAGCAACACCTAGAGCAGGGATAGGCAACCAAAGGCCCGGGGACCGGATCCAGCCCAATCGCCTTCTAAATCCGGCCCGCGGATGGTCCGAGAATCCGCATGTTTTTACATGAGTAGAATGTGTGCTTTTCTTTAAAATGCATCTCTGGGTTATTTGTGGGGCATAGGAATTCATTCATTATTATTTTTCAAAATATAGTCCGGCCCATTTTCTCACACCCCCCCCCCCCGCAAAATATAGTCCAGCCCACCACATGGTCTGAGGGATAGTGGACCGGCCCATGGCTGAAAAAGGTTGCTGACCCCTGACTTAGAGGGTGTTCGGGCAGCGAGCAGGGCTAGAGGGCATCATGGTTCCTTTCTCTTGTGATGCCATGATGGTTTTACAGTTGGGACATAAAGCAGGGACCACAGATAATATATATCAGACATATCCAATGCGTCAATCGCGATTGACAGGTAGATCCTGCAATGAATTCTGGTCGATCACCAGCCACCCTCCACTGGAGGTGTTGGGAGGGGATGTTTTGACGTTCCACGTGCGCCCACCCCTCCCCTGCTGGCGCGCGCGCGCGCACGGCACACCCTCCCTGCATCCACCCCCACTGTGTCGGGGAAGCAGCCGGCATAGGGGGAAAAGGGCACCCTCCCTCCTTGCACCCATCCATGTCACCTCAGGGGAAGCAGCCAGCGCCCACCCGCCCTGCACCCATCCCTGGGTGGTAGATCACTGCCAGTTTTTATATTGGATCGTGGATCACAGTCAACTTGAAGTTGGACATGCCTGATATACAGTGGTACCTCGGGTTAAGTACTTAATTTGTTCCGGAGGTCCGTACTTGGCCTGAAACTGTTCTTAACCTGAAGCACCACTTTAGCTCATGGGGCCTACTGCTGCTGCTGCTGCACCGCCAGAGCATGATTTCTGTTCTCATCCTGAAGCAAAGTTCTTAACCTGAAGTACTATTTCTGGGTTAGCGGAGTCTGTAACATGAAGCGTATGTAACCTGAAGCATATGTAACCCGAGGTACCACTGTATATGAATCTATAGCAGGGGTGGGAGACTTCAGACCCAGGGGCCAGATACAGCTCTCCCCTGGCTTTGTTTCTGCTTCATGGGACTCTCCTCATACCCTATCCCCAGCCACGGACCCTCGCCCCAGGCTCCACCCACCCAACTCAGTTTTGCACCCCTTCTTGAGTGTTTATGTCGGGCTGGAATGTGTCCCTGAAGTCTGATAGTGCATTTTGCTTCCCGGGATGGAGGACAGCGAAGGGTGTTCGTATCATGGAATCTTAGAATTGTAGAGACCCCAGGGGTCACCTAAATCCAACCCCCTCCAACGCAGAAATCTCAGCTAAAGCATCCGTGGCCGTCCAACCTCTGCTTTAAAAGCTCTAAGGAAGGAGAGCCCACAACGTCCCAAGGGAGACCGTTCCACTGTTGAACAGTTCATCCTGTAAGAAAGTTCTTCTGAATCTCCTTTCTTGTGACTTGAAGCCGTTGGATTGAGTCCTACCCTCCAGAACAGGAGAAAATGAACTTGCTCCATCTTGCATGTGACAGCCCTTGAAACATTTGAGACAGTCTCCTCTCAGGCTCCCCTATTCCAGGCTAAGCATACCCAGCTCCCTCAACTCTTCCTCATAAGGCTTGGCTTCTAGAGCCTTGTGGAAAATGCTCTCCTGTACAAAAGGTACTTCTTACATTCCTTGCTCTGTTTTCTCTGACCTCTGCTTCCTCCCCTCAACATATGGCCCCTGAGAGGTTACCCAGCGAAGATTGTGGCCCTCAGGCTGAAAAACACTCCATGGCTCTGTGTTATAACCTTACCACCAGTGGTATGGAGACATGCTTTCACTTGCTAGAGCAAAGCTCCAGTAAATGCATTTTTTTAAATAAAAAAACCCCTGCTCCAATAAATAGGGACAGTGGCAAATTAAGGAAATGGTAGCAGAATCAATCTGGGGAAGAGGCAAAGCAGATTTGCAACTCTGAAACCCTCCTTCATGATGACTTAAGAAGAGGATCAATTTTTAATATGTTTGTACTATCCCTAGCTTCAATAATTTGATCCCAGTGAACAAATGCAAACAAGACAACTCTACCAAACATGCAAGTGAGTCTGCAACCTCATGTTGATACTTCCAGCCTTGCTCTTGTGATATGAAAATAATTTCAAGGCTACTTCAAACTGCTACTTACATGGTTTTTTTTGTTTTGTTTTTTGTAAAAAGAGCTTCTCTTTCCACCTAGACTTGTGCTGGCTCTCATGCTTTCAAACCTGCTTCTTGAAAGTGAGAGATAAGATCTGTGGAACCATTTAAAATCCCCTCTCCCAGTCTACCTTTGATGCTCACTCAATTATATTGTATTCAGGGGAGTCAGGTCATCCTAAAGCAATTAGTGGGGGGGAAATCTCACCGAAGAAAAGATTGCCAAGTAAAAGTTACAGGAAGAGAGCTTTCTGAGCTGTCGATATTCCATCTTAGGACCCTGTCCTGAACCTTTAGCTTCTTCTCTGTGTTTGCTGATCTCCAATTCTGTGAACCACCCTGAGACCCCTGGGTATAGGGCGGTATATAAATTCATTCAATCAATCAATTTAAAAATTGCTTTTATTTTCAAGAATGTAGAACATTACACCCATTTCCTGCTGAAATGTTTGCTGAAGTTGTCTCTACACTCTTCTGGGTAATGAGTGCAAAAAGCACAGAGATGTCTTAATAAGCAGTCCACAATTGTGTTTTTAATTACAGTGGTATCTCGGGTTAAGAACCTCATGTGCCCAGAGGTATGCTGGTGTGGGGCACCTCACGTCACTGTGGGAAATGGAAGTCCACCAGCGGGCACTTGGCTGAGGAGCTACTCAAACCTGAAGCTGGCCCAAATGCGTCTCTCATGCATAATGGGGAAACCTATGGATGCCCTGCCTGCCCCTGTACCTCTGCCACTGCCTCAAGTGGCAAAATGGGACTTGCTAGCCCAGGAATTGAGGGGAAGACTGGCAGCCTGATGGACACACAAAGATGTTGAAAGAGATTGAGGAAGATGTGTGTTTGCCTAGGTAGGAGAGCTGGCACTGGGAGGGATAAATAATAATAATAATAATACAGTGGTACCTCGGGTTAAGAACATAATTCGTTCTGGAGGTCCGTTCTTAACCCGAAACTGTTCTTAACCTGAAGCACCACTTTAGCTAATGGGGCCTCCTGCTGCTGCTGCGCCGCCAGAGCACGATTTCTGTTCTCATCCTGAAGCAAAGTTCTTAACCCGAGGTACTATTTCTGGGTTAAGGGAGTCTGTAACCTGAAGCGTCTGTAACCCGAGGTACCACTGTATATTATGATCCTTAATTATTACATTCGGGTTTATTGAACTAAGTCAGGGGCAGACCCACTGAAATGGGTGAGTTATGCCCATTAATTTTAATGGTTCTATTCTTAGTAGGCCGAAAGCCCCTTCTGCTCTGTACATTGAAAGCAGTCTCATACCACCTCAAACAGTCAACGTTCCTCCCGCAAAAAATCTGGGAACTGTAGATTGTTAAAGGTGCGGAGAGTTGTTAGGAAACTCCTATTCATTTCACAGAGTAGTTTAACAATCAATCCCTTTTCCTAGGGGACTCTGAGAAGTGTAGGTTTGTTCAGGCAATAGTGTTCTCAGCACTCTTAACAAACTTACAGCGCCCAGGACTCTTTGATGGAAGTCAATACTATTTAAAGCGGCATGTTGGTGCTTTAAATTTAGGTAAAAGGTAAAGGACCCCTGGATGGTTAAGTCCAGTCAAAGGTGACTATGGAGTGGCGGTGCTCATTTTGCTTTCAGGCCAAGGGAGCCGGCGTTTGTCCACAGACAACTTTCTGGGTCATGTGGCCAGCATGGCTAAACCGCTTCTGGCGCAATGGGACACTGTGACAGAAAGCAAAGCGCACGGAAATGCCGTTTACCTTCCCACTGGAGCAGTACCTATTTATCTACTTGCACTGGCCTGCTTTCGAACTGCAAGGTTGGCAGGAGCTGGGGCAGAGCAACAGGAGCTCACCCCATCGCGAGGATTCGAACCATGGTCCTTCTGATCGGCAAGCCCAAGAGGCTCAGCGGTTTAGACCACAGCGCCAGAGGGTGAAGCCTTAGTTGGATTCAGCTCATGATGCACATGGATTTAGTTTTTTGTAGTTCCCTCAGGCTTCCCACCACCAAGTGTCTGGCTTCCCAGAGCTGCGTGAATGGCTTGCATAAGGGAATCATAGAATTGTAAAGTTGGAAGGAATCCCAAGGGTCATTCAGTCCAACCCCCTGCAATGCAGGAATCTTTCACCCAACATGAGACTCGAACCCATGACCCAGAGTTTTAAGAGTCTCAGGCTCTTCCAAGTGAGCTGTTGTACATCCAGATCTCCATTGGCTCCCAGTACGTTTCCGAGCACAATTCAAAGTGTTGGTGCTGACCTTTAAAGCCCTAAATGGCCTCGGTCCAGTATACCTGAAGGAGCGTCTCCACCCCATCATTCTACCCAGACACTGAGGTCCAGCGCCGAGGGCCTTCCGGCGGTTCCCTCATTGCAAGAAGCCAAGTTACAGGGAACCAGGCAACGGGCCTTTTCGGTAATGGCACCCGCCCTTTGGAACGTCCTCCCACCAGATGTCAAAGAGAACAACAACTAGCAGACTTTTAGACGACATCTGAAGGCAGCCCTGTTTAGGGAAGCTTTTAACGTTTGATGCATTATTGTATTTTGATATTGTGTTGGAAGCCACCCAGATGGGCAGTGTATAAATAATAAATTATTATTAGTAGTATTATTATTTATCCCTTGTTACGTGGATTCTGTTTGGGTTGAGATCCTGAAAACAGATTTAAAAGCCGGCTAATAGATTTTGGGGCTGAACCTTCTGTGATTTGCATTTGTCTGTAAAATGTACAAGAGGGCAGGTGTCTCCGATAGCCTCCAGCGATCAAGCCAGCTTGGATAATTTTTGGCTGGGGAACGAGTCTGTTCCGCGATGAGGCCCATGAATGTGAGTGGGCAGGGAGACGATTTTTTTTTTAATCAAATGGCCTTCCAGCAAGCTTCGTAGTTCCTTGCAGCTCACAATCAGCAGAGACAAACCAGCCGCTTGGTCTGGATGCCTTCTGCTCCGTTCGCTGGGTGCCGAAGGAACCCCAGTAGGAGTAGCAGGGGGAGGATTGGTCAACCCGGCAAGGTCCCATCTATGACACGTCCTACGGTGCCCTTTCCCCCCCGCTGCACTGACACCAGCGCAGGGAGCGTGGAGCAGCTGAAAGAGTCCTTTGTGGCAAAGTTGATGATTTTGCTGTTATTACCCGAGGAGCTTGAATTCTCGCTGCGTTGAGTAATTCTGGGCCTGGAAAACAGCTATTGTCCTCCGGCCCAGGAGCCGATGGAAAGTGTCGCACATTCCTCTTTGGGCTTTGAGCGTGCTCCTTTCACTATAGATAAGGCTTATATTTCCCTTTCATTAAACGCCATCTCTCTCTTTTCTGCACCACCCTACTAGAACGGTGCTCACATCTCCATCGCCTGGCTCTTTCTAAGAAGAGATTGTGCCGTTTGGCCAGACGTTTACCTTGTCTGTGTGTGGAAGAAATCGGTTTGCCAGCCATGGGGGTGGGGGGCAGAGAGTTTATGGGACAGAGGCAGTGAGCTAGCTGCATACAATCTACCCATCGGTTGCCTTGAAGAGGAGTTAAAATTTCTGGATGGCACAGCTTTTATCATCTTCCCATAGAGCTTTATCTGGCTTTCAAACCTTTGTTTCAAATTGTTGTAATTTTGCATCATGAGAAAATCAGGGAGTTGCATTTTTAATACCTTCCTTCCTTCCTTCCTTCCTTCCTTCCTTCCTTCCTTCCTTCCTTCTTTCTTCATCTGTGCCTAACAACAACAACAACAACAATTTTATTATTTGCACCCTGCCCATCTGACTGGGTTCCCCAGCCACTCTGGGCGACTTCTTATATAAAAACATAATAAAACATTACACTTTAAAAAGCTTCCCATTGCACGTTAAAAAGCTTCTAGCCTGTTATAGGGCTATTCCTGCTGTAACTGCATCTTAATGCTGATCACAGGATCTCTATATGAACAAGTTATTTTATATGTCGCCAAACTGCACCGCAAAAATTATCCTCATATAAGCAGATTTGGCTATTTTTTTAAGTCACAGGAATTGTGTGTGCATACGCATGTGTGTAACTGCATCGCATGCAACAGATGAAACCGTTAATTCATTTAATTGTATGCTGCTTTTCTGTGCGCACAAAAAATCAGGTTCAAAGTGGCTTGCAACAAAGAAACAGGGACGTTTTTCAAGGAAATGCTATGAAAGCAATCTTGTAATCATAGCAAAACAGTTGTGAATATAATAACATACCAAAACACTATATTCCGATACCATAAATATAACAAGATTATTTAAACAACATAATGCAATACGAAAAATAACTACTGTATGTACTTGGCAATGGGAGGAGAGGGGAGAGACCTGGCAGAACAGTCACTTTAAAAATCTGAATTCTGTGTCCTACATTTTCAAAAGTGGCAAGGCCAACCATAAATTATGCAGATTTGCATCTGGTTGCACATTTAGCTCCATTCCAGTTTTGCAGATCACGGGTTAGTGGTACTTCAGCATCGCCCTCCTGGAAACTGCGATCTTTTTATTTTATTTTTACAGTTCACCTTCTGCCTTTGTTTTGATGATTCACTGATTTTAGAGTTCTTGTTGTTGTTGTTCGTGTTGTCTTTTAAATGCAATTAATAGTTGGGGCTCTTGCAGCTCTACAAATTCTACGATCCTGTGACCTCCGCTTCCACTCTCCTGCTGTGCTGCCAACACAAAATCCATAAAATGGAAGGCTCAATCCATTTCCATTCAAAGGAAAAATGGACAAGTGCTTTTCCAGTTCCACTTCCATCACCCTGACCCTCCCCTCCCTCCCAAACTGGGAATATTGGCACTGGTTGTTCCTGTTTCATCAAGGCTACACCCTGTCCGTGATACGATGATAGCACTCTATTTGCACTGGTAGCACAAATGAAAGCGATAAAAACGTTCTTGTTTTTGTTCCAATCCCTTGGAAAACTAACTGTTATGGCTTCACCTTAGGAACTGAGATAGGCGCTCACGCATTGTCCTTGTGTGACACAACTTATCTCCACGCATTTCCATTTTTTCTAGTCCCAGCAGGGGGCACTGTAATAACTGGACCAAGGATGTGGTTGGAACTACAGGGGATGCCTGTGGTTCTTTCATCGCAGGAGATAACTATGCAAAGTGATGACGAGAAAATGGATGCAATCATCCAGATATCTTTTCTCTCCCAGTTCCCAGAAGCTGCCTCTTCTTCTTCTTCTTCTTCTTCTTCTTCTTTGGCGATCACTCGTAGCCGAGTAAGATTGTCTTCCATAAACACAGTTTTAGCAGTGAGTCCATAAGTGACTGTGGAGGCCAGTTCTGGATCCACACATCCTTCCACACTGGGGACATAGGTTTCCAGGCGGGAGTTGATCACGGTGTGGATTTGCCAAGCGTGCCTTCCTCTTAGCATGTTTCTCCCTTTCGTCTCGAGTTTGAGCGTCTTCAGTGCTCATGGCACCTTTGGTAAAGGCTGTTCTCCAGTTGGAGCGCTCACAGACAAGTGTTTCCAAGTTGTCAGTGTTTATCCTACATTATTTAGATTTGCCTTGAGAGTGTCTTTAAACCTCTTTTGTTGACCACCAGCATTACGCTTTTCATTTTCAAGTTTGGAATAGAGTAGTTGCTTTGGAAGACGATCATCAGGCATCCGCACAACATGACCAGTCCAACAAAGTTGATGTTGAAGAATCATTGCTTCAACACTGGTGATCTCTGCTTCTTCCAGTACCCTGGCATTAGTTTGCCTGTCTTCCCAAGCGATGTGTAAAAAAATTTGGCGACACCATTGATGGAATCTTTCGAGGAGTTGGAGATGGCGTATATCATCACCACGCTAGTCTCTTGCGGCAAAAGCAATAGTCTTTCGGCACCTTTATTAAAGGCATTTTAAAAAAACCATGTTTATGGTATGAACTTCATGCATCCAACGAAGATGATTCTACTCCATGAAAGCCATGTTAGTTTTTAAGATGCCACAAGCGTCTTAGGGATTTCATTTGAAACAGGCTGTTAAAAAGCAAGGTCCTGGTTCAATTTAGGCCTACAGGGGGAGCTGCTGGAAGTAGTGGCCGGAGGAACAAAGAAAAGCAAGCAGGATTTTGCTCAGGTCCCAAAATTTCTATATCTGCCCACTCTTCACCCTGCACAGACTAAAGCAGGTTAATTAAAAACTAGAGAGCAAATCAGAATGTGTTTTTCTCAGGGCAGCTAGTAACAAACAACTGCTTTTTTCCACATGGCTGCTCCAGGAAGGAGGTAGGCTAATCTCAAAGAGTTAATGGTTAATTCTCAGTGGCCAGGCCCACTGGCTCCCTCACCCCCTGCTTTAAAAAGCTTGCTTTCCTAGGTTGTTTTTATAAACTGACCTCGCAGCAATCGGAGGGTGGAGGGGAAAGTGTATTAAAGCTGCTTAGAAAATATTTCCGAGAAAATAAACAAATGCTTTCAGAGCAGAATTGTGTTTGTTCTAAAGCAAAACCTTATTGGGCTCCTGAAAACTTTCTGCAATTGCATTTTTGATTGCAAGGTGCTTCTCTGATTATTTTGCTCTCCTTCTTGTCAGATACGGCATTTGATAATTAGATTTAGCAGAGAAAAGGCTTGAAAGGTGAGAAGGCAGCTATTCCGGAACTGGTACCTTCTTGCTTTCCTTAGTTATTTTCATTTCCAACTGCAAAAGCTTGTTGCAGCTAACAGCTTCTTCCAGGTATCATGTGCTCCCCCTTCAGAGGGTGGATCTACACACAAGGAAAAACAACAATGCTATAAATAAGTCATAAATTAAATGTTATAACCAAAGAAAAAAACTCTATTTAAAATCTCATAGGAAAGTTTTTTTGCTCTACAACGCCACCTGGTGTTGCATATTTATAACACATTTAAAATGCTGTTTTTTGACTGATGTCCAGAGTCTCTCCCTTAGAGCACTTTCCCCGCCCATGTGCAAAGCACGAATGTTCAGTGTTCCCTCCACCTCTGCTTCCTGCAGCGTTGCAAGGACCGGGTGAACGCCTTGGCCATTGCGGTGATGAACATGTGGCCGGGAACGAGGCTGCGAGTGACGGAGGGCTGGGACGAAGACGGACACCACCTGCCCAACTCCTTGCACTACGAAGGCCGGGCGCTGGACATCACGACATCCGACCGCGACAGGGAGAAATACGGGATGCTGGCCCGCTTAGCCGTGGAGGCTGGTTTCGACTGGGTTTACTACGAGTCCAAGGCGCACATTCACGTGTCTGTGAGAGCAGGTAAACAGGAGGAAGGAGCTCAAGTTGGGGTTCCCAGTTCTGGAAAAAGGGTGGCGGAGGAGAATCCTATTAGTGAGATTTGCACAAGAGGCCATGAATGTGAGGGTTGTGGGATGCATCTCCCATTTTGGGAAAGGGCAGGTATCACATGCACTGTTTAAGGAACGGGAGCAAGACCAAACTTTATTATTTTTTTTTAAATGATATTTATTAAAGTTTCAAAAGAAGGATACATAAATAAGAAAAAGAAAAATACAAAATACAAAAAAAAAACCATTTAAAAACAATTCCATCTTTTCATCACTTCTCTTTCATTTACTTGTTTCCCGGACCTCCTCATACCTCCCTTTTTTGTATTCCAGTTCAATTTATTAGTTCAGCAATTCCTTTCCCCCTTATTTAATCCTGATCTTTAATCTTAATATATTATAACATTAGGTTTTTACGTATTGAAAATCCAATTTTTCCATATTCTTTTATACCATTACAGCTAGAAACCACTTGACTTCAATCCAACATCATTCTAACATTCATTAATTTTGCGAGACCAAACTTTAGGACATTTTTGCTACCTTAGTGTGTGTGTGTTTTTTGTTTTAAAAATTTATCGTATTTTTCGCTCCATAAGATGCACCAGACCATGAGGCGCACCTAGTTTTGGGAGGAGGAAAACAAGAAAAAATTATTCTGAATCCCAGAAGCCAGAACAGCAAGAGGGATCTGGCTTCTGGGATACCGTGTGGCTGTTCTGGCTTCTGGGATAACTGCGCCAAGCCTCTTCAGGGCAGAGGGATGAAGGCTCCCCCTGCCCGAAGAGGCTGCGCACGGCTAAGGCAGAAGTCAGGACAGGCGCGTCGCTGAAGGGGTGCTGCACAGTTCTCCCTCTCTGAGAGGGAGAACTGTGCAGCGCCCCTTCAGCGAAGCTGGAGAAGGAACAGAAGGAGACCCTCTGTTCGTCCTCCGGCTTTGCTGGACAGGCGCCCCTTCAGCGAAGTGGGAGGAGGAACAGAAGGGGGCTCCGTTCCTCCTCCCGCTTTGCTGAAGGAGTGCTACGCAGCTCTACCTTTCTTCTCAGCACCATTCGCTCCATAAGACGCACTCACATTTCCCTTTACTTTTCAGGAGGAAAAAGGTGCGTCTTATGAAGCAAAAAAAACGGTATTTACAGTGGTACCTCTGGTTGTGAATGGGATCCGTTCCGGAGGCCCGTTCGCAACATGAAAAGAGCACAACCCGCAGCGGCGTGTCTGCGCATGCGCGGGTTGCGATTTGGTCTTCTGCGCATGCGCATAACATCATTTTGCGCTTGTGCGCATGCACGAGCGGCGAAACCCCGAAGCAACCCTTTCTGGTACTTCCGGGTCGCCGCAGGACGTAACCTGAAAAAACATATCATGAAGCAAACATAACATGAGGTATGACTGCATTTGGTTTTTCAACTTAAAATATATCAAACATAAATCATAAAGACAAGATTCCAAGGAATCTCCTGGACTTCCATCCTCCCTTATGTGGGTCCTATTATTAATCAATCCCTCCCGCATCTTTTATGATAATCCAAACCATTTACCTCTTCCATTATGTCCAGAATTCAACCTTAAACTACAAGTGATATTCCAATCCTAATAACGATTTTAACTCTTTCCAATGGTCTTTAAAATAAGTCAAAAATTTCCCCCATTCCTTGTAAAAAAAAAAATGGTCTTCCTGATTTCTGACTCTTCCGGTCATTTTAGCCATTTCAGCATAGTCCATTAACTTCATCTGCCATTCTTCTCTGGTAGGAACTTTATCTTCTTTCCATCTCTGAGCCAGTAACATCCGTGCGTGGTTATGTACGTGGTTGCGTACATAAATAGTCTTTTCTGCTCCTTTGGGTTTTTGGCACCTAGAACTCCAAAAGGAAGGCTTCAGGCTTTTTAATTAAGTACTTAACCAGAGGTACCACTGTAGTAATAGTAATAATAATAATAATAATAATAATAATTATTATTATTATTATTATTATTTTCCTGCAACGTCATTCATGCTGCCCGCTTCACAAGCTTCCAAGGCTGTCCAATGGTAGGGCTGGCCTTGAGCAGGAGACAGAACTCCTTGCATTCCATGTATGGTCAATAAATACCACAGGAGCATACCTTCCAACATTTCTCCGATGAAAACAGGGACATTCTATTCAACAACAACCATAATTTTATTATTTATTCCCCGCCCATTTGACTGGGTTGCTCCAGCCACTCTGGGTGGCTCCCAACATATATAAAATCACAATAAAACTATACAGGGCTGCCTTCAGATGTCTTCTAAAGGCTGTATAGTTGCTGATCTCCTTGGCTCGGGGGGTTGCATAACTCCATACCCTCCAACGTTCCTCCGATGAAAATAGGGACATCCTAAGGCAGGGGTCTGCAACCTTTAAGACAAAAAGAGCCACTTGGACCCGTTTCCGAAGGAAAAAAAACTGGGAGCCGCAAAACTCGTCATTATAAAAATAACTTTTTTGTCACTTTTTTATTATTTCTTTGTTTGAGCCATCAGAATTACTCCTCCTCATAGAAATAAACCTTAAATTAACAAGTTACCTTTTGTGTGTGTGTGTTCTTCACTCCCCTTCAAAACAGTGACCAGCGTACATGCCCCTTCCAATGTAGCGGGCGGGCGGGAAGGTGACGTCGGGACGGTGTGTGACTAACGCACGCACTGCCCCCATGCAACGTCACAGCCAGTACAGCGCCCGCCACAGTGGGGAGTGTCGGGGCGCACAATGCGCCTCCTCCCCTCGCTAGTATCCGCCCCGGAGCCGCGGCAAAGGTGTAAAAGAGCCACATGCGGCTCCGGAGCCGCGGGTTGCAGACCCCTGTCCTAAGGGAAAGCGGGATGGCTTTTGTACATGTGGATCTGTCCCTGGAAAATAGGGACTCTTGAAGGGTCTGAGGGAACCAGGGGGACACTTCCCTTTCCATTTGGCAGGTAGAGAAGGGGCTGTGAGACAAAAGGCCGGGAACCCAATGCCACAGCACTTCTAATATAATTTCCACCCCCATCATTCAGCCCAGACACTGAGGTTCAGCTCCGAGGGCCTTCTGGTGGTTCCCTCACTGCGAGAAGTGAGGTTACAGGGAATCAGGCAGAGGGCCTTCTTGGTGGTGGTGCCCACCCTGTGGAACGCCCTCCCATCAGATGTCAAAGAAATAAACAACTATCTGACTTTTAGAAGACACCTGAAGGCAGGCCTGTTTAGGGAAGTTTTAAATGTTTGATGTTTTATCACATTATTATTATTATTAAATTTTTATTTATACCCCTCCCTTCCCAGTTCAAAAACCGGGCTCAGGGCGGCTAACAACAAATTTAAAACACTTAATTATAAAAGCAGCATAAAATACAGTATAAAAACATGAATAACAATAAAATTCAAAAAGCACTTAGATAATCCCCAGGGCTAGATGGCTGAATTGGTCCTACTTGGGCCAGCGAGGAGGCCAGGGGAGAATTAGCTGTGGGGTCTTAGAGCAGGTGATCTTCAGAAAAGGGGAGGAGGAGGGAAGGGAAGGGAAGGGAAGGGAAGGGAAAGAAAAGATCAGGCTGAATTCAAATTAAAGGCCAGGCGGAATAGCTATTATTATTATTATTATTATTATTATTATTATTATTATTATTATGTTGGGAGCCACCCAGAGTGGCTGGGGAAACCCAGCCATATGGGTGGGGTATAAATAAATTATTATTATTTATTATCTCCTTCTGCTCCCTTAGATAACTCCATGGCTATCCGTGCCGGGGGATGTTTTCCTGGCGACGCAGCGGTGACCTTGTGGACCGGCGAAAAGAGAGGCCTCTCGGATCTCCGGCGAGGGGACTACGTGCTCAGCGTCGACCAGAGTGGACAGGTGACCCCCAGCGAGGTTTTGCTGTTCCTCGACCGGGACCAGCACCGGCGGACCACCTTTGTGGCTATCGAGACGGACGGACCCGTCCGCCGGCTCCTCCTCACGCCCTCGCACCTCGTGTTTGCCGCACGGGACCCGGCCAACAACACGGCGGACTTCTCTCCGGTGTTTGCCAGCCGGGTGCGCGTGGGAGACTCTGTGCTGGCGCACCGGGCGGGCGGCCGCCAGCTGCACCCCGCTCGGGTGGTCCGCGTGTGGCGGCAAGAGGGCGTCGGGGTGTACGCCCCTTTGACTTCGCACGGCACCATTCTGGTGAACGGGGTGCTGGCTTCTTGCTACGCCGTCCTCGAAAGCCACCATTGGGCCCATCGGGCCTTCGCCCCACTAAGGTTGGCTCACCGCCTCCTCTCGCTGCTGCCTCTCGCAGGTGAAGCCAGGAACTGCAGCGCCCAGGAAACGGGCATGCATTGGTATTCACAGTTCCTCTACCGGCTGGCATGGGGCGTGCTGGGCCAGGACACTCTTCACCCATAGAGAGACTCCAGCCTGCTGGGCAGATTTAAGCTAATCAAGCCATAAGACAAGGATAAGGAGTTTGTGCTCCAGCTTGGCCCATGCCTTATTGGCCATGATTCCTTAGATCAGTGGTTTTCAACCAGTGTGCCGTGGCACCCTGGGGTGCCTTGAACGATGGTCGGGGTGCTGTGGGCAACACTGATCTCTGTCCCTCTTTCCTTCCCTCCCTCCTCTGATGCCCTCTTGCATCTCTGCCTCCCAAAGGCCTGCACAGCTGTTTGTTGCTGCAGCATCCCTGGCTACAAGCACCTCAGGCGAGTGGTGTCTCTGGGGCTGGCCAGGGGGTGCTTCCCAGGCCTCTGTGGGGCAGTGTGAGGAGGCAACTCTCTTTGGGGTGGGGAGGGGGGTAGCTCAAAGACCAAGGGCAGTGGCGGCAGCTGCCCAGAGGACGCCCAAGGAGATGGGAGAGGAGAGGAGGCCGAGGGAACACTCCACAAGGGAGGGTGCTCAAAAATGAGTGAGAGGCTGCCAGCTCTGCAGGCCTAACTGGGCTCCTGACCTAACTGGGCTCCTGAGCCCCACAGAGGTGCCGCAGGAAGAATGTAGTCGCTCAAGGGAGCCGTGGACCCCAAAAAGTTGAAAACCTCTGATGCCTCCTGAAACTACTTGCAGCGAAAGAGAGGGAAAGGGTTTGTCGGCAGCGTAGGATTTGGAATGCCCGACTTGAATGCGCCTGTCGTGGGCTGCATTCAGAAGGCCCTGGGCTTTTACCCAGACGCGTCTGTGGAACTTGCAAACATCGAAAGGCGCTCTCCATCCCTCCTCCTCCTCAATTTAGCACAAAGCCAGTAAGCCCCACTGTCTGGTTTTTAGTGGGTGGGGTGGATTTCCCTCGTTCCAGATGGTTGTCCCGATCTCTGCTTGACATTAGCATAAAACGAGAGGTTGCTCTTCGGCCGCTCCACAAAGATGAGTGGGGGGGGGGGGAGGCACAAACAAGAGATCTCATGCCAAGGAGGTCTGAGAGAATGACTTGGGTCTGTGCCCTTGCCCTTGCCCCCTCCCTCCCACCTCCAGAGGTGCACTGCAGTATTCAGAAGACATGCAAAAATAACCAAGGGGGTTCCATTGGCTGCCCCTAATTCTAGAGGTGCATCCGCAATGATGTAGTCTGAAGAAAGGGCTGGGCAATTAGCCCGAGGGTCCTATTTGTGGGTGCTTTGAAACTTGGCGTGCACAGGGTCACTTTAACCTGGCATCCTTGACTTAACCTAAGTCACAACACTGGATTCAATGGGAAGGAAGGTGGAGTGGTTCAAGATGGAAGACTCCAGTCTCTCGCAGAGAAAGGGCTGTCTTGTTATTCTGTAGGCTGGGGCAACTGGCTGGTTCTGTGATGATGGGGAGCCACGGCACCCTCATTCCCTGCCTTTCTCTGCCACCTGGACCTCATGTGAAGCTCACCCCACCCCCTCTCTGTGCATTTGTGGTGTGGGGGCAAGCTTAACACTTAACTTTTGAAACTTAAAAGTCCATTCCTTCACACTTACGAAGCCTGTTGTAACCCTTAGCTGCCGCTTCAGAGTTTTTATTTTTATATTTATAAAGTAGTAATTTAAGTGTGGTCTGTCGCCACCTCTTGTCTCGTGTTGGGTATTAATTTGACGTTTTGCCAGGAAGAGGATTGCAAGGGCTGGGGTTATTTTTGTAAGCTGTGTTTTAACGTCTCCTTCCCCACCTCCCTTTTTTTTAAAATAGTATTTTTATGTGTGTTTTACTAAAGATAATTCCTTTGACTACTGTCACAATATAATTATTTGGGGGGGGGGGGACTCCTGGCTTGGGCAGGAAGCCGCTTCTCTTCCTGCTCTTTACCACAGTCCATGGGTTAGGGGGTGCCCCAGGCCCTGGCAACCCACACTACGCCACTGGGATTCCATACATTGTTCCAAATCCAGTTGTTTTCCTGTGGATGGGAGAGCTCGAAAGTGCATGTGCAGACAGAGCTTGCTATAGCTGTCCCGTTGATTTCCGTGCAGCTGACAAGTGACTTGCACCTACACCATTTTCAGTTGACGAATCCATGCTCCTTATGGAGAAGAATGGGGCACTCTGTGTATGTAATAATAATAATAATAATAAATTTATTTATACCCCACCCATCCGGCTGGGTGTCCCCAGCCACTCTGGGCAGCTCCCAACAGAACACTAAAAACAGAATAAAACTTCAAACATTAAAAACTTCCCTAAACAGGGCTGCCTTCAGATGTCTTCTAAAAGTCAGGTAGTTGTTTATTTCCTTGACATCTGATGGAAGGGTTTTCCACAGGGTGGGCGCCACCACCGAGAAGGCCCTCTGCCTGGTTCCCTGTAACCTTGCTTCTCGCAGTGAGGGAACCGCCAGAAGGCCCTTGGAGCTGGACCTCAGTGTCCGGGCAGAACAATGGGGGTGGAGATGCTCCTTCAGGTATACTGGCCCGAGGCCGTTTAGGGCTTAAAAGGTCAGCACTCGCCCCATGCAGTCACTGGAGCTCATGTAGGAGTGCGGATCAGGGTGCCTTTGAACTGTTCACATTTGTGTGTGATAAAGACCCCTGTCTCTCACCAGTCATGTTTAAAGGGCCTTCGCTCCTTAGGGTGCATCCTCTGTCTTTACCCTGGCGGCAGTAAAAGGTAAAGGGACCCCTGACCATTAGGTCCAGTCGTGGACGACTCTGGGGTTGCGGTGCTCATCTCGCTTTATTGGCCGAGGGAGCCGGCGTACAGCTTCCGGGTGATGTGGCCAGCATGGCTAAGCCGCTTCTGGCGAACCAGAGCAGCGCACGGAAACGCCGTTTACCTTCCCGCCGGAGCGGTACCTATTTATCTACTTGCACTTTGACGTGCTTTTGAACTGCTAGGTTGGCAGGAGCAGGGACCGAGCAACGGGAGCTCACCCCGTTGCGGGGATTCAAACCGCCGATCTTCTGATCAGCAAGTCCTAAGCTCTGTGGTTTAACCCACAGCGCCACCCGTGTCCCATCTGGTGGCAGTAATGAGGCCATAACTCGGGTCCGCTCCTGAGGTCTCACGTTCAGCCCCTGCTGCTACCAGCGGGGAGAAGGCCGAGGACTGAGAGCTCTGCCTGGCATGCTGGAGAATCACTAAGTGGTCTCTGTATGTGGTGGGCACTTGCCCATCTTCCCCATTGTGTTGCAGCCTCGCCATCTTGCTGAAGAGCAGCAGCCTGCCTCGTTGGCACCGCTAGTCACGCCTGGGAGGGTGCCCCGTCACCTCCCGCCGGGAGGTTTGACTTCGTGCCACCATTTCGTACCCTCCTGATCCTGTTTCGCATTCCTGCCTCTGGCATTTGTATAATGAAGGTCAAGAGCGAGCCGGGAGCTGAGAGAGGCAACTGTTTACACTGGGCTGTGTGGGCGTGAAGTCTGGCTGCCTCGATGTCCTCTCTTGCTCTGTCTAGCTCCACTTTCCTCTCCTCCGCAGAACCCCCCTCGCTGCTGTACGCCTGTGTGGGTTCAGTGTGGCTTCCTTAGCAGGTGTGTGTGACCCAGCGGTGGGAGATGCAGGGCTTTCAGACGACGTTTGAGCCCGGGAGAATCTGATTTTCACTGTCAAACTTCGTTCACCTCCCGTAGCTCAGTTGGGTAGAGCGTGGTGCCCATCATGGCAAGGTTGCAAGTTCGATTCCCGTATAGAGCAGCTGCATCTTCCTACATCGGAGGCGGTTGGATGAAACTCAGGTTCCCTTCCAACTCTACAATTCTATGGGAATTCGGTGCATTTTTATCCTAGGGGACAATTTCCCAACACATACAGTCATACCTCGGGTTGCAGAAGCGCCGAATTGCAACCCGCACGTGCGCAGATGCAGGTTGCGAACGCTGCGGGTTGCAAATGTGCATCCCGCACGGATCACATTCGCAACCCGAGCGTCCACTGTACTAGCATCATTGCTCATCTCATGCAGGCATATGTAGTACAGTGGTACCTTGGTTCTCAAACTGAATGCGTTCCGGAAGTCCTTTCCAAAACCAAAGCGTTCCAAAACCAAGGCAAAACAGTAAAGCAAAACAGATTAATCCATTCCAGACTTTTAAAAACAACCCCTAAAATAGCAATTTAACATGAATTTTACTATCTAACGAGACCATTGATCCATAAAATGAAAGCAATAATCAATGTACTGTACTATAAAATAAATAAGACAGTATTGTAGATGGTGAAAATTAAAAAAATAATAATTCTTACCTGCACTGATGATAGTCATTGTTTGGATGGGGGGCTTTTATCCATTTCTGCAGTCACACAATCAATCCGTAGCTGAACTGGGTTCCACAGTCACAAAAACAAATGAACCGAAAAAGCCTCCGAAACAAAAACACAAAATAAATAGCAAAAACAAAAGCACCAAACTTAATCTGTTCCAGAAGTCCGTTCGACTTCTGAAATGTTCAAAAACCAAAGCGCAGCTTCTGATTGGTGCAGGTGCCACGGAAACAATAGCCAACAGCCGTACTGGACATTCGGCTTCCGAAAAACATTTGAAAACCGGAACACTTACTTCTAGGTTTTCGGCGTTTGAGAACCAAGGTACCACTGTTATCATTTTTTAAAAATTGGCTACAGGTTGATCACCACCAAAAATGCAGTTGGCCTGTTCGTTTTATGGTTGCAACAAAAGAGCCCTCCATGACTTAGTCTTGCTCTTTTCCTCTCTGCCTGGAGACAGACAAGGTGCCTGAGCATGCCCAACTTGCCATTTCGTCAAAATCGGCACCACCTTCCATATGCCTCGGGTTGAAATGGATTAAGGGTGAGTGGGCAGGCTTCCCAGGGAAGGAAGTGGGTGATTTCCAGCAAACATTTCATTGTCATCATTTTATTTTCTATAGGACTTTCCCACAGACAGGGCGCCATACAGTTAATTATCCTCATTATCAATAAACCGCTGAGTGTTTGTGTCACCAGCCATACCTGTGACAACTCCCAGAACAACCAGCATCCAGGAGGAAAACCCTCTTAGCAGAAATCTTTGAAAGCAATCTACGTGCAAAAGCTTTGGCTAATACGCTGTGTCTAGCTTCTGAGGCAGCAGCAGGCCTGGGAACAGCAGTTGCGGACGTAATTCTGCAAAATTCTGTTTGGCATCACCCATTCATTGTGTGTTGGGTAACACACAGCACAAGGGTGGGATGAAAGCAAAGTCTTGTGGCCCTTGAAAGTTTAATGAATTGTAATGCAACTTTTTGTGTTCACTACATCAGATGCATCCAGTGTAATCCTCAGTTATGCACGCACACACACACAAAGTTGTAAAGGGAGGAGTTAAAAATGTGGGATGAGAGGGAAACGAAATGCAAACCGATAATTCCATTAGCCAGAAAGCATGCGTAATAAACACAGTGAGCCCTTGCAGTATAATAATACATAATAAAGCTACCGTATGTTTCTGTGTGTAAGACTAGGTTTCTTTCTTTAAAAATTGTGCTTAAAAGTGGGGGTCGTCTTATACATGGATAGTGCATGGGGTAGACGTTTGATTGGTTACTGCCCTGGCTGTCACTGGCTATTGGGTGTGTTATTGGTTGCTGCATCAATGGCTGGTGTTGATTGGCTGATGCTGCGGCAATTGGGAGGGCGAGGGGACAGGCGAAAGGCTATTTTTGGGTGCATTGTGATGAGTGATTTTCAGCAATTCCCCCTAAAAAAAGCTCAACAACTCTGTCCCATCTCCCCCCATTTTTTTAAATTTGAGTCCCCCAAAATAGGGGGCGTCTTTTGTCTTTTACATGGGTGGTACTTAGTTAACTTACCATTTTTTACTTGGGCCAGAGTACCAGAGCAGTCCACCGCTGATTTTTAAATGGTTATGCTTCAATAAAGGAATTTCAAAGGGAGGTTGCAACATGAAACCGACAAATTACAATTCATCAAGAAGTTCAACTCTATTCATTTGGGCCTGAATAGAGATGATAGTTTCCTTTCCTACTACAGAAGTTCATTGAGTCAATAAAACAACCACTGTATTGTATAGGACCGCTGCTTATTTTTCATTCATTCCAGTTCTAATTGAATTATCGCCATCTTTGCTTGGTGGATTTCATTTCCCTCTGACCCCGCTGCTCAAAACTCCTTCTCTTACAACTGTGTATATGTATGTATGTATAGATAGTGTGTGTGTGTGTGTGTGTGTGTGTGTGTGTGTGCGTGTCTGTATATGCATGCATATAGCTTACGTCGTGAGATTTGTTAGCCTTTCAAGGTGCCACAAAACTCTCTATTCTTGCGACAACAGATTTAACACAGCTGCTCCTCTGGAAATCACCACTAGTATGGATCAACATAGGGTAAGGTTACCAGATTTTTTTCAAAGAATCCGGGGATGCTTTTTTTAAAAAAAAGAGGGGGGGAATTATTTTTAAAAACTATTTAAAAAAATAAAGAAAGAAGTAATATCTTCTCTTCTGTGGTCTCCTCTGTTGCGCGCCCTTCCTCTGGGCCTCAGCCTGCTCTCTTGGAGCGCTAGCCACCATGGAGTAGGCTCGGATCGGGCCTGGGCTCAGCCACGTGCCCTCCTCCTCAGCGGCAGTGGTGTAGCAAGGTCAGGCTCCCCTCTTTTTTCTCCTTCCTCTTTCTCTCTCTTCCTTCTCCTTCTCTCCTCCTTTTCACTGCGTCAGCTCCGGGGGTTTTACTGGCCCCTGAGCACCGCTGGGCAGTTGGCTGGGTGCTCTCACTCCCAGCTCAATTTGGGTTGCTGGTGGGGGGTCAGCGGTTCCCCCAGTTGATGCTTGGCTT